TATGAGGTCCTGCCCTCTGGATTGTGAAGATGTTGGCCTCACACTCTTGTGTGCATAGCAGCGCCTGAGACTCACACACATTTCTCACGATTGGTGACGCATAAAATGAAGCTGTGTGTATTTCAAAAATGTTTTTGCTGCTGAAGGCTTTAAACAATTCAGCCACTTCGATCTATGGTCTCTCCCGCAGTAGTGCGTTTCCCTGCAGCTGACCACAAACAGCCTAAAAATTACAAAGTTGAAGGACCTGAACTTGCTTTTCTTAAAGTTCCTGGCACAATAGTGTCTGGATGTCAACATGTGAGGTTCCTTGCTCTGGACCCAAAGTTGATTTGTGTGTCTCTTAAAGTTTTGCACAGAAAGGAAAAATTTCACCAGGTGTAGCTTTTGCAATGACAGGATAAGCCATATTAGGCAGGTCCCCCCCCCTTTGATTCAACTCTTACTGGTACAGAAGGGCTGTCTAGTTGGGACCAGAATGAGGCGCTAATATGTATGTACATAGATCCATTTTTTCCTGTAGACTCTTCTGCACTTTTGTCCACTCAAGTTAACATTCAATTTTATATCCATCTTGATGTTTTGTGTCTATGCTAGGGGATACGGCTTGATGGGATGTATTCACATGGTATAATCTTGTCCTGTCCCATCAATTATTACTTCCCAACCTTCCAATTCCTTTTCTGCACACCTTCATTCATTCATTCATTTAAAAATGAGTATCCAGCAGTTCTAGAAACACGAACTCCATAGTGGGCATGTGGGCAGGTGTAGGGATGATCGCGGAGTGGGGAGTGGGGTCCGGAGGGAGCACACTCCCCACCCGCAAGCAGCCACAGTCTGCCTGCACATGTGACCTTGGGGGGCGGGGCACCCCCCCTCACAGACAAAGCCACAGCTGTCTGAACATCATACCCTCTGTCTAACCTTTTGCAATCTCAGTAGTCTGCGGTGTCCTGTCTGTGACCTTTATCTCTGAGACCTTTTGTCTCCTTCATCATACACTGTGCAAGGGGAAAATGACCTGGTGGAAACAGGTGCCAAAATAACTTTGTACCACCCCATGATCTTGGGACCGGAAGATGTGTAAAGGTCACAGCCCAAAATGTATCTGCCTGGTTTGCATATTTGTGTCAATAAAAGGAGTCTCCACAGGGCTGGCCGGCAGCTCGCATGCAGCCCACCTGTGCACAGCTCACCTGCATTATCAACTCCTGCCTCATGTCCATCACTTCAGGCAGGTATCTGCTTACCTGTGCATCCACACCTTAAAAAAAATAAAAAATGTTTTGCCACTGGAATTGTGTAATAACGAACTTCCGCCAAAGCAAATGCCTTAAGCGTGCTTCACAGTGGACAAAATGGAGGGTTAGGTGTTTATAGGGAGGCAGGAAAGAAAGAAAGAAAGAAAGAAAGAAAGAAAGAAAGAAAGAAAGAAAGAAAGGGAGCAATGATTGTAAGGATAATGGGTTGTAGTCAACATAGCATTAAGCAGATTGTTCCATCGGTGCAAGGATTTTTCCTTGTGCAATGGAATGATCTCCCTCTCTTCTCCCCTGTGCGCACCTCCTAAACCTATTATGGAAAGGGGAAAGGGAAGGGGGGGGGAAATCCCATTGCACTAGTGCCAATCCTTTCACTAGGACAACAATTTAGTTGACTATCACCCAATGGTAATAAAAAAGTGTGCACCACTTCACCTCCTCCTCCTGCTGCTGCTTTGTACATCTTCAACACATGCACCAACACAGAAAAAAATGGGAGAGGGCCATCCACTAGTTCCGTTCATTTCTTTGGGCTTGCTAGCACAGATTCCCCACACATACGAACATAGGGAGCTGCCTTATACAAGTTAGATCATTGGGCCACGCAGCTAAGTATTGGCTACACTGACTGACAGCGGCTCTCTAGGGTTTCAGGCAGGGATCTCTCTCTGCCCTACCTGGAGATGCTGAGATCTGAGCCAGGGGCTTTCTGCATGCAATGCTGTTGCTTTACCATGGAATGGTATGTCCAGCAATGTGCAAAGCTGGGGAGCTGGGTGGTTTTTGGCTGTTCGTATGATTTCTCAATAGACTAACTCTATTTTATATTTTTATGTTGGTCAAGACATAAAATGGCTCCAGTTCAATCCAAGGGATCATATTCAAAAGCAAAGAGACTGATCTGAGAAATGGAGCATTCTCAGAAACAAACAAAATTAGATGGAGCCCATTTTTGGTCTTCAGAGCTGCCATTTCCCATAACACCCCGTCCTACCGCTTTCTGTCTCATGGGTTATGGTGTTTTTGCTCTCTGAATACTGAATTATGTCTGGAGTTCAGATTGAGAGCTCATACAGCAACATCCAGGCTTTACCCATTAAATTTCAGCTTTCGTCGTCATTGTCTCAAACAAAGCACAAGCTCCCCGAGCAAAAAGAGGGAGAAGCATTTCCCTCCCGCCTTTGACACCCTGGTGAAACCTTCCATTTTGCAGGAGCTGCTCCCCACAATGCCCCCGCTCACAGACACTGAATAATATTTCTTCCTCCTGGCCTTTTATATATTTTTTTAAAGAGAATGATTGCCTTTTCTGTGAATAACGTTGCGCATGGCACTGAAGGAGGCATGTGCAATCACTCATTGTGGAAATCGCCAGTGGTTCATGCTGAGAGCACATAAAACTCTCAGCTAAATGGGAAATGGTGACTCACACTGCAAAGGTTAATGCCTCCCTGTTGGAGTTCAGTTATGGGGAGCAATGTCACCGGAGACCATTGTCTTTTATTAACATGGCTGTTCCTCCCAGTAGGAAGGATTATAGAGCAAAGGTGAGCAAAACGTCACCCTCTTGTAAACATGAATCTATACTTAGGCAAGATTTTTAAAGCAGGCAGTTGAAATAATGCCCTCTCCCTCCCCTTTATCTTTTTTTATTATTAAAAATGCTTTTCCTATGGTTATTAGAGAGCCTGAGGGAGGACTTGCAGGACATTTTTCCCCTTCAAAAATGACATAAGTAGGATTAACCACCTCACACTTTGACAATGCCCTTTATATTGTTTTAGAAATGCAATAGGTGGGATAAATATTTGAGTGAGAGCAATCCTATTACAAGCCTGGGCCAGCTCCTCTTAAACCTTCATCATGTTGCTGATTATTGAGGCAACTACAGTATTTGTAATTACAAGAGGGCACTGCAACAAAATATGCTTCTGTTTTGGGCTTCTACCAGCCAGCTCTGCAGCCTTCATGTTTTTTTCTTTTCTATTCCCTGCCTCCATTTTTTTTTTGTCCCCCACTCCAACAGTTAGCTGGCATTCCATGACACTGAGCATGCTCAGTCCTCATTGGGCATTTGGGGGCTACCCCTTCCCTTTAGGATTTCCTCCATGTTGGAAATAAAGCATTATCCTGGAAAAAACTGACAAGTGGGGTGCTACAGGGTTCTGTCCTGGGCCCATTGTTGTTCAAGATCTTTATAAATGACTTGGATGAAGGAATTGAGGGGATGGTCATCAAATCTGCAGATGACACTGTTATACTGTCCAATTCTGGGCACCACAATTTATGAAGGATATTGACAAGCTGGAATGTATCCAAGCCTTATGAGGAACGACTAAAAGAGCTGGGTATGTTAAGCCTGGAAAAGAAGAGACTGAGGGGAGATATGATAGCCATCTTCAAATATCTGAAGGGCTGTCACAAGGAACATGGAACAAGCTTGTTTTCTCCTGCTCTGGAGGGTAGGACTCAAACCAATGGCTTCAAGTTAAAAGAAAGGAGATTCCGACTAAAGATCAGGAAGAACTTTCTAGTAATAAGAGCTGTTCGACGTTGGACTGGTCTCCCTCTGGAGGTTGTGGACTCTCCTTCATTGGATGTTTTTAAGCAGAGGTTGAGTAGCCATCTGTCATGTATGATCTATTTGAGATTCCTAGCATTGCAAGATGTTGGACTAGATGACTCTTGAGGTCCCTTCCAACTCTACAATTCATTGATTCCATGATCAATGCTTGCAATAAGTTACCTGAATCAGTGGAGGGTGACAGAAAGAAAACCTGGCCAACTTAGAACCACACCTCTAAGGAACAACTTGGACTTGAAAGTAAAGTATGTGTGGCTGCGATGGAATGGTATATAATTAGCCCTGTTACATTATCTGGGTCTCAGATGCCTAATCCAACTTCTGTGCCCACCCCCTTGTGATTAGGTGTCTAAGAGGAAATCATTTTTAAAATATGCAGTGGGAAGCAACTTCAACGTGTAATGTTACGTGTCTAAGGGTGTTTGAAGAGAAGACAAGCATCACAAGAAAATGTCAAGGGGGAAATCTAGCTTAAATATCTTGAAAGTTAACCTTTAAGGACACACACTGTAGAAACTGCTACCCTCTCAGGGGGTACTCAAGGGCACACAGTACCAACACCTCTTTTGTTGTTGTTTAAAAGTTTGGCACTTACTGCAACAACTTCACCTATTTTTCTAGAAAAACTTTCAAAATATTTAAGCTAGATCCCCCACCGCCGACATTTTCTTGTGATGCTTGTCTTCTCTTCAAACATCCTTATGTTAATAACAGCCCTGCGAGTTAGGTGAAGAGGGAGTAACAGGTCCAGTATCCCCTAGTGAGAATCATGGTTGAAGTGGGGTTTTGAATCTACATCGCCTCAGTTTTGGTCCAACATTGGGTGGGATGTTTTCAATGCATTTCACTTCTCCTTAACGTATTTATGTGAGGGGTTTTTTTTTTGGTTGCAAGTCGCTTTGGGTTTTGCCTTGTGCAAGAAAAAAAAGCGACTAACAAATGTAACAAATAGTAATGAATAAATAATGCCGCTGAGATGATCTCCCTCTCTTTATAAAGAGAAAGGGAAACAGTAACTCCCTAATGAAGCCTTGGGCTGTTTCCTTCATTTGACCAAGGCTGGTGGCGCCTCTGCATCCAGCTGCGGGACGTCATCAGTTCGAACGCTGCCCTTCAGGCAACCAGGAAAAGGGGCTCCATGGCAACGCCTAGGAACACTGAGCACGCGCGAGGAGCAGGAGGAGGAGACCATTGACGCAACCTTTCGCTCCTCCCTCCGTCCCTCGCAGGTTTTTTTTACGTCGCTTCTTTACATGCTTGCGCACGCGTACTAGCGCGGGGTGCAGGACCCGGAAAGAGGGGCCGGTTTGCTTTACGGCGGCGCTCGGCGTTTTCCCTTAACAAGCATGGCGTCCGGGTTTGAAAGCGAGAGGACTCTGGCGGCGCGCAAGGAAGAGAGGCGCCGCCACCGCGAGGCGCTGCTACAGCAGGTGACGGACCGGCTCGGCTTGTCGGCCCGTTGCTGGGCCTTGTTCTCACCCCACTTCCGAAGGAACCCTCCTTCTCCTCCTCTCTTTCTCGCTTCCCTCCGCCCCCATTCAAGCGTCGACGGGACGTTTTTCACCCCTTTTTTGTCTTCATTGTGTAAATAACATGAGGTTCTCGCTCCCTTCACCCCCCTTCAGCCCTTGTTTTGAATCGCCCCCCCCCCCAGGTAATAGGGCCATTTCCCTATTTCGGAACAGCAGTTCTCTGCAACGGCAGGACATGTTTAAATTCCTCTGTGATTGCAGGAAGTATCCCCGAGAACTCTGGGAAATGTAGTTCTCGGAGTGGGGCTAAGGACCTCTGCGCGGTAGTTCTGAGCACCCTTCCCAAACCGCAGGAGTCTTTGGGTGAGGAGGTGGGAGAGGAGCAATTGCAGTTAAAACTAGTGACAAGCCAATGCGGGTTTATCTTTTTTGGGGGGCTGCCCTCTTACATTTAGGACATCTTCATGAGGACGTTTGTCTCAATCTATGAATCCTTAGGTCTTATATTTTTTTAAGTTGAATTCAGGAAGCACCCTTCATCCGAAGATCACAGGGCCGGGATATACGTTTATCGCCTGCGCATTTATCGGCTGAACTTCTGTGGTTTCTGTGTATGCATTTCCACCTACAGTCATACCTCAGGTTGAAGTAGCTTCGGGATAAGTATTTTCGGGTTGCGCGCTGTGGTGACCCGGAAGTAACGGAGCGTGTTACTTCAGGGTTTCGCCGCTCGCGCATGCCCAGACGGTCAAAATGACGTCACGTGCATGCGTGGAAGCAGCAAATCACGACCTGCGGATGCAAGTTGCGTTCGCTTCTGCATGCGAACGGGGCTCCGGAACGTACCACTGTACTAGGGGTCAACCCGTCCTAAGAGTTGCTTTGTACATCACATAGCTTTCCTACACAAAAGTTACTTGTGTGAAAGAAATTGTTTGTAAATCCCCCCCCCCATAATTTTGTCCAGTGTGGTGAATGCACGTGCACCAAATAGATGAATTGTGTGTTAAGGATTGTTAGGAAAGGGATTAAAAACAAAGCCACCGATGTCATAATGCCACCATGCACATCTATGTTGTGACTGAACTTGAAGTGCTGTGTACAGTACTAGTTTCCACACCTTAAAAAGGAAGCTGGAGGGCTGGAAAATGTTTAGAAAAGCACAAGTAATATGAGGATAGCTTTGGTTGATTGTTGGTTGGTTCTGTGGGATTTATCCTTTGGGGGATATTTGGGGGATATTTATCCTGTTGGGAGGTGAATCTGGGGGTGATGACATCCAACTTCGTTATAATTATTTATATTTATTACTTGCTTTACTCATAAAAGTGACTCAAAATGACTTACAGCACAGTATTACTGCTAGAACCATTTAAAAGAAGCAAGCCAATTGTCAGAGCTGCTTCCAGATCCTAGCTCACAGAGGATCACGCTAGCCAGCGATCATTAAACAAAAGTCTTTATTGAGTTACAGTTTCCATTCTCAAGCTGCTGCGTGCAACTCTACGTCTCATGCTTAGACCGGCGAAGCTCCGTCTGAGTCTCCGCCCCTTGTACACCAACTTAATATCCTAGCCCTGCTCCACCTTTTCCGCCTGACTGTTCTTCTCTGGGTCCCTCTGCCCCCCCGGGGTCTCTTCCTTCCGGGATTCCTCTGACGCTGACGCTGACTCCCCTGACTCTTCTCCCTCCTTTCGGCGGGCTTTAGGACCTGGCTCCCTTTCCGGGCTGCCTACTGCGCCACCTTCCTGTGCATTTGAACTTGGCGCGCGCGCCCAACCTTCCACCTTCCGTCTGACCGTTTCTTCGCTCCCCGATGGAGGTGTGGCCACTCCTGACTCGTGCCCTCCCCCCTGTTGTGAGTTGCCAGCGCTTGATCCCTGGCGCCCTTCCTCTTCCCTGCTCTCTGGCGGTGACGTTGGTCCCGATTTCCAACTGCTCCCCTCTGAGTCCCCTCTGGCTCTATCTTCCTGGGGTGTCCCCCTAGGCTCCCCCCTTGCCCTGGCCACTGGTGCTCCTTTCTGTGAATCTTCTGATTCACTGGAAAGACTCGGAGATCTCGGGTCGTCGTCATCACTCATCTTTTCTTCTGCCTCCTCCCCCTCGCTCTCTGTTTCCTCCCTTGCCCTTGCCTCTGCTCCTGAACCCCTGACATCCATCCCCCTCGAAGCCCCCTCTTCCCCCTCCCCTCCTTCCGGTGCGGGATCTGGGTGCTGCCGTGTCAGGGGACGAATGTCGGATACAGTTCGCTTCCCGTGGCGGGCCGCCATCTGAAGTCTTCCGGTTCTTCCTCCCTGCTCTCGTTGACGACGGTCACCTCCGCTTCCATCTCTGTGCCGCCGTGCTCGAAACCCGGGTCGTCCCCGAAAAGTCCATGTCCGTCTCTCCCTCGTTGCCTTCTGGAGACGTTGCTCGTCCTGGACCCTCCAGCCACCTTCTACGGAACTGCTCCTCTGGTCGATCATCCCACCAATACGAGGGTTCTGAAGCAGATCCTGAGGGTGACCCCTCCGGGGAACGGGCGTCTCGTGTCGGTTCCTCGTCCGAGTCGAACCCCGGAACGTGCTGGCTGAAAGCGTGGGCGTGAAAAGCCAGTCGTCGAAAAGTCTGCTGGCATTGGCCTATGTGGGAAGAGGGCATGAAACTCTTCTTTGAGCAGAGGTTCGTCTAAAGCGTAGCCCGGCACCCAGCTGTTGGCACTGGCCGGGGTGCCCTCCTTGGCGAGAAGGTATTCTACCCCCTCTTCCCCCCATCTGGAGTCCAAAATCTCCGTGACTTCGTTGATGCGCTCCTCCCGTGCCACTCCCCCCTGCCCGGTTCTCTCTCGGAGCGGACCCGGTGCCGTTCCTGGTTCCTGAAACCTGTGAGGTGCCTTGTAGGGAGTGAGCACCGATCTGTGGAACACCGGATGCATTCTGGAACCCTCCGGAAGAGCCAGCCTGAAAGCCACCGGGTTGACCTGTTCTTCGACTTGGTAGGGCCCCAGTTGTTTATGCCCTAGTTTCTTCTTCGCCAACGACCTGGCCGGCACTGCGTGGGCTGCTAACCAGACCCAGTCTCCCACATGGATCTCTTCGCCAACCCTTCTGTGTTTGTCCGCTTGTACCTTGTATGCGTGTTTAGCCAGCTCCAGGTGCCGCCGCAGCTGATCGTGGACCTCCTGCAACTCCGACGCGAATGCATCTGCTGTCTGCGGCTCCCCTCCCCCATTCTTTCCAGTCCCGGGAAGGTTCTGGGGTGCCTCCCGTTGTTGGCGAAGAACGGCGTGACCCCCGTGGACACGTGCTTCGTGTTGTTGTAGGCGAACTCGGCGAGAGGCAGGTAATCCACCCACGTCGCAGGCTGTTGATTCGCATAACATCTCAGGTACTGCTGCATGATGGCATTGACCCGCTCCGCTTGCCCATTGGTCTGCGGGTGTCTAGCCGACGCCAGGTTGATCTTGACGTTCAGGAAGCCCATCAGCCTCTGCCAGAAGTTCGAGATGAACTGTCGCCCTCGGTCGGACAGAATAGACCGCGGCAGACCGTGAACCTTGAACACGTGGTCTATGAACAGTTTGGCGGTTTGTTCCGCCGTGGCCACCTTCGCACACGGAATGAAATGTGCCATCTTGGAGAACAAGTCCACCACCACCAGCACAGCCGTCTTGCCCCTCGAGCTGGGCAGATCCGTGACAAAGTCCAGGGCCACTCTCTCCCATGGTTCGAACGGAGTTTGCAGCGGTTCCAGCAGTCCGGCCGGCGGTCTGTGCACTGGTTTGGCCCTCTGGCAGGTGTCACACCTCGCCACGTAGTCCGCGACTTCCCCTCTCATTCCTGGCCACCAGAAGTCTCTGGCTACTAATTCCACCGTTTTCTCCTTGCCAAAGTGCCCGGCAGTGGGCGCGTCGTGCAGCTGCTGCAGTACCTTGGCGCGAAGTTCGTCTCCCGGCACGTAGATGGCCCCTTTACGGATGAGCAAACCATCTCGCAGCTGGAACTCGTCGGTCGCTGCCGTGCCCCTGTGCGCCTCTGCCATCTTTGCTTGCGCGAAGGAGTCATCCTGCAACGCTCGTCGCACCGCCTCCAGGTCAACTGTCGCCGCCGTGCACGCCCACACTGTCGGTGCGAAGATGTGCATGGCGGCCGCTGGCGTTGCCTCCTCCAAATACTGTGGCTTACGGGAGAGAGCATCCGCCATGATGTTGGTGTTCCCCGGGACATACTCTATTCGGAAGTCGAAATTCGCAAAGAACTCAGCCCAACGTATCTGCCTCTGGTTCAGGAACTGTGCCGTGCGCCAGTGCTCTAGATTCTTGTGGTCCGTGCAGACCTGCACCGTGTGCTTGGCGCCGATCAGGAAGTGCCTCCACGCTTTGAACGCTGCATGAATGGCCAGCAACTCCCTGTCCCAGATGGTGTAGTTCTGTTCGGACTTGCTGAGCTTCCTTGAGTAAAACGCTCCCGGCCTCCAAACCCCCTGCGGGTCCTTCTGCAGCAGGACTGCTCCCACGGCTCTGTCCGAAGCGTCTGTCTCCACCCTCATCGGCCTGCTGGGGTTGACATGAAGCAGTTGCTCTTCCGACGCGAAGAGACGCTTGAGTGCCTGGAAAGGACTGCTCCGCCTGCTCTGTCCAGATGAACTTCTTTTCTTGGAGCTGAGCGTGTCCGTGATGGCCGCTGTCTGCATGGCAAAGCCTTTGATAAACTTGCGATAGAAGTTCGCAAAGCCGACAAACCGTTGGACCTCCTTCCGGTTGCGTGGGCTTTTCCAATCCAACACTGCTCGGACCTTGGTGCTGTCCATGGCGAGCCCTTTATCAGACAACTTGTAGCCCAGGAAATCCACCTCCGTCACGTCGAATTGGCACTTCTCCAGCTTGGCGTAAAGCCTATGTTGCTGTAGCCTGCTCAGCACTTCCTTGACGTGCCTGTCATGCTCCTGCTGCGATTCCGAAAAGATCAGGATGTCATCCAAGAAACAGACGCACGTCTTGTAGAGGAGCCCCGCCAACACGTGATGCATGAAAGCTTGAAAACGTGGGAACCATTTTGCAATCCAAAAGGCATAACTCTATATTCGTAGGTGCCCAGGGGCGTGAACATGGCTGTCTTCCACTCATCTCCTTCCCGCATGCGAATGAGGTTGTACGCCCCTCGCAGGTCCAACTTGGTGAACACGCTGCCCTTCCGTACCTTTGCGAGGAGGTCGTCGATTCGGGGCATGGGGAAGTCCGATGGCTTGGTCACGCTGTTCAAAATGCGATAGTCCACTACAAGTCTTTTTGGGGCGTGTCCCGCTTCTTAACAAAGAATACCGGACTGCCCCCGCTGCCTTGGACTCTCGGATGAAACCGCGCTCCAAATTATGATCTATGAACTCTTTGAGTTCCTGCAGTTCGTCCTCAGACATGGAATACAACTTCCCTTTGGGCAGCGCCGCCCGGCAGCAGGTCAATTCTGCAATCATATGGTCTGTGGGGGGGTAGCCTGTCTGCCTCCTTCTCACAGAAAACCTCCAAAAATGCTGCGTACTTGTGGGGAACCGCTTGCAGCGTGCCTAGCTGCAGCTGTGACTCCTCTTCCTCTCCTTCCTGCCGGGGCACGATGCAGTGTTCAGCGCAAAAGGAAGAGCCGAAGGTCAGCTGCCTCTGGTACCAAGCCAGCGTCGGGCTGTGCTTGTCCAGCCAACTCATGCCCAATACAATGGGCGTGTCCGATAGTTGAGTGACATTGAAGCTGATGATTTCCCTGTGATTCCCAAGTCTCATCACCATTGGTGGCGTCTGCTTCACCACTTGCCCCCCTAGCAGCTCCCTACCATCCACCGTGACAACCTGCAGGGGCAGCGTGGCAGGCAGCAACTGTATAGCGTGCCGGTCGACAAAGTCCTGCCCTATAAAGTCCGCATTGCTTCCGGAGTCAATGGTGATTGGCACGTCCATGGTGATGCCATTGGGCAGCTGGAGCGACGCGGTGAGCCTCACTACTGGTTTGGGCGGGAGGGGGTCCATGGGCTGTAAAATCTCCGGGGACTGCTTCACTGACACGTCTGGCTGGGCCCCAGTGCCTCTTTCTCCAGCCAGACTCCGTCGTTTCCCTGCCGTGGTTCTCCTTGCTGCGTTGCTGCAGTTACCATTGCTGAGGCTGCAGTGTGCTTGTGGAGCCTCTGGGGACACTCTTTCGCCATATGCTGTGGATCATCGCAGATGTAACACTTCCTGTTCCCTCTAGGAGGCTTCGCTTTCTTTTTTTTTTTTTTTTAAAGCAATTTATTGGATTTTACAATAGGAATAAATGTAATAAACAATATAACATTCGTCTTAACATAATTTCACATTTTCTTTGGACTTCCTCACATCTCCCGCTCCCACCTTATGTTGGTTTCTATTTCCCTCACTGAGCAGCAACTGCAGTCACAAGACATTGTTTTGCATTCCACAGTCAGAGTTACTGTTGGAGTTTCTCACGGGAAAGGGAGACTGGATGTGACGTACACTGGTTTCCTGTTTTTCACTGTGATTCTCTCCGAGCTGAGAGAGGAGAGAGGATGCATTTTTCTGCTCCTGCAGAGGCAAGATGTCTTTCTGTAATATACCAGCTTTGAACTGTAAATAAAGCAATATAGAGTATGTAGCACGTATTACTCATCCTTCCGCTGGGCACGACAGACTCTGCTTAAATCAACACGAGGTTATGGACTCCAGAGGTCGAATCGGAGTGCCGGCAGAGGATCGGAATGCAGAGGGACGGATCGGAAAGGAATCTGCTCTGCGCGTAGAAGTGATTGATGAGGTATGTGCTACTGCTCCGGGCAGCCTGCCAGCTTCAAGTTAATGGCTTTATGGCTGGACTTTGAACTTTTAAAGCCGGTTTTGCCGGGAATAGGCAAAAGGCTCCCAGGCACAAGTCACTATGCTGGGGAAATCGAAAGTAACTTTTAAGTGTGCCTTTGTAATGAGGCAGCTGCAGCAGTGACGCAGCAAGATTTAAAGCAGCATATATATGACGCTGAAGGCTAATGCCAGAGTCATGATGGCCCTTCAGGATGCTTGTGGGATTCCTAAGCTCAACAAGAAAAATTACAGCGACTGGGTTCAGTATGCAGAGGCAATTCTGCGGAAAGAGGGTCTGTTTGAGGTGATTACAGAAACCCCCCCAGTTCCAGTTACAGATGCATGGGAAGCTAAGGATTCCAAAGCAAGGGGAACTCTTACGTTGATAGTATCCCCAGAAGAGCTCTGTCTATTGCGTGATAAGACCTCAGCCAGAGAAATTTGGGACGCTCTGAGAGAGGCTCACTTAAGGACAGAAGCTGGATCCACTATGTTTTATTTTAACAAGCTGCATAATATGGCTCTTGCTGAAGGTGGAGATGTGCGTTTACATCTGATGCAGATGCAAAATCTGAGACATGAGCTGCAACAGAGAGGACTCAACTTTCCAGAGGCTGTGTATTCTTTCATGATACTACAATCTTTGGGTTCAGGTTGGGAGTCTGTTGCAACCCAGATTGCTGTGCAACCTACTGCTCAGCTGACAGTGGACTTTGTTACTGCCGTGATTTTAAATGACGCAGATCGCCGGGTGCTGGCTGCATGGGCAAGGGGGAGTCTTCACAGACGTCATCCCATAGTGCAGTGGAACCACCAGATGGCGCCAAAGCTTTGAAGGCAGTCAAATGCAACTCGTGTGGACGTCTAGGCCATATGAAGAGGGAATGCAGATATCCCAGGGCCAAGACAGAGCAGCGCAGCGAAAGCTCATCGCGCGGAAAAGGCCGAGGCAAAGGCAAAGGTCCGGTGTCTAGGACAACGCAGCACAAGGCTATGGTTTCACGCTTCACTCCAAAGGTTGCAGAGGCCCAGAAGACGTCTAGATCTTTCTTCGTTATTGATTCAGCGGCCACCCACCACATGTGCAACGATAAGAAACTGTTTGTGTCTTTTACACCGCAGGAAGGTGCGATTCACCAGGCGGATGACCACACTATTCCCAGTAAAGGCTACGGAACTGTTGTTCTTCACAGTTTGGACTTATCGATACAGAATGTGCTTTACGTGCCAGACGCCAAACATAATCTGCTCAGCGTTGGACAGCTGAATGAGCGGAACATTGACGTTTCCTTCAAGAACAAGAAGTGCATCATCACAAAGAAGAATGATTATGTATTGCATGCAGAATATGTTGATCATTTGTTTGTTTTGTATTATGATGATGTGGTGCAGGATGACACTTGTTGCATTGCAGGTACTAACAAAAGTTTGCATGCAGAATGTATTCACGATTTTCATAGAAAATTTGGTCATTTGAATTTTGAGGCAGTATCTAAAATGCCTGCCTTGGTTGAAGGTATGACTATTAAACCCTGCAGGTACCACATGAAGTGCAAAGCATGCGCAGCAAACAAGGTGAAAATGGCTGCGAAAGGTAAGGTGTCTAGTAGGAAAGCTACAGAACCATACCAGGTTGTTCATGCTGATTTGGTTGGACCACTTGCGCCCTCTTTGGGTGGAAATAGATACTTCATGGTTCTCATTGATGCATTTTCTAGATATATTTTTGTGTACAATCTCAAGCAGAAATCGGAGGCTTTTCCTAGGTTCAAGGAATTCTGTGCTTGGTTGGAAAATGTGCATGGTAAGAAGATAAAGACTCTTTTCAGTGATCGCGGGGGGGAATTCACTTCTCAGCAGTTTGAAGCTTTTCTGACTGAGAAAGGAATTCAACACGATTTGTCTAGTCCTCGCTCGCCATGGCAGAATGGACTTGCGGAACGGGCAAATCAGACATTGCTTCAAGGATTAAAAACCTTGCTGCATGATGCCAATCTTCCAGAGAGTTATTGGGCCGAATCTCTCTCGTGTTTTGTTTACAGTTACAATCGCAGGTTATCTTCAGCGATTGGATGTACCTCTATGAGAAGATGTTTGGCAAGAAGCCATACATCAAACACATGAAGATTTTTGGTTCTGACATGTGGGTTCACTCACCACAAAACTCCAAGTTAGACAAGCGTGGATTGCATGGTATCTTTCTAGGTTATCAGAAAGGGTCTTACAGAATAATGATGACTGACTCTAAGACAATTAAGCTCACGAGAAGTGTCGAGTACAATGCAAAGTGGTGGAGAATGTGGGAATTTTCCAATGTTATCCTGATGACGGTGATGAGACTGAGGATAGTCAAAAGCAACCACAACAGCCCACACCCACTGATGAAGGTTCTGAGTCTGAATCTGAAACTGAATCGGGTGATTCAGAGGATTTCAAGAGTGCGAAAGCCTCTATGCGACCCTCTGAAAGCTCTGATCAAGAATTGGAGGAACCATTGTTCACAATAGGTCGTTTTTCTCCTAAGAAGGAAGAGGAGAGTGTTGAAGACTTAAGGATAATTCGTAGGTCACAGAGAGCCACAAAAGGCAAACCTCCAAAGAGATTTGCTGATGAGTTTGCTAAGATAGCAGTAACAGCTGTTAAAAGCTCCAAGAAGGTATTTGAACCTTCAAGTTTCCAAGAAATCCAGGGTTTGGATTCAAAGGAAGCTGAGCCATGGTTAAATGCCATGAAGGCTGAGCTTGATTCCTTAGAAAGGAACAAAACATGGGATCTAGTTCCAGTAGGTCCAGGAATGAAACTGCTTGGAAGCAAATGGGTCTTCAAAGCGAAGACAGATCAAAATGGCAAGATAGTCAGACACAAAGCCAGATTGGTAGCCAGAGGTTTTGCACAGGTACCAGGTGAAGACTATCACGAGACCTATTCACCCACAGTGAGATATGAAAGCATTAGGCTTATGCTTAAGCTAGCTGCAGAGGAAAATCTACACATTAGTCACCATGATATTAATACAGCTTTTCTGTACGGATCTCTAGATGAATCACTTTATATGCTTCCACCTGATGGCGTACAGGTAAAACAGGGATTTGTTTGTGCTCTGAAGAAATCCCTTTATGGTCTCAAACAAAGTGCACGGTGTTGGCACACAAAACTCACTGAAGTATTGTTTTCTCTAGGTTTTCAGCAAGGGAAAGCTGATCCATGTGTATTTGTCAAAGAGGAGGGGCAAAAGAAACTGTACTGTTTGTTTTATGTTGATGATTTATTATTCTTTTGGAAAGATGTTGCAATGTACAATAGCGCCCTAGCTCAACTGAAAGAGCACTTTGACATGAAAGATCTTGGTGAGGTAAACAACTACCTATCTCTGGAAATAGAGAGAGATCAAGATGGTAACATTCTAGTACACCAGTCACGGAAAATTGCTGATGTGTTAAGCAAACTAAATCTGATGGATGCTAACCCTGTAGACACACCGATGACAACAGGTTATCAGGTAGATGACACTGAAGAAGCATTTTCTGACACTACACTGTACAGGAGTGTGCTAGGCAAGCTAAACTTCATTGCCAGATGTTCAAGACCAGACATTGCTGTTAGCTGTAATTTGCTAAGCAGACAAGTCAACAATCCTAGTGTCAAGGATTGGAAAGCTCTGAAACGCATAGCGCGGTATTTGAAAGGCACTATGCATTACAGACTGAGATTTAACAATCAGAAGTCTGGTGGTCTTGAGATATTTGCAGATGCAAGTTTTGGAAGTGACACTACAGACAGGAAAAGTACGTCTGGAGTTTGCTACATGTACAATCAGAGTCTGTTTGATTGGTCATGCAAGAAGCAAACAACAGTTAGCTTAAGTACTTGTGAAGCCGAACTGAATGCACTGTCTTATTCACTTAAGGATTGTGAATGGTTAGTACAATTGTGCAAAGATATGAAAATTCCTGTCAAATGTCCAATCCAGGTTTACCAGGACAACAAAGCATGTTTGGCTTTGCTGAAGTCTGAAGGTTGTAAGCAAAGCACAAAGCACTTACAATTAAAGTTGCAGCATGCTAGGGAATGTATTCAGAAGGGACTCGTAACGGTGTCCTATATGCCAGGTAATGAAATTCCTGCTGATGTATTGTCCAAGATTGTATCAAGGGATCAACACTGTACCTATGTGCAGAAGTTGGGTTTGTACTGATATTGTGCAAACACGCTGCCCAGTGATGTTCACAGAAAGGGGGAGGATGTTGGTTTCTATTTCCTCACTGAGCAGCAACTGCAGTCACAAGACATTGTTTTGCATTCCACAGTCAGAGTTACTGTTGGAGTTTCTCACGGGAAAGGGAGACTGGATGTGACGTACACTGGTTTCCTGTTTTTTCACTGTGTTTTTCTCTCCGAGCTGAGAGAGGAGAGAGGATGCATTTTCTGCTCCTGCAGAGGCAAGATGTCTTTCTGTAATATACCAGCTTTGAACTGTAAATAAAGCAATACAGAGTATGTAGCACGTATTACTCATCCTTCCGCTGGGCACGACAGACTCTGCTTAAATCAACACCTTCATCATTATAACATTTTGTCAGCAATTTATCATCTTATTTAAATTCTTATATCTCTTCGATATTTCATGATCTTATAGTTCTCATAAAGAGTTAAACTTTCACAGTTTTTCTTATTTTCTTAAAAACTTCTAAGTTAAGTGGTGCTCAGTTATTTAGTCTAGCATCTTATTCAGCATTCAGTCAAATCACAATGTTTTTGTAGGTAGTTCTTAAATTTCTTCCAATCCTCCTCGATTCTCTCTTCTCCCAGGTCTGCCAGTCATTTCAGCCAGTTGCATATAGTCTATCAGTTGCATCTGCCATTCTTCCAGTGTGGGTAGATCTTGAGTTTTCCAATGTTTTGCGAGTAGTATCCTTGCTGCTGTTGTTGCATACATAAAAATGTTTGGTCCTTCTTTGCCACCCCTTGGCTGACAATACCCAAAAGGAAAGCCTCTGGTTTCTTAGTGAAAGTATATTTAAATACCTTTTTCAATTCATTATAAATCATTTCCCAGAACGCCTTCACTTTAGGGCAGGTCCACCAGAGGTGAAAGAACGTTCCTTCACACTCTTTACATTTCCAGCACTTGTTATCAGACAGGTGGTAAATTTTTGCGAGTTTGACTGGGGTCATATACCATCTATAAATCATTTTCATTACATTTTCTTTCAAAGCATTACATGCAGTAAATTTCAATCCATTACTCCACAGCCTTTCCCAGTCCTCAAACATAATATTATGCCCAATATCCTGTGCCCACCTTATCATAGCCGATTTAACCATTTCATCTTGTGTATTCCATTCCAACAGCAAGTTATACATCCTTGAAAGTATCTTAATCTTTGGTTCTAACAATTCTGTTTCTAATTTCGATTTCTCCACCTGGAACCCTAGTTTCTTATCATTTTTAAAAACTTCTTTAATCTGAGCATAATGTAACCAATCTCGCACTTTGTCTTTCATTTTCTCCAAACTCTGCAATTTCCAATTGTCTCCATCTTTTTCTAGTATTTCCCAATATTTTGGCCATTTGGCCTCCATATTGGGTCTTTTAAGGTGAAAGCCACCTTGGTGTTTTATTTTCCAGCAAGTCTTTATATTTTGTCCAGACATTAAACAGTGATTTTCTAACAATATGGTTCTTAAAGGCCTTATTTGCTTTAACTTTGTCATACCATAAATATGCATGCCATCCAAAAACATTGTTAAACCCTTCCAAATCTAACACATCAGTGTCTTCAAGAAGTAGCCAATCTTTTAGCCAGCAGAACGCTGCGGCTTCGTAATACAACTTTAAGTCCGGCAGGGCAAAGCCCCTCTTTGTTTTGCATCAGTTAGTATCTTAAACTTAATTCTGGGCTTTTGCCCTGCCAGACAAACTTCGAAATGTCTCTCTGCCACTTCTGAAAGCACTCCATTTTGTCCAAAACCTGAAGTGTTTGAAATAAAAACAACATTCTTGGCAATACATTCATCTTAATCGCAGCAATTCGGCCTAACAAAGAAAGTTTCAATTTTGACCAACTGTCTAAGTCTCTCTTAATTTCTGTCCAACATTTTTCATAGTTATCCTTAAATAGACTTAGATTTTTTGCTGTTATGTTTACCCCTAGGTATTTTACTTTTTAACCACATTAAGTTCCGTCTCATTCTGAAACCGTTCTGACTCTGTCTCAGTCAAATTTTTTCCCAAAACCTTGGTTTTCTGTTTATTTAATTTAAATCCCGCCACCCGACCAAAGTCATTAATCAATTGTAATACTCTTTTCGTACTAGGCTCTGGCTTCTGCAAGGTCAAAACCAGGTCATCTGCAAAAGCTTTTAGTTTATATTGTTTCTGACCAACCTGAATTCCTTCCACCAACTGGTCCCCTCTAATCATGTTCAATAGCACTTCCAGAACCGAAATAAATAACAAAGGGGAGATAGGGCAACCTTGTCGTGTCCCTTTTTCAATTTTGAACTCTTCTGTAACCACATTATTAACTATCAGTTTAGCTTTCTGTTCTGAATATATCGCCTCAATCCCATTCTCAAAACCCCGTCCCACTCCCATCTCTTTTAAGTTTCCCATCATAAATTTCCAAGAAATATTATCAAAGGCCTTCTCCGCATCTATAAAAATTAAAACTGCTTTTGTATTTATATCAGTTTGGAGAAGTTCCAAGATATCAATAATGTTCCTTGTGTTAGCAAACAGATGTCTACCTGGGAGAAAACCGGCCTGGTCCTTATGAATTACTTCATTTAAAACTTTTTTAAATCTACTTGCCAGAATATCTGCAAATATTTTGTAATCCACATTTAAAAGGGAGATGGGACGGTAGTTCTTCAGTTGTGTCTTTTCAGCTTCTGACTTTGGTATCAATGTGATAAACGCTTCCTTCCACGAATCCGGTGCCCTCTTCCCTCCATAATTTCATTGCTAACCTCCATCAAGGGTTGTATCAAATAGTCTTTTAGTGTCTTATAATACTTGGAGGTCAGCCCGTCTGGCCCTGGAGATTTGCCAAGTTGCATGTTCTGAATAGCTTGTTCAATCTCCTGTCGTGTTATTTTAGAGTTCAGGGTTGTCCTATTTTCTTGTGACAGTTTAGATAATCCATTTTTTGCCAAAAATTGTTTAATCTCGACTTCGTCTTGCGGCCCTTGGGTATATAGTTTTTTAAAATATCTCTGGAAACACTTTCTAATGTCCAAAGGAGGCTTCGCTTTCACTGCTGCCGGTGCTAGGGCTCTGGCTGCTGACTGAGCCCTCGCACCTCCAACCTCCATAGGTTCCGCTCCTCCTCCTGGCGGAGGCGTGGATTGCGCACGCGCTGCTTCTCTGGGAAGGAAGGAGGAGCCCCTGGCTGGTTCGCGCCCTCCACGCCCTTCGTCCCTGCTCCACGGACGTTCTTCCAGCCGCACCCCCACCGCCAGCGCCCTCTGAACGATCTCCTGCGTGGTCCGGGTCTCTCCCCTCGCAATTTCATCTTTAACCGAGCCGTGCAATCCCTCCCAAAACAGGTCTCTTACAGGAGCCGAATCTCTGTCCCATTCCAGAGCACTGACCAAAGCGAAAAAGCGGGCATGGTACTGCCTTACGCTGGCCCTCCCTTGCTTCAGTCCATGTATCTGCTGCCGAGCAAGATCCACGTCAATGCTTGATAAAAAGCACCCATCCATCGCTTTAATAAAGGCATCCGCATTTTGGAGCGCCGGATCCTTATCTCTCCACAAATTGCGCAGCCATGCTTTAGCATCTCCATGCAAATGGGACATGATGAATCCCACCTTCTCTTGCTCATCTCTAAAGTCTTTGTTCAGCAGTTGCAGTGCACACATTACATCTGCTCTAAAGTTGGGGTACTGTTGCAAATTCCCATCGAAGTGAGAGACCAGACCGCCTGTGACCTGGAGATCCCTGTAGGCGGCAGCTGCGTCCTCCTCTCTCTTCCTGGATGCAAGAGCCTCGGCATTCAGTCGTGACACTGCTTCTCTGAGTTCCGCTATCTGCTGTTCGGCCGTCATATTGTCTGCCGTTCGTGAGCTCGCTAGTAGGCACCCGCTTCTCTCCTCTCCGCGAGGCCGTAGATGCCCACAATTTAGGAGACGGAGCTTACTGTCAGAGCTGCTTCCAGATCCTAGCTCACAGAGGATCACGCTAGCCAGCGATCATTAAACAAAAGTCTTTATTGAGTTACAGTTTCCATTCTCAAGCTGCTGCGTGCAACTCTACGTCTCATGCTTAGACCGGCGAAGCTCCGCCTGAGTCTCCGCCCCTTGTACACCAACTTAATATCCTAGCCCTGCTCCACCTTTTCCGCCTGACTGTTCTTCTCTGGGTCCCTCTGCCCCCGGGGTCTCTTCCTTCCGGGATTCCTCTGACGCTGACGCTGACTCCCTGACTCTTCTCCCTCCTTTCGGCGGGCTTTGGGACCTGGCTCCCTTCCGGGCTGCCTACTGCGCCACCTTCCTGTGCATTTGAACTTGCGCGCGCGCCCAACCTTCCACCTTCCGTCTGACCGTTTCTTCGCTCCCCGATGGAGGTGTGGCCACCCTGACTCGTGCCCTCCCCTGTTGTGAGTTGCCAGCGCTTGATCCCTGGCGCCCTTCCTCTTCCCTGCTCTCTGGCGGTGACGTTGGTCCCGATTTCCAACTGCTCCCTCTGAGTCCCCTCTGGCTCTATCTTCCTGGGGTGTCCCCCTAGGCTCCCCCCTTGCCCTGGCCACTGGTGCTCCTTTCTGTGAATCTTCTGATTCACTGGAAAGACTCGGAGATCTCGGGTCGTCGTCATCACTCATCTTTTCTTCTGCCTCCTCCCCCTCGCTCTCTGTTTCCTCCCTTGCCCTTGCCTCTGCTCCTGAACCCCTGACACCAATGAAAAGGCTTTAAAAAATCTATTCCAATAAAAGAGAGGTCTTATGGAACCTGCCCCATTAAAAGAGGTCACAAGTTCTTGAAACCCTTCAAATAAGGGTGAAAAGCCCAGGTAAAAAGAAAAATTTTTGCCAGGTGCCTAAAAATTAATCAAAATGGTGCTAGGTGATCCTCCCTGGGTGGGACATTCCCCATAAGTGGGGAGCTACCACTGAAAAGGACCATTCTTGTGTTTCCAGCTTCTGACCTCTTGTTGATGGGGACCATGGTGATGGGTCTCAGATGATAGTTGCAGATGACCTTTGTGGGGCACAAGCCTGGGCTGCCCAGAGGACAAGTCCCCACCCTTTCGGCCTTGGTGATGTGGTGCAAAGGAAAGCAGAGCAATACATTTGGCTCTAGCTTGACTGCAGGAATTGTTGGAAGGAGGCATACAAGGCGCCATCCAACCATCTTAGGGACTCCACTCTGGAATTGTGTAGGGTTTACTTCTTAGCTTTTTCTTCTCCTGAAGATGTCCTGAAAGGCAGCAGCTACAGATTTTTCCTCAGGGTTTGCTCCCAAAGCCTTTCTCATGAATCGAGTTTAGCCGCAAAGCAGTGGAGTGTATAGGATTACAGTGGTAGAAAAGGCACTCCCAAGTTGAGTTCTCCTTCTCTTCCACAACATATTGGATTATTTCCTCCATGTTGTGATAGCACATGTTTTCCCCATTCCTGCTAGTGGCAGCCCATGGCGTGAAGGGAAATAGAATATCATGATTTGGGATAAGTGATGCTACATGTTAGTGGGAAAACACGATGCAAGGATGCTGTCTTCAGAAAAGGTCCCCTGACTGCTGTAACCCATAGTTGTGCTCTTAAAAGCAACAGTTTTCTTGGTTTGTTTTTTCTTGTTTAAATGATGGCAGTATGCAAAACACATGATCCAAGCAGCTTTGAACAAATGGCCTTCATACCTGATAAATGCAAGGTGGCATGGGGCTGAATACTGAGGAAGTTTGCTAGGGATGTTGCAACATGGCAGATTAAAAAATCCTTTAGTGCAGATTGCCTTTCTGCCTTGGGGAAAGGCTATTTAGAACAGAGTTTCTACCCTGGAGAAGATCAGAATGTGTGAAAGAGAAAAATGACAATGCTTGGTTGTGTTTAGCTCATTGGTTTGGATTGGGGCATCAAAATAGAGACTGGTTTAGTCAAATTGCAGTTACCAGAGTATTTTTTGAAAACAGTTGTGATGCCTGAGGGATGTCATCATGGGTGCATCAGCTGGTGCTGTCAGACATTTTCAGCACCTGTACTAGTATTTCTGAAGGTATCTGATTACTGTGGAAACAAATGCAATGACCAGGTTTAATTTTGAATTGACATTTCATACAAAAATAAAACAATAGCTGTGAAGGATCTGCTTTAGCCTGTTAGACAGGAAATCATGAGATTAATCTAGTACTTGTGTGTATTTTCTTGGAGGTAATCTCCATAGAGCTCAGTCAACCTGACTCTCATGTATTGTGCATAATATTGTAGAATTTAACAAATAATTAAGTTATTAGTATTAAAGATATAAGTAACAAAACAGACTTAAAGCACCTGGGGTTTATTTATTAGAACTGAATTCCAATTATCCAGTAATTAAAAGGTTCCTGTTTGACAGTCCAAGTCACTATGTTTTCTCCTTCTGCCTATCCTTTGTAGATTTGCTTATGAATTCTATATATGATCTGTGTTTGAGAAGATGTGATGTATTTGCACTTAATTTTTATTTATATTGTAACTGAACTATGGTGTGAGCAGGCAATGGCTTAGATCTCAAGATCTATTAGTTATTTGTGGCTGAGAGGGATTTGACTTCTGTTTTGGCTTAAATGTTTCCCCCCACCTGCCATGGCCTTACAGGATATACCATTTTTAAAAGCGAGAGCAGTTTTAAAAGCAGTTTGTTTGATATGGTGTGGCATCACAATAACCCTGTAAATCATTGTTTTTAAATGCTACTGGTCCTCTCAGAGCCCTTTGTATCTCAGCCAGTGTTGCAGCAGATAGAAATTGTAGTGTATTTTACTGTTCCTTCAAGTGCATTAGAAATTCTTTTTCTATCCTGCTTGTGAAAAATGTGAGGTTTAGCAATGCTTCTGAGAACATTGAAGAGGCCCTCCTGGAAACTATGTCAACTCTCTCAGGAATATAGCTATAATTTTATGAAAAATGCTTCTCACTCCATAGAGATATTGGAGCTTTTGTGCAGGATTTAATAGACCATAATATTCCTTTGCCAAATGGTGGTAAAATGGTGATTTTCACTGAAATTTCATAGAGAAGGGGTTTTGAAAGCATTTTTAAAAGTGTCCTTTTGTCTCCATCTTTGTTACATTCGTTCTGTTTACGCAAGAACTTTCTAGAGTGGCTTCTATATTCATTTGCAAAGGTGAACATACTCAAATAGTTAACATTTTGTCCTCCAAATAATGGAATATAATGGTGTCCGTTTTCTGGGTTTTTGCTTTTAGAATGTACTAGTTTTTCCACCTGCCTGCACAGTGGGGTTTCTAGAGTCTCTTCTTCCTCCAGGAGAGGAGGACAGTGATTTATGGGCTTTGGCGCTGCCTGCAAGGCAGGGAGGGGGAAAAAGTATGGTCAGAGCCATCAGAGATGGAGATGAGCACACAGGACATGCCAGAGGAAGAGGCTGTTCAGGGGAATGACAGCCTAGTCAAATCCCCACCATCCCTCGCGCCTCTGTCTCCTAGAGCCAAGAGGGGCCTGAAAAGGGAAGAGCAGCGAGGGCTTCCATTTAGGAGAAGTCTCAGGTTGCTTGCATGCACCCCGCCAGATGAGAGTGCAGAAGTTGGAGGGGAATGTGGTCCCACTGTTGCAGCAGCTGCTCTGCAGTTACCACTCACTATACCGACAAGACATCTTATCCCCAACCCACCAATTATTACAAAGCAAGCTTTTGGTGTATAAAAACTCATAGGGTGGAATACAACATTGCACTCTTCTCATTGTTCTATCTGCGCAAGCACTGCAGCTTGCCAGATGGAACGATTCCTCTTCCTCTCCCTGCTTACGTGCTATTTTAGGGTTGCTCCAAGCCCCCACAAGCCAATTTTGGGGTGTGGGGGGAGGAAAGCCCCATTGCGCAAGCGGGCGTCCTTGCACAGAGCTTCCACTGATGTGACTGGTTAGGTGAATCCCGCTCATGGCAGCAATTAAGCATAATTTACAACCAGCCTATTTATCCCCCTCCACCTAGGGCAATCTAGTATCAAACAAGTGTTAGCAATTTCACTCCTCCGATGCTGCAGATGAGATTGTTGTAAATCACATGCCTGTCTGGGACAAGTGTGGGGAACAGAAGACAGTCTTATGTCTTCCTCTGTAATGTACTTTCACTTTTATTTGTTCTGTTTGTTCTCTCGGAGCTGGAGAGAACGGACGCCATTATGCTTTTGTCTGTACATAATGTGTAAATAAATAGTAAATTAGCTCTACGATGTCTCACTCTTCTTGCTGAGGAAGTGCCAGAAGCTTAGTGTGCATATATCATTCTGGGGAAAATGGCTTTGGCAGTCCCACCCACCATTGAACCCAGTGTGTTTTGACTATACAGTGGTACCTCGGGTTACATATGCTTCAGGTTATAGACTCCGCTAACCCAGAAATAGTACCTCGGGTTAAGAACTTTGCTTCAGGATGAGAACAAAAATCGTACAGCGGCGGCGCAGCAGCAGCAGCAGGAGGCCCCATTAGCTAAAGTGGTGCTTCAGGTTAAGAACAGTTTCAGGTTAAGAACAGACCTCCAGAACGAATTCAGTTCTTAACCGAAGGGACCATTGTACATTATTTTGACTTTAGGCGCAATCCTTGGAATGTAACCCCTATGTAAATTGCGGGCTTCCTGTGATCTATACCTGTTCAGTTTCTCATTTTTAAAGCTAGTAGTTGATCTTTTATCAGCATAAGTGACTGGATAGGTACTGAAATATACACTTTCGTAGCCAAAGCACGAAATATGGTTGGTTTATGCCAAAGGTTATATAGTTGATCATGGTTCTTGCAATGTGAGGTTGTGTTGTCATGAACTTTGAAGATTATGTTGTGAAAATAGTGAGTCAGGAGCTGGAATTCATTGACACATTCCAAACATGACCTTCTGTTATCTTGGTATGTCCTCTCAGAAAGTGTTTAAGAATCTCTAGAGGCCATTCCACTTATGCAACAGCAAACCTAGCTACTAGAAGTTCCTGTTGATACATTTGTGCATTTGTGTGCGCACATCTGTGAGGTGCATTTAAAGCTTTAGACTTCCTATTGTGCCTGGAACAATAGAAGTTAAATGCAGCCAGGCTCATGACATGAGGCAAAATTACTGGAAGGTATAAATTAATCTGTAAGGGCAAAAGGAAAATTGGCAGGTATTTCTGCGGTATTGGACAGCACTAATGAGCTCTGGCTTAGAATGAAAAGCTTGCACCGGGTGAGAGTTGAAAAATGTGAAGTAATTAGGCTTGGCTTTTGTACCACAGGAAAGAAACCAGCAACTAGCAGGGGGATTTAATTATAAAATACAGAAGGGAAGAAAGAGATTGATGTCAGTAAGCTTTGTGTGATTGTATTAGACTAATGGAACAAGAGGTCACTGCCTGATTTTTGTTTCTGCTTTAGTCTGGACGAAAAAAGTTTTCAAGGGGCTAGTTTAAATGAAAGTGTAACAGACCTGGATGTGGGAGTGATGGAATACTGTAATTTAGGAATGAAACATGTATAATGCAGCCATAAAAGGTAAAGGGACCCCTGACCATTAGGTCCAGTCGTGACTGACTCTGGGGTTGTGGCGCTCATATTGCTTTATTGGCCGAGGGAGCTGGCGTACAGCTTCCGGGTCATGTGGCCAGCAGGACTAAGCCACTTCTGGCGAACCAGAGCAGCGCACGGAAACGCCGTTTACCTTCCCGCCGGAGCGGTACCTATTTATCTACTTGCACTTTGACGTGCTTTTGAACTTCTAGGTGGGCAGGAGCTAGGACCGAGCAACGGGAGCTCACCCCATTGCGGGGATTTGAACCGCCGACCTTCTGATCAGCAAGTCCTGGGCTCTGTGGTTTAACCCACAATGCAGCCATAGTGGCCTCCAAATGTTGTTGGACTACAGCTGTCATCCTCCTTGACCATTGACCTTCTCGACTGGGCTGATGGGAGTAGGAGCCTAATATCATCTAGAGGGCACTAGGTAGACAACATCAACATCCATCAACTACACCCACACTCACTTACAGACTCACTGTTAAGACCGTGTTCATGGAAGACAATCTTACTTGGCTACGAGTGATCGCCAAAGAAGAATAAAGAAGAGTAGGTAGAGAAAGCGCTGTAGTACACAGTTCTGCGATTAACACCTGAACTATGTTTTTGGCCTGGCATTAATTTCAGTGAAATATCCCTGAGTGACCAAGCTTGTAATTGGACATCAAAGAGTAGCTCCCACATACCCTCCTCCCCACCCCCATCCCGGTTACTTCTAGTAATATAAACCACTTGGTCACACCATTGCTTTTTCCAGCCTGTGCTCAGCTAATTTAATGAGGCAGGGAGATTTGTAGTACAGTGATGTCGCCTCACATATTTTGCATTACTGGATATCTTTTGTGGGGTGGGGAGAGGAGGCAACAGCATAGGGCTGTTTGTTGGAGGAGGAGGAGCTATACATCACCAGTATCATCTAGTCTGGCCTGAAACCTGGTGACCAAATCTTTGCTAGCAAATCCTCCTGAATCCTAAGGGTGTGTGCATTTGTGATGGGCACAGAGTTACTTGAGGTACAATATTAGATGGTGGCTTCAAGGATGGCACCTGATTTGATGACCGATCAGGATGCCTGATGTGATTTCCTTGTTGCCATTGTCTCACCACTGCCTTTCCTTACCCTTCTTCAGGAAGTCAGCCTGAAGACGTGAGGACAAAAATTGGGCAGGGCATGCGTCCATCCTTCTTGGGCGTGTCTGCTTCTAACCTTTTGTTGTTTAGTCATTTAGTCGTGTCCGACTCTTCGTGACCCCATGGACCAGAGTACGCCAGGCACTCCTGTCTTCTAACCTTACCTTTCTGCTTTGGGTGGGAAAGTATGGGAGAGCTTCTAAATGCATCCTACCGATCATGCCTAGAAGTCCCCTTCCAACCTTTGTGCTAAAGATGTGAAGGTTGGGTGTGTCGGGGGTAGCATACACTGAGATGTTGTAGGTTTAGCTTGCACTGAGCCCCCAACACACGCCTAGCCCTTGTGCGTTCAGACTGAATCTCTAAAGAGGGCACTTGTATTGCGGCATGTATAACCCCTGTTATCCATTTGGTAAAGGTTTTGTAGATAGCAATAGTGCTGATTTACATTGCTGTACTAGTTAGAAAGACTTAGATCAGCCTACAGCCCTAGTGCAGCACTGCAGGTTGTAATGTTGCACTGGTACAGTGGTACCTCGGGTTACAAACACCTCGGGTTACAAACACTTTGGGTTACAGACTCCGCTAACCTGGAAGTAGTATCTTGGGTTAAGAACTTTGTCCCAGGATGAGAACAGAAATCGTGCGGTGGCGGCACAGCGGCAGCGGGAGGCCCCATTAGCTAAAGTGGTACCTCAGGTTAAGAATGGTTTCAAGTTAAGAACGGAACTCCAGAATGAATTAAGTTCGTAACCAGAGGTACCACTGTACCTATAGTACCCCAGAGGTACTATAGCAGTGTCTGTACTCTACTGTAGGCATTTATTTTTCAGTGCAGTAGCTCACAGGACCAGATAGCGAACTTTTTTGTGAAAGCTTTTGTAAAATGAGTGAGGAGGTAACGTGGTGGAAGTTGGTGCCATTTTATCATTCCTTGGTTGAGTGAGTGAAGTGATGACCCAATAAATCATTGTGCTTTGGCTGATAAGCCACCAGGTGCTCAGCTTGTTCCACTGCATCCACTCTCTAACACTTGCTTATGTTGCAAAAAAAGAAAATGGGGAAATTTATACATATTTTGCACTTATGCTCAAACTCTGCTTTTAATATGGGCCCTGAATCTTTAAAGTGTTGCAGGAGGACTTAATTATGTTTTTGTTGTAATAGACTAGATTGGGAATTCAGTTTTTGCTTGTGTGGTCAGATATAACGTTACTTTTCAGATCTTAGTCCAGCTTTCAGTGAAGAAGCAATGATTGTAATTCTTCTATTTTTAAAAAGCCATTATCGCTATTCTAATGCACCAGTGGTCTGACAGATTAAAGTAACAAAGTTGCATACTTGCCCAGAATTAAGAGTACTGTATTTCACCAAAGTGAAGTTGATTTTTCTCCTTTTCTCTTAATTAAGGCAAAAGTAGATTATGAAAAAGAAGAGCGACGCAAAGAACTGAAGCGACTGCGAGGGGAGGATACATGGATGCTGTCTGATGTGAATGAACGTTTAGAGGAATTGGGAAAGGTGATGTTTGTCACACCAACTAATAAATACTTGTGATTAATGTGTAATGACTATGCTAAAGCAGCATCATATAAAATGATGCTGTTTTTGGCATTGCGGTTGTATTCATTTGTTCTGTAAAAAGGCTTTCACTTGTTCCTGTTGCAAAGGTATGCAGATAGGTAACAATGGTTTAAAGGCAAATATCAAACGTGCTTAACTGTCTGTTTCCTGATAGGTAACCAACTAAAACTAAATTATACCACCTGCTGAAATTCTCAGTGACTTCAGGATGAAAAAGAAAGTTTCACTAGATTTCAAATTAAAACACCAACAGTATAATAATAGTAAAAACAATGGATCAAAAAGTTCTTGGCTAATGCCAAAACAAGCATCACTTACATAAGAGCCTCTCTATTCATTATTGTCTATTATATCTCTGAAGCCAGAGGCATCTGGGGAAGGCCATCTGAAGAAGATATTAAGGACCATGTGATTCATATAGGAGAAGATGGAGGCTTCTTTAAACAGTAGATTAATATTTTAAACAAATCTTCTGCAAGATCCTTTTCTGTGATGGCCCCATCTTTGGGTATTTCCATTTACAGGATGTATGTAACTGTTTTTAACTGTTTTTAAATGGGTTGCTTGTATATACCTGCATGAGCTTTAAGACTGACACCTGAACCCCCAAGATCTCCTGGATTGAAGTTTCCCGCTTCATCGGAACATATGTATAATTTCTCACAGAAGGCAGCTGTGGACTCTCTTCTAGCTTCTCGTTTAACTTTTCAAAACTGTGTTAATCTCTGCTAATCTAATCTGGGATACGATTCAGGAAATCTCATCATAACAATTTGAAGCTTCTGGAAAAATGGTTGCACAGCTACAACTTATATCAACATACAGTGGTACCTTGGTTCTCAAACTTATTCTGTTCCGGAAGTCTGTTCCAAAACCAGAGCGTTCCAAAACCCAAGGCGCGCTTTCCCATAGAAGATAATGCAAAATGGATTAATCCATTCCAGATTTTTACGAACAATCCCTAAAACAGCAATTTAACATGAATTTTACTATCTAATGAGACCGTTGATCCATAAAATGAAAGCAATAAAGAATGTACTGCAGTCACACAGTCAGTCAATCAGTAGCTGAACTGGGTTCCACACAGTCGCAAAAACAAAAAGAGCCGCAGAAATAAAAACGCAAAATAAATAGCAAAAGCAGACAGATCTCAGTGTAACATTCAAAACGGAAGTGTGTAACTCAAAACGGAGCACATTTGGCTTCTGAAAAAAGTTCGCAAACCGGAACACTTACTTCCAGGTTTGCAGCGTTCAGGTTCCAAGTTATTTGAGTACCAAGGCGTTTGAGAACCAAGGTACCACTATGTATGTTTATTTCACATGTAGATTCATATTGCTATTTCATAAAATAAGGTGTGCCTTATTACTTCAAGTCTTGTAGCCTGACGTGTTGATATTGGTGTTTCTTTAGGAACATTCTGTTATCAAAAAGAAGAAAAAGGAGAAGCGTTCAAAAAAACATAAAAAAGAAAAGAAGAGCAAGAAGCATAAAGTTGAAAAAAACAATGATTCATCGGATAGCACCTCTGTAAGTTTTAATAATCTGAGTCACCAGTAGGTCGAAAGCTATTGCCACCAGTATTTGACATTGTCGCTCTTATATTTTTTATGTACTTCTAAAGGACAAATATGTTGTACGTTTAAAGTACTATTGCCAGTACAATACAACATAAATCCCTTTTAAAACAAAGAGTGTGGATTCAGTCTCCGCTGTAACTGGATAGCATCTGAATTAAGGCAAGTGCCAGTACTGGTAGCATTTTGGTGTCTCCTAAAAACCTTAATCTCTTGGGCCTTTGCTGGGCATTGATACCAGTTGGGTGCAATAAGCATATCTGTTTGGGCTTAAAGTTGCCTGCAATTTTTTATTTTGTAAGAAAGTTTTAATACGATCTTAATGTATTTTTCTACACCAAGAGAGCGCTTTCTCTGTTGTCATTATAAATCCTCTCAAACTCAACACCAGTGGCAGATACAATTTGTTCAGCGAATTGACAGAAAGTTGAGTTCACAGCAGTACATCATCGAGTTAGCACTCATTCCTGCTCACATTTGCGGGCGTTTCTGGAAGAAGCAGAAATAAGAGGCAAATTCCTCACTGTGTCTCTCATCACATCTCTGTAGTAGCCTCAGCACAGATGTCAGTTAGCCATTAGATATGTTGTCCTGCCAGGCAGAATGATGATGGTGGTGCTTTTAGTGGGATGCTTGGGGAAGGAAAATATTTTTTCAAATTTATTGCTTCTACTGACGCATTTTCAGTGGCTGTGATCTGTACCATAGTGCTGCTCAGGGGAAACATCATACAAAATTAGAGCATGTGTTTTGCATGTGCAAGGTTCTAGGTTCAGTTCTTGGTATCTCTAGTTAATGGACCTCAAGTAAGCAGAAGACCATTGGAGAACTACTGCCAGTCAGACTCCATTATATTTGGCTAGTTTCACCACTGGTTTGACTTTGTGTAAGGCAACTCCTTATATCTGATGGCCAGGATGCTTTCTCTTAGTCTGTGAATTTACTTTGATCTGGTCTTATTTCAGTGTTTAGGTTCTTCTCATATAAAATCGGGGGTTGAATCAACAATGCTGTTATATTTGTAGTGTTTTAATTCAGTACTGTTCACTATGAAAATTTTCACAGATTTTTTAAAAGCCCATTAAATATAAAATGTAACATAAATCAGGAACTATGGAGAGACCTGGTCTTAATAGAGATGTTGGATTCCTCATCTGCATACTATCCCTTACTTTTTTCTGTAGGACTAATTGCTGTCATTAACAGTCATCAACAGGTTTACCATACCCATTGAGTCCATCACCCATCTCCTACTATCCTCCTGAGAAAAACCCCACCCCACCCTCCCACTATATATAAGGGTCTGGTGACTTCTGTTTCAGTGTATCTGAAGAAGTGTGCATGCACACGAAAGCTCATACCAAGAAGAAACTTAGTTGGTCTCTAAGATGCTACTGGACATTTTTTTTTATAATGTATTTTGACATTTTAAAAAACATCAATATAAAACTGTAGCATCAAAGATATGCAAAGCACAAAAACATATTCTTAAAACTCGGAAGACTGGGAAAATTAAAAGGGCTTCACATGATAGCAAAATACTGCAATTGAGACACCAGGTGAGTCTCTCTAGGGAGGCTATTCAATAATTGTGCTACCCTTGAAAACATTATTTCCTCCCATCTTGCCTCTTTTGGCAGGGACACATAGAAGAGGGCCTCAGACGATGGTCTTACGGTCTGCAGGCATAAATGGAAAGACAAGAGTCTTCAAGTGACTTGGCCCAAACGGTTTGATTAGGTTTCTCTCCTGAATGCCTTCTTAATTCTGCCCCCATCTCATTTAAAAGAAAAGAATTGAAATACAGTATTAATGTTGCCTTTTCTCTCCTCACCCCCATTCTATAGTGCTATAAACCCAGTTTTGTAAGAATCAGATGATACTGGGAAAACCTGCCTCATTTTTAAGAGGTCATTTTAATACAGGAAAAATATACATACATCATTATTCTTTGAAACAGTGGGTTCAGCGTTCAGTAGTCTGCAATCTTATTTAGCATTGTATTAATGGTGATGGCATCCAAGCTAATAAATTGGTCCTGCTTTTCTTTTTGAAAAAAATTGCTTTAATGCATCTCAGCCATTCCTGACTCAGACACCTTTTATCTGCATGTCTCCTGCTCGTGAATGCATGTAATGCCACCTCAATTCTATTAATCTGAAATTTCTTTCTACTTCCCTTTTTCTTCATGACATAAGGTAGCCCTCTGAAAGTCTGTCACTGTTTCTTTTTTAAACTGGACTGATTTGAAAGGCATAAAGACCTTTTCAGTCCTCTACAAATTTTCTATTTACACCCCGCCTCCCCAATTTGTCTTTAGGATTCATCGGAGGAATGGGTGGAGGCTTCAGTTTCACAGTCTTCGAACACAGAAAAGGCCTGGAACGTGAGCAAGAAAGAATCAGATGATTCAGGAAGTCCCAAGGCAGTTCAGGTAAGCACCTGTGGTTAACTGTTCTGAAGTATTTAGGATTTCTTTTAAGACTTAAGGCTGAAACAGGTGGTGGTTTTCTTAACTTTCAGGGGAGTGAAGAGTTTTTTTGGATTGGAGAGTAGGGATTTTAATGCTTTTCTTCATGGCACTCATCCAGTTTATATTATCCATCCAGGAGCTGCACTCAAAGAATAAGGCAGGGAACCCACATTCTTTTCTCTGCAGCTATGAGCAGGTTTAAAAGGTGATGGGTGATGGTTTAAATCAAGAAAATGTCACGGGAGAGCAGAAGGCTCAGTCCCTCCCTTTGGACTACCCCTGAGTTTCTTTCTTTATTAATTAAATTTCTATCCTGCCCTTTCTCTCAAAGGAGCCTATGGTCGGTATAATTAAAAATAAAATACAGACGTGTTTAAAGCATTTAAAAACAGTTGCACATTCTCTCAGCTAGCTAGTAATTTCAAGCTAGCCGCCAAATGCCTGGTTGAACAGGAATCATAGAATTGTTGATTGGAAGGGATCCTGAGGATCACCAAGTCCAACCCCCTGCAGTCCAGGAATATGCAGCTGCCCATACAGGGATCAAACCTGCAACCTTCCTGTTATCAGCACCACACTGTAGCCAGCTGAGCTATCCAGGTGCTGTTTTTTAAACTTCTTCTGAATTAATAATATGGGGGACAGGTGTACCTTACCAGGGTGGGTGCTCCACAAAGGGGGGGACTGTCATGCAAGTGTAAGCTTTTTCTTAGCTGAATTATTTTCTGACCAGTTATATATTTATTAGAGTTATTTCTATGCAGTAGAAAAATATCTAGTAGCCTAATTGACTCGATGCCAACAAAGGTCCGTATAGTTAAAGCTATGGTTTTCCCAGTAGCGATGTATGGAAGTGAGAGCTGGACCATAAAGAAGGCTGATTGCCAAAGAATTGATGCTTTTGAATTATGGTGCTGGAGGAGACTCTTGAGAGTCCCATGGATTGCAAGAAGATCAAACTGATCCATTCTTAAGGAAATCAGCCCTGAGTGCTCACTGGAAGGACAGATCCTGAAGCTGAGGCTCCAATACTTTGGCCACCTCATGTGAAGAGAAGACTCCCTGGAAAAGACCCTGATTTTGGGAAAGATGGAGGGCACAAGGAGAAGGGGACGACAGAGGGCGAGATGGTTGGACAGTGTTCTCGAAGCTACTAACATGAGTTTGACCAAACTGCGGGAGGCAGTGGAAGACAGGAGTGCCTGGTGTGCTGTGGTCCATGGGGTCACGAAGAGTCGGACACGACTAAACAACCAACAACAACTATCTGCTGTCCATTCTTGCTCCAGGGTTTTTTTTGGGGGCATAATTGCTCTCTAGGTTTCTCTGCTGCTTTATCATGTGAACTTTTCACTCAAAGTTTGCTAATTTATATGAATTTTTATTCCTCTAGGCACTTGTGGCTAGTGGTTGATGATTCTCTTTCTATAATTTCAAATGCTCTTTCTGGCTTCACTGATCTGGACAGGCTGTAAAGGTTGAGTTTTGACAACTAAGCAAAAATCTTCAGTCCAGGGGTTCACCCAAGCACTTGTTGGTTTGCAAATTCACACCAAGTTGATTCTCTGCAATTAAATTTTGCAGTTCATCCTCAAGAGTTCATAATTAATCAGTTGGTCTAGGATCTAGGGGTCTTAGTAGACCCCAAGCTTAACATGAGCCAACAGTGTGATGCAGCAGTAAAAGAAGCTAATGCTGTTCTAGGTTGCATCAACAGAAGTCTAGTGTCCAGATCAAGGGAAGTAATGCCACTGTATTCTGCCGTGGTCAGACCACACCTGGAATACTGTGTCCAGTTCTGGGCACCACACTTTATGAAGGAGATTGACAAGTTGGAATGTGTTCAGAGGAGGGCAAACAAGATGATGATCTAGGTTCTGGAAACCAAAGAACGGCTAAAAGAGCTGGGTATGTTTAGCCTGGAAAAGAGGAGACTCAGAGGAGATATGATAGCTGTCTTCAAATATCTGAAGGGCTGTCACAAGGAAGAGGGAGCAAGCTTGTTTTCTCCTGCTCCAGAGAGTAGGACTCAAACCAATGGCTTCAAGTTACAAGAAAGAAGATTTTGACTAAACATCAGGAAGAACTTTATGCTATAAAGAGCTGTTTGACCATTGAACAGACTTCCTTGGGAGGTTGTGCATTATCCTTCCTTGGTGGTTTTGAAGCAGAGATTGGGTGGCTATCTGCCATCTAGTCCAGCCCCCTGCAATACAAGAATATCAGCCAGCCTCTGCTTCAAAACCTCTGAGAGAGGAAACTGGTTTCCATAAGAAACTGACACTGCCTTTTGGAGAAGGGAACAAACGCCTTGACTCAGCTAGGGAACATTCCTGCAGAGCTTGCAAGATTTTGGAACTCAAGTTAAAATATTTGTTTTGGCAAGTTTTAGAGCAGGCTAGGGTTATTTCATTCTGTGGTATGGGTTTTTGATTCTGAATTGATTGCTTTTATACTTGTTGTGTTGTGATGCCAAGCTTTTGCAAAAATTGGAATGTTAATTACAGTAACAAGTGGGAGTAAGGGAAGTATAGATACTGAAACTCTACCTAAATGGAACGTTTGCCTAAGGATGGAGACAGATCCAAGTTAGCAGCTGGATTTTATATTTTCAGAATTGGGAGATCAATTGTTGCTCCTCCATTTTTGAAAATGTAAATTCCAGTAACTAATTCAGATTTGTTGCCAGCGATCTTTGGGGAAGTTCTAGGTGAAATACCACACCTGCATAACATCTAGTAGACTGTAATTTGAATGTCTGCTATCTCCTCTCACATTCCATCTTAAGGTGACCACTAAATGCACCCTCCATGGTTTCAACACCAGCCAGCTTTTCTCCTCTTCCCTCTCACAACATCTTCTGAGAGTCCAAAAAGCTTGCACACAATTTTGTGACAAGATTATTTTCCTAATAGAGGTATCGCTGTAATGTGGATTTACATTTTATTGTAAATCCAAATGCATTCTTGCTGCACCTTCCCTGTTCTGCTTACTTGCTGCCCCCCTCTGTGTCAGGAGTGCATCATCTTGTCTGTCTGGTGTGGCAGGTGCTACTGTACAGCTGCCAGTATCATCCCATTCATTTTATTTTTGTCCTAGGCTTCTGAAATTGCTTTTCTTGAAAGGCCTTCAACCCGGCCCTTGACACTGTAGATACAATTTTGTGCTTCCAAATGAAGGCGCAGATAAATATGTACACTAATTGGAACCACTTAATGGTCCATCTGATGTCTGGGCACAGTTTTGAGTAGCTACGTGTCATGAAAGCTCTGTAGTGCACCTGTGACCCATGATGGATGATGCATCTGCCAAATTGGCCTGGACACATACTGAAGCTGTGTGCAAAGAGAGCCATTTATTTTTCAGCACTCTTGGGTTTAGGGATATGCAAATTCTCCTGGAGGAATGAGTTACAAAATATAAGACCCAAATGGAGGAAATGAAAAATCCATATTATTAATCTTGATATGAATTTGCATATGTTCTCACTCCCACATGTACCACCACACAGAAACACACACACACACACACACACACACACACACACACTCACTCACTATGTTAAAAAGTATGAAAACAAAGAATATTAGAGGAATCTTGTCTATAAGACCTTTTAATGAAATTCCTATTTTATGTGTACCAAAAAAAAGTATTCAAAGTATCGACCGAGCATTCTGATTTCAACATCACTAAGTTTGGCTTTGACTCCCAAAAAAAGTCTCAGACTAGGTCATTACTGAATTTGAGTTGGTCATAATGTGCAAGAAATTATCTTGTTTTATTTACAGAGGGATGAGTGGATGTCCTTGGATTTTATGTCTGTGAAAACATTGTCTTCAGCAGCACTGAAGGCTGAAAAGCAAATGGAAAAATTACTGGAGAAACAGAAAGCGCAAGAAGATCAACAGGTATGTTAGGTTCTTAACTAGTGTAGTGTTATGAGAAACTAGTAATAGTGGTAAGCTTATGGTACTTATTAGCTGCCTGAAATAAAAATTGGATTTCTTCAAGTAGCAGCCTTCCATTTTGGGACTTTGGCTGTTTTTTATTGAACATTAGCATCAGGCATTGCTCTGCAAAATAAGTCATTGGTTCTTTGACTAACTTTCAGTAGACAATTTTGGTTGGCAACCTTTATACTTCTTAAAATGTTTAAAACAGCTCCCCACGGGCCCTAATCAAACTTGTCCAACAATCCTGATTATTTACTTGTTCTATATTGGGTTTCCATTTTGGTGTCTAAAACATATCAATCATGTGGTAAGAATATTAGCAAAGCACTCTATCATTTATATCAAGATAGTTTAAGTAAACCAATTGTTCATTTACCTTTTATTTGAATCTTCGGTACTGCAAAGAAGTGATTGGATCACCCCCACCCTTATTTAATGCATTACAGGTTTGATGAAGCTAAAGCACTCTCCATTTTCAGTTCAGTTAGGGAATTTTATATTTTCAAAATGCTATTGATAGTTTTGAATAAATTAAGAATCTTTATTGCTTAAAGTCACAGGCTATCACAATAGCAAACAATCATTTTGACTCATTCAAAAAATAAATAAATAAAGGAAACAAAACACACACACACACAGGAAAAATAGAAAACAGAAAAATAGTGTTCTCTCCAATACAGATCATATGTAGAGTAAGGTCTATAGGTATTTAAAAGTGCCATCAAACAAAAGGACATATCCCAGCTACCCACTTCCAGGGTTTTTGAATCCTGGCTCATATTTTCTTAGCTGTAAGAGCAAATTTTGTTTTTTTGGGTGGTAAAGTAAAGTAAAGTTGGGTGGTAAAGTAAATGTGGCCAGCATGACTAAGCCGCTTCTGGCGAACCAGAGCAGTGCACAGAAATGCCGTTTACCTTCCCGCTGGAGCGGTACCTATTTATCTCCTTGCACTTTGACGTGCTTTCGAACTGCTAGGTTGGCAGGAGCAGGGACCGAGCAACAGGAGCTCACCCCGTTGCGGGATTCGAACCGCCGACTTTCTGATCGGCAAGTCCTAGGCTCTGTGGTTTAACCCACAGTGCCACCCGCGTCCCTAGTGAACACATATTTGCCTGCAGGCAAAATACATATCTGGTCCAGGAGGGCTCAATATGACAGGCACCAAAGGACACAATTAAGGAATTTGTGCCTATGGTGCTCATATAAAAGACCACTTAGTAGCAGTAGTGGCTGGCAGGGTGGTGGGGGTGGGGGTCTCACAACGTCCAAATATGGTTTCTGCTTACTGGGAGAGTGAGGGGCAAGAGACCAGGAAGCTTGACACAGTGTGGATGTGGCAATGGAGCCTATCTTCAGTTCCTTCTTACCACACATGCACCCCCTAACTTCTCCCCCTCTCCCTCCTGGTAAGTAGCAGTGGTGCGTGGTGTTGAGAAGCCGGGAGAGCAACTGGTAGCTGCTACTTAGTAAGTAAGGGAGACATCCTCAACCTTGCCAGACTTCATATTTTTGCAGCTGCATAGTTTTAAAAGCCAAAGCACAACATTTATAAAAAAACTGATGCTCCGTACAGAATTATTTAAGATGCAGCTAGTATCGAAGTGCGCTTGATATGGGGGTGAAGGGGGCTTCCACAAAGCTGCCGTTGATTTTGTTGCTGTTTTGTAAACAGGCCATTCTTTCTGAAAGAGAGCTCAACCCCTACTGGAAAGATGGAGGCACAGGCTTGCCAACGCAAGAGAGCACATCAACAAAAGGTAACATCTTTTTATTCAAGTTATAGGGCAGCTCTGTTTCTCTTCTCTGCAACCCCTTATTCATGCTAAAATAAAACTAAATATTTGCATGCAGATTCTACTACGATCTCTGGATTAAAATCTTAGCACATAGCCTTGCAGAATATATTTTTAAAACCTTGAGTGGCTTGACCTTCAGTTTGTACAGCGGAATTCTTCCTTGTGAACTAATTAAAACAGAAAACCTGATTGCGTTAGGACATGATGAACTGTTGTCATCTCATTTGGTCTCTTTCATTCCATTACACACATTGTAGCTTTAAAATATTCAGCCGCTGAAGTCTGTGAGTCCCATTTTCAGTGAAGTGAAATTGGGATGCAGTTGGTGAAGAATATTATTTATGTAACCTTTCCCCCCACTTCACTTCTTCCTCAAGGGTTATTTTGTCCGTTTGTGGTAAGAGCAGATGAGGGAAAAAATGTACTTTTCAACACATTGTATCCACTTTATAAAATTGTACAAACAGTTGTGTTTTGAATGGTAGAGATTGTCGTATGAAAGTTATTCCTCTGCCCTTTTAGAAAGACTTAAGAGGAACAAATCCCATCTACCTATTATACCATCAAGATAAATGTTTCGATATTTTGGTTCTGTGTATGTCCTATTAAAGAGCCTTCTTTTCTTGGAGGTGAAGAGAGGTGGAATAAACTACCAAGGTATCCGTCTGGGGTGGCGGTCTGAGTTAGGGGAGGGTGGTTCCAGTCCTTTGCAGTGGTTCCAGTCATACTTGGATAGTCGTTTCCAGAGGGTGATGCTTGGGGAGTGCTCTTTGACCTCGTGGAATCCTGAATGTGGAGTTCTTCCAGGTTCTATTTATCCCCCATGCTGTTTAACATCTACATGAAACCGCCGGGTGGGGTAACCTGGAGTTTTGGAGTGCATTGTCAGCAATATGCCAATGACACACAGCTCTACTTCTCCTTTACATCTGCAGGTGAGACAGTGGATGTGCTGGACCGTTGTCTTGCCTTGGTAACGGACTAGATGAGAGGCACTAAACTCAAGCTCAATCTAGATAAGATTGAGGCACTGTTGGTGGGTGGTTGCCTAGACTGAATGAATAGGAGGTTGCCTGCTTTTGATGGGGTTACACTCCCTCTGAAGGAGTGGGTACGTAATTTGGGGGTGCTTCTGGATCCTTGGCTGTTGCTTGAGGCTCAGGTGGTCTCAGGAGTGTAGAGTGCCTTCCATCAGCTTCGGCTGGTGGCCCAGCGGTGCCCCTATCTGGACAGGGATAGCTTAACTTCTGTTGTCAATGCTCTGGTAACCTCTAGGTTAGATTACTACAACATATTATACGTAGGGCTGCCTCTGAAGGTGGTTCAGAAATTTCAACTGGTGCATAATTTGGTGGCTGCAGTGTCTGACAGTTAGATTCTGGTCTGAATTCAAAGTGCTGGTTTTGACCTATAAAGCCTTACGCAGTTCAGGACCGAAGTATCTCAAGGGCCACCACTCTCCATATGAACTGATCTGGACTCTGCAATCATCATCAGAGATCGTTCCTTGCGTGCCTCCTCTATAAGAGGTCCGGAGGGTGGCAACACAAGAGGGGGCCTTTTCTGTGGTGGTTCCCCGTTTGTGTAGTCCAAAACATTTGGAGGGCACCAGGTTGGCAAAGGCTGTGATAGAGCCAACTACTTCAGACTAAGAACTGCATTTGGGAAAGTAAGTAAGCAAGGGACATATTTTGGCAATTCAAGTTTAAATGGTTTAGATGTACATCTATAGAAAGAGGAATGTATGAAATAACCCTCATGCTTCCGAACCCAAAGGGTGCTCATCAATGGTTCCTCTTCATCCTGGAGAAGAGTGACTAGTGGGGTGCCACAGGGTTCTGTCTTGGGCCCGGTCTTATTCAACATCTTTATCAACGACTTGGATGATGGACTCAAGGGCATCCTGATCAAATTTGCAGATGACACCAAACTGGGAGGGGGGTGGTGGCTAACACCCCAGAGGACAGGATGACACTTCAAAACGACCTTGACAGATTAGAGAACTGGGCCAAAACAAACAAGATGAATTTTAACAGGAAGAAATGTAAAGTATTGCACTTGGGCAAAAAAAATGAGAGGCACAAATACAAGATGGGTGACACCTGGCTTGAGAGCAGTAGATGTGAAAAGGATCTAGGAGTCTTGGTTGACCACAAACTTGACAAGAGCCAACAGTGTGACGCGGCAGCTAAAAGCGCCAATGCAATTCTGGGCTGCATCAATAGGAGTATAGCATCTAGATCAAGGGAAGTAATAGTGCCACTGTATTCTGCCCTGGTCAGACCTCACCTGGAGTACTGTGTCCAGTTCTGGGCACCACAGTTCAAGAAGGACACTGACAAACTGGAACGTGTGCAGAGGAGGGCAACCAAAATGGTCAAAGGCCTGGAAACGATGCCTTATGAGGAACGGCTAAGGAGCTGGGCATGTTTAGCCTGGAGAAGAGGAGGTTAAGGGGTGATATGATAGCCATGTTCAAATATATAAAAGGATGTCACATAGAGGAGGGAGAAAGGTTGTTTTCTGCTGCTCCAGAGAAGCAGACACGGAGCAATGGATCCAAACTACAAGAAAGAAGATTCCACCTAAACATTAGGAAGAACTTCCTGACAGTAAGAGCTGTTCGACAGTGGAATTTGCTGCCAAGGAGTGTGGTGGAGTCTCCTTCTTTGGAGGTCTTTAAGCAGAGGCTTGACAACCATATGTCAGGAGTGCTCTGATGGTGTTTCCTGCTTGGCAGGGGGTTGGACTCGATGGCCCTTGTGGTCTCTTCCAACTCTATGATTCTATGATTCCTTTATGAATGCTGCCTTATCTGTGATAATGAGTTTGCTTTCTATAGATTCCCTTTCCACATTCCCAGTTTCTCAAGCAGAAACTGAATAACAATCTTCTTTCGGAGCCTGATCTCTGAATTTGCTAGAATAATGATTGGCAAGAAGATGGGGAGCCTGTTAATTCTGCTCTCGACACATTTGAAATAGGACTAATATTAAAGCGAGTTGGGCTGTGTTTCCAAATAAGTGTAAGAACATGAGCTCAGAATGGAGAGCCGTGCCAGTGTGAAGTATATTTCTGGCAGAGCTAGCATATGTTACGTCTATGACGCACAACATATGTAGTTAGTGATAAGGTTATGATGTTAACTTGTAGTATGCAAATATCCCAATTAATTGCTTTCTTTTGTAGTGACAGCAGTCGAAGATGGTGGGTTAAGTTGGCTGAAGAAATCCTACCAAAGAATGAAGGAGCAGTCTGAGAGAGAGAAACGGGATTTGGAAGAAATTGTGGCTGAAAGATATGGTGTAAGTTCTGGAAGCGTACTATTTCCCCCTACCATAAAATATTAGTGCAGTGGAAAAACGTTGTTCCCTCGTAAAGCAGCAATAAGTAAATCTACCTCGTCTCAAGCAAAAAAGAGGAAAGAAAGAAAGAAAGGGCCAATGCAATCCAATCTTAATTCATATGGTTTCAGTAGATATTGATGTAGATATAAAATTATAATTTATAATTGGACTCACAAGTATAGGTCCAGTTCTATAAAAGTAAGGAAACACTTGGTTTATGATAACATATAGTTTATGTTTGGTAGTGTTCACTTCATGGCTGCTGTCCAGCTGTGTGTACATTAGTCAGAGTTGTGCAAGTGTAATCCTGTGCACAGAGTAGTCTATCTGTTTTGGGCCACACATTTCCTCCAGTATCTCTAAATGGTTTCCAGTGTATCAAGATCAGTACATTGAAAACCAACACTTAGGATTGAATCCAGTGCGGCACTAAGTAACCATCCCATTAGTGCAAGGATTTGTGCTTGTGCAATGTGACCCGCCCCCGCTCCCCAACACTCAGCCAGCTCGCCTGTGTCTGCCCAAATCTGCTTCCGAGGATTAGGCAAACGCTCATATTAGAGAAACAACCACATCTGGTGCTGGTGGGTGGAATAGAGGGGGTGGAAGTCCTATTGTGCAAGTGTACATCCTTTCAGTGATGGGACAATTACTTAGTGCTGCCTTGGATGCAAGTCTTAGCATTGTAGAGGCAGCTCACAGATATGGCTAGGAGTGATAGAGAGACCAAGACGTGAATCCAGACTTAGAATGGACCCATTGAAATTGATGGGGTGTAAGTTAGTCATGACTTGGTCCTTTTGATTTCAGCTGGGTTTTTTGTAAGCATAACAGAGTCTGGATTCAGCCCCATGGAGTTAGCTTTGGAATATCTCCTGTTAAAACCAGTGGGGGGATTGTTAGCAGACTTATATAGCTTGTGTGTCCATTTCAAACATAGTTTGTTTAAGAATGGACCACGCTCTTTTCATCATGCAGTTACGTTCTCAATTGCTGCTTTATGCTAAAATGTCATATGCTTTCCCTTCTTTATTGCAGTCAATGGAGCTATTTCAGTCAAGACTTGAAGAAGCCGAAAAAGCAGTAGCCCCCCAGAAAGCTTATTATAGGAGAGGCTGGCAGAAATGTAAATATTCTAGAAACGAATGTAGTACAAGACAGGAGGAGGAAAAAGGGGAGCAAGAGCAAAGCAGTATAGAAAAACGTGCAGTGAAAGAACGACTGGAGGAGAGATTTAATAAAGAATATTCTCCAGAACAGAGAAGTTACAAGAGAGACAGACCAACAGAAGATAGAGAATCGAGGCATAGCAATAAAGCCTTTCCCTATAGAACTGCGAAGGAATCTTATCAGATAAGAAATTATGATAAACCTTTTTCAAGCCCTTTCAAAGCTGCATTCTTGAAACCTAATGATGATGGGGACCAAGGCAGCAGGCTGCAGAGTCCTGCATCCCAGTTACTTACTCCTACTTCGATGAGTCGTGGTTTCAGAAAGCCTGGCTATAGTGATGATGCTACCCCAAGATGGCGCAAAGCAGAGCCCAAGGAAGAGGATGCAAGAGCCACCCTGGATGAAAACCCACTAAAAACTGAAATGGCTGTTACCCATAGTGAGAAAGATTCAAGAAATAAACAGCAAGAGATACCAAAAGGTGCAGTTCCAAGATGGCGCAAAGCACAACCCAAGGAAGAAGAAGCAAGACCCACCCTTGATGAAAACTTGTTAAATACTGAAAAGGCTGTTACCAGTAGGGAGAAAGATTCAAGAGAGAAACAGGAGGAGATCCCCAGAGGTGCTGTACCAAAAAAGGAGCCACAGGACAGCAAATCGTCTATCGGGTATTTAATTTAATTTTATTTTGTGGGAAGGTATTGACTGTTTTTGCTTGAGGTTTACTTTTTAGGATTGCAACCTTTTCGTTGTTGTTGATCATCGCTTTTCTGCCTACATACTGGCTAAGTACATGTCATGAGGCTTGTGTAATTTTAAAGAAAATATTTTTTTTTTAAAAAGCTGGTGCTCAAATCAGCCTGGAAACAACTTCCCGTTTATCTGGAAGTTCTTCCCCCTAATTCATGGAGCTCTGTAGTTACTCAGTGGCAAGAGAAACCTGCACTGCATTTGCTCAGGGGAACGTTAATCTGTTTTTCAAATTCTGTAAGTTGAGAGCTGGCCTCGAAAGCAAATGAAGTTGGCTTTGAAAGCAAATGAAGTCTTGCAATTAAACAAAAGGGTGCCTGAAATTACGCTCTGTGTGCCTGGTGGGATTAGGGTTCCCTCTCAGCCCGCCTACCATCCACACATAGGGCACATATTTGTTGTAGGGACTACAGTCATACCTCAGGTTAAATGTGCTTCAGGTTGAGCGTTTTCAGGTTATGCTCTGCGGCGACCTGGAAGTAACGGAGTACGTTACTTCCGGGTTTTGCCGCTCATGCATGTGCAGATGCTCAAAATGATGTCACGCGCATGCGCGGAAGTGGCGAATCGCGACCCGCACACGTGCAGACACGGGTTGCGTTCGCTTCAGGATGCGAATGGGGCTCCGAAATGTACCACTGTATCACTATTATATACCACCCTTCATCCGATGATCACAGGGCATCTTACAGTATAAAGCCTAAAGTCATAAAGGTGCCTGGTTACTTGTAAAGAAAGGATGGGGGAGAGGACATGTCAAAGGGGGCACCGGAAATAATTTATTTAGTCCAACATGCCCCTGAAGAATCCCTTGAGTTAATCTGAGTGGATTTAAACCACTAGCCTCTTAAGACGTGTTCCAAGACTTGAAACACATTGGACTAAATCCTGTTCAGTGCTATTTGGAGGTCTTTTCTGTCTCCTGCCCCCTGGTCCTTAGATAAAACATAAGAGATGTAAAAAGGTTTAGGAGGCACAAAACAAATATCGAGGGTATGATGCTAGTGGGTGCTGTTCAGCTCTGAACTTTTTCTTTGGGAAAAATCTACAGAACCTTTTAAGTTAAAAAGCTATTAGCCTCGGTATAAACTTTATCTCTTAGTAGTATGTTGATTTCATTTGTATGCAGACAACATGCTTTTCTTTTCAACTTGGATGGCAATTGAGTGTGTCTGTACACTGCGAAATAGTTTTTTGTTTTTTTAGTATTCTGCCCAAGAGAAGGGATGTGGAGCAAAGTGTTTTTGATTCTTCAGGGTGAATGGCACTACCTAGATGCGAAGTTGATGATACCACTTACTTGAAATACTTGGAAGACTGAAACACTTTGTGCTACATTTACGATGCACATTTAGACAAACCTGAGCTCAGTGGATTCACTTTCTAACCTCTTTCTCCCAAGCATTTGCATTTCCTGTACAAAGAACTTTTAAGTCTCGAGAAGCACGAACTTCATAGAATCATAGAATCTTAGAGTTGGAAGGGACCCTGAGGGTCATCTAGTTCAACCCCCTGCAATGCAGGAATCTCAGCTAAAGCATCCATTACAGATGGCCATCCAACCTCTGTTTAAAAACCTCCAAGGAAGAAGAGTCCACCACTTCTTATGGGAGTATGTTCCACTGCTGAACAGCTCTTACTGTCAGAAAGTTTTGCAACTTGAAGCCATTGGTTCAAGTCCTACCCTCCAGAGCAGGAGAAAACAAGCATGCTCCCTCCTCCATGTGACAGCCCTTAAGGTAGTTGAAGATAGCTATCATATCTCCTCTCAGTCTCCTTTTTTCCAGGCTAAACATACACAGCTCCTTCAACTGTTCCTCTTAAGGCTTGGCTTCCAGACCCTTGATCATCTTGGTTGTCTTCCTCTGCACATGTTCCAGCTTGTCAACATCCTTCTTAAATTGTATTCCAAGTGTGGTCTGACCAAAGCATAATAGAGTGGTACTATTACTTCCCTTGATCTGGACACTATACTTCTGCTGATGCAGCTTAGAATTGCTGCTGCATCACACTGTTGACTCATGTTAAGCTTGTGGTCCACCAAAACCCCTAGATCTTTTTCACATGTACTTCTAGTAAGTCAGGTGTCCTCCACCCTATATTTGTGCATTTGGTTCTTCCTGCCTAGGTGCAGAACCTTACATTTGTCCCTATTGAAATTCATTTTGTTAGCTTGTGCCCAGTTCTCCAGTCTGTTATGGTCATTTTGAATTCTGATTCTGTCTTCTTTAGCATTAACTACCCCTCCCAGTTTGGTGTCATCTGCAAATTTGATGAGCATCCCCTCAATTCCTTCATCCAATTCATTTATAAAGACATCGAACAACAATGGGCCTAGGACAACCCTGCGGCACCCCACTTGTCATTTTTTTCCAGGATGACGAGGGACCATTTATGACTACTCTTTGGGTTTGGTCAATCAACCAGCTACAAATCCACCTAACAGTTAGCTTGTTCAACCCACATTTTATCAGCTTCCTTGCGAGAATATCATGGGGGACTTTGTCAAAAGCCTTACTGAAATCAAGACACACTATGGCCACAGCATTTCCCTGATCTACCAAGTTTGTAATTCCATCAAAAAAATAAATCAGATTGGTCTGGCATGACTTATTTTTGAGAGACTCATGCTGGGTCTTAGTAATCACAGCATCCTTTTCTAAATTCTCACAGACCAACTGTTGAATTATCTGTTCTAGGACCTTCCCTGGTATCGATGTCAAGCTCAGCAGTCACTAGTTACCTGGGTTTTCCTTTCCCCCATTTTTGAAGATGGGGACAACATTTGCCCACCTCCAGTCTGTAGGGACCTCACCTGTTCTCCAAGAATTCTCAAAGATAATAGACAATGGCTCTGAAATTACATCTGCAAGCTCCTTTATTACCCTTGGATGCAGCTCATCAAGTCATTTAAAGTAGCTTGATGTTCCCTTACTATCTCTTTTCTTATCTTGGGCTGCAGCTCCCTCCTTACATCATTTATTTTTCTGTCCTAGCTCCTCCCAGCTCCTCCCAGAATCTACGTCTCCTCCCAGAATCAGTGTCCAAGGTTGAGAGCATGGAAGCAATTTTGCAACTCTAATGACAAAGTGTGTTTTGTGAATCCTACTTCTGTGCATCACGTTCCTCCAGGGGTTAGATTCTTGCAATGGGTGATCTTTCTCCACCCTGGGGACACCCAAACTATCTTGGTGCTCAGTCTCAGCCAACTCAGCTCTATCAAGTATCTCTGCGTGTTGTCCTGGTGCTTGAGGTGTAGCTAGGCAGGACTCAGGTTGCTGCACCTTCACTTCCAGCAAGACAACCAGCTTGCACTTGCTACAAGTGTACCGTTGCTTGTTCTCTGTCAGAAGGACAAACATGGCACAAGTGTTACAGGTCACTGCAGCAGCTCCCTCGCCTTCCATGTCTCTGGTCGTATGCACACCAAGAGACAGAAATCTGGGCCTCCCCCGCTAAACGCCCTTGCAGACGCCCCTGTTTGTGAGGTCTGTTTGTGAGCTCCCAGGATCTGCCCTGAGCAAAGTTTGCTGCTGATTGCTAACTCCTCCCTCAGCCTGGGAGTTAGGAGTACAACTTGCGATGTATTGGGTAGCCCACTAGAAATGCATTGGATTTGGCCTCGAGGCATTGGCAAAAATGATGTGTCCTTGCTTAAATTTAATTACAGAATTAAGTTTAAGGTGCTACCCAGTAGACTTTTTCATGTGCTATTTTGAGGCAAGGGCAAGGAGAAGGTTATAATACAGTGGAAATGAAAGGCACGGTTAAAAAAATATCAAGCCACTGTAGAGCCATTAACTAGAGCCAGTTAGCAATTCTTCTAAAGAAAGAATTTCTTTAGTCTCAAATAGCTGTGGAATTGTAATTGAAGGGGTCGGATTTGGAAGAGAACCTCTAAAGATGTTTCTCCCATGACTTGGAGCTACTAAAATGTGCATTAAATGTTCTCATTAAGTTCATCTTTGAACAAAGTAGCCTCTCTTTATAACGAGGAGGAGAGACAAATATTGATTCAGTTGTCTTTAAGTTTCAATTAAATATTTAGAAGCCTTAATTAGCTCCCCATTAATTTTCTTCTTAAAGCTGCTTTCATCTTTATGAAGTCCTGCAGCCAAAAACATTAAGAAAAGGGTAGTGGCGTGGGGGGAATGGGAAGAAAAAGTCATGAGCTTGGTGCTCTAATGTGTGCAGATATCAACCACACATGTTTCTGTAATACTACAAGAGTATAAAAATCTGATACAGTAACACATCGCACAATGATTACTTTATTAATGAATTGTGATAAGGGGGTGGCTTACATTGTTAAGGGCTTATAAAATCCACTTCTTTTCTAAATAATGTTTTATATCTGGAGAAGCAGTTCTTTCTAAACTTGAATAAAATACCAAGTCAGAATTGCTTTACTAGGGGATGACTCATTTACTTGGTGATTCTTCACTGCTGTCATGGGTCTAACAGATAATTAGCAGATACTTTCTTATCAATTAATTTACAGAATTTTACGATAGCATTGTAAACAAATAAAGATCAACGATGTAGGTATAGTAATAGAAGAAAAGAAAAGCAAAGTTACTTTGTCTATAAAAACGTTCTCAACTTTGCATTGGCCTTAGTGAATGGGGGTGCATGTGTTGATTATGTTTTCTCTATTTCTCCTCTTCTGTATGCTGAATGGCTTATGTGTGTTGGACCAGGTCTGTTTCAGAAGATGAAAAGCCCCAAATTCTTAGTGATGAGGAGATGAACAAATTGGGAGCCAAGATTGTAAAAGCAGAATTGATGGGAAACAAGGTATGTAGGACAAGAGTATTGAGTATTGCTTAATGTATGTTCAGACTGAAGCACTGAGAGTTGAACCGTATACTAATAAAGAGAGATCTTTGTTCAAAGCATCTGGGAGCCCTGAAGCCATTGGATAATTAAGCCCATTTACCAAAATGTACATTTAATTCCTTCAGTGGGTTTCACTGATTTGCCTTTGGTACACATAGCAGCCAGAAGTTAAAGTTCTTGATGCTTGTAGTAAGGACTGTTGACTGCTGTAAGGTGATTCTTGAAAAGTGGCATATATAAAAATGAAAATCTGTATATGGTGCATTTGGTATTGATAGTGAAGCAAAATTCAACAATATTTGTTCTCTTTAAAGGATTTAGCAGGAAAACTTCAGACCCAGCTTGACAATGCACGCAGGCTGAAAGAAAGCGGAGCACAGACTCAAGCTAGAAAGTTTGAGAAGGAGGTAAGGAAACCATGTCCTGTATGTGTTTTGGAGTCTGGAACAAAAGCAGCAGTGACTGAATTGCAGCACCTAGAGCTGTGGTGTCGTTGAATATGGTTTGTTAGCATTGGCAGAGAGTACCTACAAAACAATCAGGAACCAATGCTGTGTGCTAAAATATTATCTTCTGGAGGGAAGCTGTGAAAATCTTTAAGACACAGTTGAGCACAGCAAATGCCATGTTCAACTAAGTTTATACATTCAGTGGAGAAGGGATGTGGCTCAGCTGTAGAGCCTCTGCTTTGCATATCGAAGGTCCCAGGTTTAATCCCTGGCGTCTCCAGGTAGGGCCGGGAAAGGCTTCCTCTCCGAAACCCTGGGGAGCCACTGCCAGTCAGTGTAGACAACTCTGAGATGGACCCAAGAATCTGAATTGGTATACTATACTCCTAATCTGCATGAGTGTTTGCATATCTTGTACATTGGGGGATAAATGTTGCTGCTGCTACTATGCCATTAGTGTATATGGAGCCCCACAGAGTAGCATAAGCCAAAGACAAGTTCCTGCCTGAGGAGCTTACAGTCTAAATGTAGGCAGTGGTGGGAAGGAAGAGGTAGGATAATGAAGCGAAGGATGAATGTGAGCAAGTATGGTTTCACATACGGTACTTAGGCTTCATGCCAGCTGATGAGGAGGACTAAAGAGGTTAAGCCAAAAGGCCTTAGCTAAATAAGTGGCTTTTATGCTGAAGTCTGAAGGAGGAGAGATAGAGAGGTAGCACCACCTTAGTATTATGAGTTCAAGGTTTGGGAATATCCAGCTGCAAGAAGATTGGATGGAGTCTTCTGAAAGATCAGGAGACCAGTTTCTCTCTGAGAATCTGAGAGATTTGTGGCTTACGGCTTGGATACAAAGAGCTACACTAGTAATACAGTCGTTGACTCCTCCACTCTCTGATGCCTTGCTTTGCAGCCTCATTTTTAAAAATTTACTTTTGTCTTCTATAATTGCTGTGTGTCAAATTTTCTTTAGAACAAGATTTGTAACTATTTGAAGTTAATTTGAGGATTCGAATGTTAAGTCAGGGAGCGTAATTCAACCTCTTTGGTATCGCTGGATATTTGTGCAACATTGTGATTCGTAATTAACAGTTCACAAACTTGGGCATTTATAATTAGCAAAAATCTTTCTTTGTCCCCATTCTGTTACACAAATGCTTAACTAATGGCAGTCTTAAGTAAATTAGGCACCATCTTAGGGAAAATGCATTTTTCTCCTTCTCCTGTAAGCATTAAGGCCTGGAGATTGCATCTGGCTGGCAGGTTGCTTATCCAGAGCTCAATCTGATGACTCCTGGATGCATCCCCAGGGAATGGTGATATTCCTCAACAGCTCTGGCCTACTGGCTCTCTGTTTAATAGCAAACATTCATCCCACGTCCCACTCAAAACCACCACTATCTTGATTTCTTCGATTGTGGCATATTGTGGTCTTTGGTTAGGAAGAGCTGTAGGCTGATGATACATGTAGTGGAATTAATAATATTCTACAGTGCCTTTGCTTCCATTATTTCAGTAGTCATAGAGATAGGTCAAGTCTTGCGTTGGAGAGGAGTGATTGTATCAGGCTTGATTAATTTGTTTATATGCTCAGCTATGATATATTTGTTTTAATAAAGATACTTGATAGAGGAGTGTGATCCACGGTTTGTAATAGCTCTGTCTCATTCTTTGTCCCTAACATTCTTCTTAGCAGTGCACTATTTGGTTGACATAATTTTTTTCAAAGGAGTTTTAACCTTCCCACCTCCAAAGATTTCAGTTAGTTTTATGGTAAAGGTAAAGGTAAAGGGACCCCTGACCATTAGGTCCAGTTGTGACCGACTCTGGGGTTGCGGCGCTCATCTCGCTTTATTGGCCAAGGGAGCCAGCGTTTGTCCGCAGACAGCTTCTGGGTCATGTGGCTAGCATGACTAAGCCACTTCTGGTGAACCAGAGCAGCGCACGGAAATGCCCGTTTACCTTCCCGCCGGAGTGGTACCTATTTATCTACTTGCACTTTGACGTGCTTTCGAACTGCTAGGTTGGCAGGAGCAGGGACCGAGCAACGGGGGCTCACCCTGTCATGGGGATTCGAACCGCCGACCTTCTGATCGGCAAGTCCTAGGCTCTGTGGTTTAACCCACAGCACCACCTGCATCCCTATGGTATACTTTTTATGGTATACCTTTTATGGTATACCCTATAGTATACCTTTTATGGTAGATTAAGCTTTTAAATATTTCGCTGTATTGGTAAGGTGCCTATGCTTTTCCTTGTTACGATGTTCCCTGTCAAAAGTAAGCATTTTAAAATTGTTGAATCTTCAAAGAAGCAGTAGGAATGCGAGCAAACTGAACTAAATAAATGTCCATGCGTAAGCTAGAAGGAAAAACTAATTGGCAGTCTAGGACACCTTGATCAGATTTCCTGCATTCACACCTCTAAAGTATGTCAGTATCTGACATCAACCTAAACTTCACATTGTAGACCTGTAATCATAAATCAACATCCTGGTTTCAGTGTTGTTAGCTCAAGAGCTTTAAGGCAAGAAATACTAATTTTGCTTTCAAGACTGCTGGATCGACTGGAATTCATTTGTTATGCAGAAGTTCTCCTTAGGATTACACATAAATGCACACATGCAAAAAAATCAAATTAGTTAAATAAAAGTAGCTTTTGACCTCCCAAGTCTACCCAGTTATAATACAGAAATTCCTGTGACAATTCTTCTGTAGTTTTTTTAAAGCTGGCTAGTTCAGTGATGTATAGTTTTAAACAGCCAGTCTTTCCTTTTATTTTTGGCATTCAAATAACAAAAGCAAATCTCTTCACTCCAATGGGATTGTTTCAGATAGTTCTTTAATAATGACGCATGAGCCGTAAGAAGGAAATTAACTGAATGCAAGCCAAAAACAGAATTTCCGGTAAAGTTTCCTTGGAATCCTTAAGAGAATATTTATTTGTTTTCCCCATTTTTGTTTAAAAATATATGCTTCTTTTCAAGTAAGAACACTCAGAGCTTGCAGTAGCTGTTTCAGAGTGTATTTGCTCTGATATCTTAACAGGATTAGTAATTCGACTATGGCGTTGACAGTTTTGTAAAATTCTGGGTATGTTTTGAAAGTTGATTGTACACAAGAAGTATTTGAAATTTACCTTCAAGATTGAAATCATCTGCTGCCCCTTGAGCATGGTACCAAATTGAAAAATCAACTTAATGCAGATTTGTGGTGTTCCAAGGCTGAATTACAGTTTCAAAATTTCTGTTGATTGTTCTCTCTTTCCTGATGAATTGTGTAGTTCTCCTCATCTTTAGGGACCACTGTAGATATAATGATTTGAGCATTACCTCCCTGGAATAAATTCACTTCCTCCCACGTTAAGAGAATCTAAGGGACAGGCTGCCACACACATTAATCACAGTTAATTAAAATGCAGTTCTATGCACGCTTTCAATAATAGTTCTTATTGAATCCAGTAGGGCTTACTTTGTAAATATGCATAGGCTTGACTAGTTAACCAGCTTCAAATGCCGGTTAATTTGGGGGACTTGGTTAGATTTAACCAGTGCTATTTTTCTAGAAAAAGAGGTGCTGGAACTCACCATGAACACCTCCCTTGTTCTCTTAGAATGGCAATGGTGTCTACCTGAGAGGTGCCGGAACTGAGTTCCTGTGAGTTCCTTCTGAAAAAAGCCCTGGATTTAACACTGGTTAATGTAACCCTTGCATTGCCTAACTGGGTGGGTCTGGAGGAGGGAATTTGGGGAGGGAGCATGCAGTCCTTCAGCGCACTCCTAATTTCTTAAATATGCTGATAAGATCCTTCCTTCTTATGTCTGCAACAGCCCTAAATGTCCTTTGTGCCTCCCTGAGCAGTTTAAACATCTGCCTCTTCTACTTTTAGAAGCTACTAATGCAGCAAAAATAATAATGAGCATGTCCCCCCCCGCCCCCCCAATTCATGCTCATGTTGTCAAGGTCAATGTCACCTTGTGAAACATGGACATTTAATTTCAAGACACAATAAATGACTTCCTCCAGGCTAAGGCCGGAACCAACAACAGGAGACGCAACTATTATAGCTAAATGGGGCACAGGTTCTGATCCAAATAATGCTGTAATTAGTGTGGTTTTATATTCAATATCCTGTTGATGTTGGGAGGAAATGACAGGAGCAATTACAAAATTAAACATCCTAGAAGGTGCACAAAGTTGATACAGGCACTGTAATAGAGGCTTGGGTTAAATACACAGCACAAACTGAAAAAGTCAAGCTGTCGAGTAGAGGCATAGAAAGCTTGCTTAAAATGGAAGAAGCAAAAGCAGGTGAGCTGTGCCTGCAAGCATGACAAAATGCATAATAAGGCAGGCAAACTCTGAAATTTGACAAGTGACATGTCAGAGATATACTAGTAAGAATACAGTTCGTTTTATGAATCTGCCAGAGACCTCTGGGGACTAAGCCATCTTAGGAAAAGATAAAATACATCATATATATTTGTACCGCGGCAGAGAATACGCTGTTCAGGATCTTCATAGCAACAATGTGTTCTTATTGCAGACATTAACAAGAAAAATTTATGCCAGAGATTTTATTACAGGTGATTAAATCTTGAATGTTTTTCAGAAATTGCACCACAAGTATAAGAAATGACATTGTGAACAGTTTGTCAGTAGTACTGGTAGTTAATGGCAGAGGCAAAATTGGTCAGATTCTCTTTCTTTCCATGTCTCTAAATTTTGGGTTGCTTTTAGACAATCCCTTCTTGTAGTTGTCCCTGCTTTCAGTCAGTCCCTAATATTCATTGAAGAGTCCTGGGCTAGGAGGAGGAGAGCCTCTAGAATAGGTTCTGTGCCAAATGAACTGCCAGCCAGCTCTTTTATGAACTTTCCCAGTCAAGATTATTGTTCGAACATATGCTCAGAATAATGCCACCACCTTCACAGATGGATAGAGGCAAGACAGGGCCTTTCAGGACATAAAGCACCATCATGGAACTTTCTGCCAGATTACTAGACTCAGTTGGCATAGACAACCAATAACATGGTTCGTTTTAGTGGGCCTTGCTGCAGCTGTTTCGTCGACATGTTGGTTGACTTTAATCTGCTTAATTTTGTTGCATTTTCATATTTGTGTTTTTTATGTTGGGAATCTTTGAAGCCGAGAGGCAGGATGCCAATATTTTACATAGGTAATATGGTTGAAAGGAGAGATTATTATAATGCCATTTTTACTCCTCTCTGGAGGCACTTCTTGAAACTATGGGTTGTCTGCAAAACAATGTCAGTGGAGTTCCCCTGGGGAAGCAGCACTTACGTTTCCTCTTCTCCCCCTGCTTGCCCCCCAAGCTTTCTCCAGTGGGTTCCCCATCCCCCCATCTGATCTTAAGGGTATGTTAAGGGACTGCAGTGGAGAGGAGAGGAGGGAAAAGTTCTGTTCCATTAGTGAAAGTCTCTTCCTTTGAGGTTGTTCTCAGCCCTCCTGGCCTTCCAGTGCTGTGTGTAAACTTCTCTTTTTATTTGTCTCAAATGGATTTTGTTCGTTTTGCTTGTTTTGCTGCTGTCGGTTCTCCTGATATGTTTGCCTCTCTGCTGTTTTAGCCATTTTTTAACACCATCTTTAATTTTCCCCCCTAGCTGTTTTGGATATTTGTTTTGAACACGAACGTAAGACATAAGGTTTTTGAAATAAAGATAGTTTAAAGATAGTTTATTTGAAATAAAGATAGCTCAAGAGCTTAAGCATACCTAGTGGAATTTATTTTATATTGTATTGTATTGTACAGTATTGTACTGTATTTTTCCTGGTAGATCTCTTCCCTCTGCCCTGCCCCGTTGTATGGCATACTCCTTTTAAGACTATCCTAAAAGAGGTTTGATGTACATCATGGGACATTGCTGGGAGAATAATAGCCCAAAGTTCCCTTGGGCATGTGAAACAAGTCAGAGGGTTCTTTGGATCCTGACTACACTTGAAATAAAACAGCATTATGTGCTAAGCCATGACACTCTGCCCTCAACATTTCTTGAGAAGTAGGAACGGAATTCGCCCAATAACCCAATCAGTGGAAGGCCTTTGCAAAGACCTCTGCTTGGGCAGTGGGCATTTATTGCTCTCCTGCCCCTGCACCCTCCCAAATTGACTCTGGACAGGGTCAGGGGAACCCCCAGAACAGCATTGGGGGAGAAGAGGGGTTCTCATTCCATCTGTCAGGCTGCAAGGCTTGTGAAGACAGAACATTCATCGAAGCGCAAAGTTCGGTTCCCCCCTAGGTTTTTTAACCACTTTAATCAAAGATAAATTGGAAACATTTCTAAATATTATACCCAGGAAAATAGTATTGTTTGTCAGAACTAATGAGATTTTGCATCCTTGGGGTTTAGTAATGAGATAAGTGCATGTAATGCAGGCAGCCTCCTACAGAAACTTGGATGATAGCATGCATTTAGTAACAGATGGGTTGTGGCCTGAATACCCAGTTGCAAATGTTTTCCAACTCATCATAATTTTTAATACCTGCCAGTTCTTTTGCTTGAATTTTTCAACTGAAAAATGCATTTCTCCCCAAAGTCCTTTAGTTAGATTACATTTGCTTTCCACACTGCTATTTGGTTCTCTTATTTATGCAGAGTGAGCTTAAAGAATGTGCATTTACGAAAACCAGAAATAACTGTCAGCTACAACGCGAATTGCTCAGCTAAGTGATCTGTACCAAGGACAAGATAAGACAGATAAAACTCGCCTCTGGAAAATACATAAGCCAGCCATTCAACAAGAACAGTCTTGTTTCTTAGTTAAGCAACACATTTGGTGAATTACCACTGCGTTTGTGCACATACAGATTTTTCACTAACGTTTATTTGGGTTTTTTTAAGGGCAGTATTAGGGGAAGAACAATACTTATCTTTTAGAAAATGAGAAGAGAGGGGGAGTAGACACAGCATCAGTTTCTGTTTTATGCTGCCACTATTAGAAACAGATGGCTTGTAATGTTTGGCTTCTGATAGCTGTATTTTTTGTTTATTTGGCACCTCTCTGTGTCGGGGGCTTTGCTTCCCTCTGATCTGCAGGCAGCCCAATTTGCCTAGCATTGGCTGAGGCCAATGCAACCATTTATTTAAAAAGCTCACTTACCTGTAAGCCCCGCTCAGCTCAGTGACACTTATGTAGGAGTAAACAAAAACATGGACTTGATCAGTTAGATTATAAGTCTGCTATCTTTCAAAAAGTGAGAGCAGGCTAAGTATGAAATAAAAAATTATCAACAACACACAGTTCATGAATATTATAGAGTGGTAGAACTAGAAACTCACTGTTAGGTGCCCTTTAAGGTTTTAGTTTTCTGTAGCTTAGCAGTTCCCTCCATAGAGTTGCAAGTTAAGCTATGGAAGAAGTCAGTTGCTGGTATCTAGAAATGGGTTGCTTCGCTAATCATTCTCAAAACTGATCTTGACTACAACAGTAATTTTTTTTGGGGGGGGGGCTGAACATCTCCAAGGAGCCTGAGTTGCTCACAGCCAATATTGGAGGGCTCCAACCCACACTGCCTTTCTCTTCTGGGGCTCCTAAAAAGATTAAGGGCTGCCCTAGACATTGTATTAAATGCAATGAAAGGCTTAATACTCCCATTCGTCACAGTCCTCACCACCTCTTGGCTGTTACTTAGAAGGACAAAACTAGACACGTTAAATTAAATCACATGTTAAATATCACGCCAGCTTTAGACCTAAGAACTGCTTATCTTCAGAGTATATATATTTCACAGTTACTGCATGAGTCACTGTTCTGAGCATGCTTCCTAAGGGGAAGGTGTTAAGTTCAGAGTTCATGTAGAAAAGCAAAGAGCAGCATCTGCCCTTGTGTCCTGCAAATCTGTATTGGGAATGATTCTACCATTTAAATCTTACTTGATGCACAGAGACTGCTGAATTACCTGATCCCAGTGGAAGTTGATTGGAAAGAGGGCAAGGCCAGGGCAGTGAGTCATGCAGGGATGTAGTAGGCAATCTTCTCTGGGTGTGTGGTTCTTCAGTTTTACAGGCTCACAGCCTTATTTAACCATATGACAGGTTGGCTGTGTTTCAGTGAACAAAAGCAAAATGTCATAGAACACTATTACATTTTATGAACCACAGGAAGGGCTTGTTCAAGAGTATGGTTCCTAGACAATAATATCATACTACTCTTGAAAATCATTGTAAAGTCTTAAAAAGTTATTAAAGTAGATAATTTCCACAGTATTACTTTTTGGTTTTGTACAGAAGCTCTGAGCAAAAATTTAGTGTGTTCATCCTGTCTAAATGAGTACCGTTAAATTTGGCAGGTTGAACGCTCATAATCCAAAATTATATTATTTCATAAAAGGCATCAGTTTTTCACTGCTTGTTTCCCTCATTTCAGAGAGTGCAAATATTTGAGGGCTACAAAACCATGTGTACAAAACCATTTTCAAAATCTAAACTATATGTTAACTAAACATTAATTGGGTACATCCCTGTTTCTGTGTTGATAAAATTAGAGATGCTTGAGTTTTGAAAATCCATTAAGAAGGAAGCTCATCAGTATAACAGTATGTGTAATTGGTGTTCTAAGGTTCATTAGTCAATAGTCTCCAAAACGTAAGGAAAACACTTTCATGAAACTAATTACACAGTTTAAGATGAGTAATTAAGCTATATTCCTTAGATGAAGATGTTTGGCTTTTAGCCAATGCATCTGGGGTGTGTGGAAGTTCTTTCAATTAACTGCACAGTTTGTAATATGTGCATATTTAAGTACATTTAGCTGATGGGAGCCTGACAGCTGAGGTTGCCTATCTGGGTAGCAACTACTCCTGTTCTCTTTCACCATTCAGACATTTGGTCTTGATGCTGTTGATATTACTATTATTACTGAACTGGTGGGTTTACATCTTTGGCCATTAATGTTTTATGTTCTTTCATATGGCGATTACTATTGACTTCCCCTCTACTTCTTTAACTGATGGCTAGATTGTTAATTGTGCTGTTTCAGATTTTGTAAGTTTCTCAAAGGCTGTAGAAATCTTTTCTACAAAATGTCTGGCCTAAGGAAAGACTTCAGAGCCTAGTGGTAATTCCTACTCACCAAATGAACCCAGACCAGCAACTATTTCTAAGGCTGCTTTTGAAGTAGGATGCAGAGTTTTGGTCAAGCGGTTCAGACACCATAGATTTGCTTGAGAAAAAGAGAGAAGGGTTTAAACTAAACCAACAAAAGTGAAAAGTAGCTTAAGTTAGTGGAATTGCTGTAGCTGCAATGCCAACCAGAGTTTGTAAAGCTAGTACTGAGATCCTAGACTATTTTTGTCACAACCTGACTGACTGCAGATATCATTGATAAAGACCGGTTGTTACCCATTTGCAGGCATGAAACTGTCTAATTTATTTATTTATAAATTTTATCTGTAAGCCGCCATGAGTCCCTGTCTGGTTAAAAAGGCGGGGTATATAAATAAGTATCTAATAATAAATGTATTTATAAATGCTAAATCACAAAACATTTCGAAGTGGCTCACAACACTAAAATGATAACTAGGTCTGCAGAGGCCTGGCAGAATAAAAAAGGTTTTGAATAGGCATTTAGATGTTGGCACAGAAGGCGCCTGCTGTTCAACAAAAGTTCCCCTGTAGTCGCAGCCCCTGGCAGGAATGGTTTGGCTAGTCAGGATCAGGCTCTTTGTAGGGATCGTAGAGGGGAGAGACTTTTCAGGAGGGAGGGAAGAGAAAACAAACTACCTTTTCACTTCCCTGCAATATTCCACAAGTATTCTACATAGTGCAAAAGTGTATGTGTTTATATTTTGCTCCTCTCAGAAATGTTTTATTTCTGTATAGCTTGGCGGGGAGTATTCTGGAGAGTGGGAAAAGGAAAAGGTACACCTTTCCCATCTCCTCCATTATATATCTTCCACTTAAAGTACAGGTAGGGGAAGCCTTTTTTTAAATAAAAACAACTCTCAGTGGCACATATTCCTCTCACACCTCTGTGAATCTCATCCCTATTTCCAGGACACAGTGAGTTGCAGGGGGCTCAGAGCAGGCTCCCTCTTTTTCCAGCAAACGGTTGACATTCATATTTTCTGGAAGTAAGTGACCATAGATCTTCCTGGTACCCTATGTTTGGGTGTCCCTGTTTTGCTTACAAATTGAGAGGCACGGAATTACTCAAGTTAGATATTAATGAGAGTCATTTATCTTTGAACAGAAGTTGTGCATTTTGTTTTAAGATTTAGTCTCTATCTAAACGTTATATGGGATGTGGGTGGCGCTGTGGGTTAAACCACAGAGCCTAGGACTTTCCAATCAGAAGGTTGGCAGTTCAAATCCCCGCGACAGGGTGAGCTCCCGTTGCTTGGTCCCTGCTCCTGCCAACCTAGCAGTTCAAAAGCACATCAAAGTGCAAGTAGATAAATAGGTACCGCTCCGATGGAAAGGTAAATGGCGTTTCCATGCGCTGCTCTGGTTCACCAGAAGCGGCTTAGTAATGCTGGCCACATGACCTGGAAGCTGTACGCCAGCTCCCTCGGCCAATAAAGCGAGATGAGTGCCGCAACCCCAGAGTTGGCCACGACTGGACCTAATGGTCAGGGGTCCCTTTACCTTTTTAAACATTATATATCATCTATAATGCCTTCGTGATATCATGCCTGGATTAATTTTGTTTAACACTTGGTGTAGAACCGCAGTTATCCTTGCATCATCTTGAGATCATGCAATATGCATCTGCTCATTAACACACACACACTCCTTTCTTTTTGAGCAGCGGTCTTTTCCTTCCTGTCCCTGTGATATAGGGACTCCTGAAATTTTTATCATTTTCTTTAGCTGCTAAACATTGAGAAGCAGTTCCAGTTTAATAGTTGGTGACTTCAAGTTATCAGTCCTCTGTCAACTTCCTTTGCTCGGCTGCTCAGAGTCAACTGGCTGTTCTGCAAATTAAACTGTGTGCATTGTGAGCCTTTTTCATTTTCTGCTGTTAAATTATGGAACAGTCTCCCTCTCAAGAGGCCACACAAATAAGTCCCTAAGATTGTATTTCACTTAAGACGCCATCCTTTGAGATTTTTGTTTTGGCCTTCCTGGATTGTAATGCATTAATTGGTGAGAGTCTCTTCCACACAGTCTCAATAATTCAACTGACCTGGGGGGGGATATGCACAACACTTGAATAAACAGCTATCTGAGTAATCAAATACTCTATTTACATAAGTTTACATTGATGTGGGCAACGCTCAATGAATGTAGATAACCTAAACTTGAATGTAGATAACCTAAACTTAAATAATTTATTCTAGTGCCCCAGAAAGCAGGACTAGATCAGAAATTACTGTTTTGAATCCTTGCAATCCTTATATAAAAATGTAAATATATTTAAAACTGTCCACTATTATGGATCATTTTCTTTGGACAAGTTTAGACTGAATGCTAGATCTCTGTAGGTCATGATTTACAAATCAGAAGCTGTCCTTAGGGGATGAGTTCTGTTCTTCCATACAATTCTTGCCTTGCTAGCTTCCATTCCTGGTGCTAATTATAGTTCCATATTCAGTGTATACCATTGCAAACTACAGTGCAATCCAAACCAAGATACATAAATTCAGTCCCCATTTTATGAGGGAAACTCATTTGCATTGGTGCACATGTGACGTGAAACCCTGTTCACACTAGGAAAGCAGAAAAATTGCTAGCTTCCAATTTACAATTTACAAACCATGGTTTAGGGAAGTTTTTAATGTTTGAAGTTTTATTCTGTTTTTAATGTTCTGTTGAAAGCTGCCCAGAATGGCTGGGGAAACCCAGCCAGATGGGCGGGATGGAAGTAGTAGTAGTAGTAATAATAATAATAATAATAATAATAATATTAATAATATGCTTCATGATTACTTTCCTTATAATTGCTTTAAGGATAGTTAGTACCACTCTTAACAATCAAACATTAGTGTAGAAAGGTTTTGTGACATTTATTCATGCTCCCTCACACCCGCTCACTTCTGTTTCAGGCCAAATCTTGAGATCGCTTATGGCCATATGGGCCATTCCTCTTTTAGTCCCTCCTGTTTCCTGAGATCTTCATTGTGTTCAGGTCTCGGGTGTTCTTTCTGGTATGTAGACTGGAAGCAGTCTCCCTGTATTTGTCAATTTTCTGGCCATTGACTACGACCAGAATATGCTTCTCTTTGCCACTGGATACTTCCATGAAGTACATCCTCCTAGTGGTCTTCGTTCCTCTAGCTCAGCCTTTCCTAACCTTGGATTCCCAGATGTTGTTGAACCCCCATCATTCCTGACTGCTGCTCCTTCTGGCTATGGATAATGGGGAGCAAAGGTTGGCAAAGGCAGAGGCCTTTGCCTTACTTCCGCAGCCCCCAGGGCAGCTAATTGTAATTATACCCCAACTATAATTCTGTAGCTGGTGTGGGTAGCATGGCAGGTAGATTATGCTTCTAGGTTTTCTAACAGCTCTATCTCATTGAAAACCAAATGTTTTCATGGCTCTTTTAACCATTTAGTATGAATTCTTGTTCAGTGAAACTTCCTTTTCAATAGCTTTCTTCCTGGTCTAAATCAGGGGTACCCTAATGGGAAAGGCAAAGGGACCCCTGACTGTTCGATCCAGTTGTGAAAGACTCTGGGGTTGTGGCGCTCATCTCGCTATATTGGCCGAGGGAGCCGGTGTACAGCTTCTGGGTCATGTGGCCAGCATGACTAAGCCGCTTCTGGCGAACCAGAGCAGCACACAGAAATGCCATTTACCTTCCCGCTGGAGCGGTACCTATTTATCTACTTGCACTTTGATGTGCTTTCGTTGGCAGGAGTAGGAACTGAGCAATGGGAGCTCACCCTGTTGCGGGGATTCGAACCGCCGAACTTCTGATCGGCAAGCCCAAGGCTCTGTGGTTTAGACCACAGTGCCACCCGCGTCCCATACCCTGATGGTGGTGCTTTCCAAATGTTGTTGAACTCCAACTTCCTCTATGACTAGTGGTTGCAGCCCAACAACACCTGGCAGCCGCTTGGTTAGCTACCCCTGGTCTAAATAGTTTTGATTTAAAACCAGTTCACTTGGCATACATTATTCAATCATTGTACTGTAGACAGGTCAGTATCAATCCTGCATTTCAGAGAAAAGTCTGAGTGTGGTTGTGGAAGGCAGGACTTGACTTCAAAAGAAGCCAGGGCTTCTTGCGTCATTGTTAAGGCTGAAATCCTGTGCACACTTTCCTGGGAGTAAGAAGAGAAGAGTTTGGATTTGATATCCCGCCTTTCACTCCCCTTCAGGAGTCTCAAAGCGGCTAACATTCTCCTTTCCCTTCCGCCCCCACAACAAACACTCTGTGAGGTGAGTGGGGCTGAGAGACTTCAAAGAAGTGTGACTGGCCCAAGGTCACCCAGCAGCTGCATGTGGAGGAGCGGAGACGCGAACCTGGTTCCCCAGATTACGAGTCTACCACTCTTAACCACTATACCTCACTAATCCCCCATCCAACCGAATAGTACTTCTGGAAATGCTTGTGTGGGATTCACTGTAAGACTCCAAGGTGCAATACTATGCACACTTATCTGGGACGAGCCCCTTAGAACACAATGTGACCTACTTCCTGAGTAAGCTTGCATAGGATTTCACTGGTGTAAGACAATTTTGGAGAGCTTTTTATGGAATTCCATTCTTAAAATCGCTTCTCTACCCTTGCATCTTTTGGTATCGATAATGCTTTTTTCTTATAGTTTTCTTCATGTATTTGTATCCTAGTTGTAAGCCACCCTAGGATATTTTATAGAATTTTAGGATATGTATCCAGCTGAATAAGGTATGGGTGATGTGATGGGATGATGAGCTGCTTGTGCGTAAAATCGTATCCCCTCAGAGTTTGTTCAAGTCCACAAACCTCTGTCTGTGACGGAGCCCCTCAGACATGGCTCCTCTAGTCACTAGCAGATTCCGACAGTGGTTGCTTTCGTAATCGCTTCCAACATAAAAGCTCCTTAACGGAAACACGTCTTCTGGACTCTCTGCGTGACAGTTTCCGGCGAGGAGTGGGTGTTCTTACAGGAGGTCCTGAAACCTCCCCACTGTTTTCGCTGGAAGTGTCTCTGAGCCATCCCTCCAGCTCACTTTCCCTCCGCTCAGCTCCTCTCCCCCTGCTGGTTCCCTCTTCAGCTGCTGAGTCTCTCCCAACCTGTGTGAGCCCTTTCACCTCCCTGCTGGTTCCCTCTTCAGCTGCTGAGTCTCTCCCAACCTGTGTGAGCCCTTTCACCTCCCTTCCGTCTGATGGCAGTTCCCTGACATCCACCTCCCCTCCAGGGCCCCCTTCACCCCCTCTCGCCCCCTCCTCTACGGGCGGTGAGGAGGCAAAACCCCGGAATGAACTTCCTTCATCTTCCGATGTCTCGAACACTTCTCTCCACCTGTTGCGGTTCCTGGTCTCGAAGTACACCTCCTCCTCAGAGTCCATCTCCCCTTCCCCTTCCGAGTCCGGGAATCCTTCCAACTCCTCCCCCCTCATCAGTGGTCCCAAAGTATTCCCTCCGGAACCTCTCCACAGGCTGAGGTTTCCTTGGGAACCTTTGATGGAACGTTTCTATCAATACCTCGTCATTGATATCTTCGGCCATTACCCAAGTGTTTTCTGACTCCGGTTCTCCTTCCCACGCTACCAAATACTCCACCTGATCCCCCTTCCACCTGGCGTCGAGGATTTCTGCCACATGGCTGCTGCATTCTCTTTCTTCCAAGACCGGTCCCCGAGTGGCCATCCCTTCTCGTCCCCCTTCGTACGGTGACAGTAACGACCTGTGAAATACTGGGTGCAGTTTCATGTGGTTGGGTAACCGGAGCCTGAAAGCCACTGGGTTGACCTGTTGAATGACCTCAAAGGGACCCAACCTCCTGGGTCTTAATTTCTTACAACCTCCTTTGAACGGCAACCCTTGGGTTGACAGCCACACCCTATCTCCCACCCTTATGGTTTCACCTTCCCTTCGGTTCTTGTCTGCCTGCCTCTTGTATTCTTCCTTCGCCCTTTCTAAGTTGAGTTGGAGCTGACGATGGATTGCTTCCATTTCTTCCACAAAATGCTCGGCTGCCGGGACGCTCCATCTCTCCCCATCTCCCCTGGGAAAGCCCTGGGATGACACCCATAATTAGCCAAGAAGGGGCTCATCCCTGTGGACACATTCTCGGCATTGTTGTAGGCAAATTCCGCCAGCGCCAACTTTTCTACCCAGTCATTCTCTCTGTCATTGACATAACACCTCAGGTATTGCTGGAGGACACCGTTTGCTCTTTCCGCCTGCCCGTTGGTTTCAGGGTGCCGGGCAGTCGAAAAATTGACCTCCACCTGCAGTAAGCTCATGAGCTTCCTCCAGAACCTGGAAGTAAATTGTTTTCCTCGGTCTGAGACCACCCTCAATGGCACCCCGTGCAACCTAAAAATGTTTTCTACAAATAACTTCGCTGTCTCTTCCGCCGTGACTGCATGCGAGCAAGCTACAAAGTGGGACATCTTTGTTAGTAGGTCTACCACCACCATGATGGCTGTTTTCCCTTTGGACTTCGGCAGATCAGTCATAAAATCTATCGACACTGCCTCCCAAGGTCGTTCTGGGGTTGGTAAGGGTTCTAATAGCCCCGCCGGCGCCCGCCTTTCCCCTTTGGCTCGCTGGCATTGCTCGCACCCTCTTACATACTCACGTACATCTTCCCTCACCTTAGGCCACCAAAATTCCCTGGTGACCAACCACATGGTTTTGTGTTGTCCAAAATGCCCCGCCGTAGGGCTGTCGTGCAACTGCTTGAGTACCCTCCCCCTTAACTCTCCTTCAGGGATATACAGTGCCCCTTTGTAATACAAAGCTCCATTTCTTTCCTCGAAACCCCCTGGTTCCTCTCCCTCACCCCTAAGACCTCTGAGCTTATTCTGGGCGTATTCATCATTCTCTGTTTCCTCTACCAGTTCTCTTTGTCCCACCAATGCCGCCCACACACCCAGCGGTCCTCTGGAATGACATGTCTCTCTTCGGGTGCTCCCTCCCCTCCAAATATTCAGGTTTGCGTGAGAGAGCGTCCGCCCTAATGTTCTCTGGGCCTGGCACGTAACAAATCTCAAAGTTAAATTTGGAGAACTCCTGGGCCCATCTCACTTGCCGTTGGTTGAGCACTCGTGCCGTCCTCCAATACTCTAGGTTCTTGTGGTCAGTGCACACTTGCACCTTATGTTGTGCGCCAATTAGCAGGTGCCTCCATCTCCGGAACGCCTCATGAATGGCTAGTAGTTCTCGGTCATACACCGTGTAGTTCCTCTCGGATTTGTTCAGCTTTCGCGAAAAAAGGCACACGGTCTCCACTCTGACTCCTTCTTCCCTGGCTGCAGAAGCACCGCCCCAATCGCTCTGTCTGATGCGTCAGTTTCCACTCTCATCGGTTTTTGTAAATCCACATGCAGGAGTTGTTGTTCCGAGGCGAAGGCCCTTTTAGTTCCTCAAATGCTCGCTCCGCCTCCTCAGTCCAAACGAACTTCTTCTTACTGCTGAGACAGTCCGTAATGGGCGCCGTCAGGTGGGCAAAGTTTCGGATGAACTTACGATAGAAGTTCCCAAATCCTAGGAACCTCTGCACATCCTTCCTTGTTTTGGGTGTTTTCCATTCCAGCACCGCCTGGACCTTGCCGGGATCCATGGCCAATCCCTTGTCTGACAGGCGATACCCCAGGAATTCCACCTCCTTGGTATGAAACTGACACTTCTCCAGTTTCACCCACAGCTGGTTGGCTTGCAGCCTGCTCAACACTTCTCTGACGTCTCTCACATGCTGCTCCTCATTCTCAGAATACACCAACACGTCGTCTAAAAAGGCCACACAATTCTTGTAAAGCAAAGGCCCCAGGACGTGGTTCATAAACGATTGAAATGTTGCGGAGCCTGCTTGTAGGCCGAAGGGCATAACCAAATATTCAAATGCCCCTAAAGGGGTGAACATAGTGGTTTTCCATTCATCCCCCTTCCTTATTCGTACCAGGTTGTACGCCCCCCTTAGGTCCAGCTTTGTGAAAATCTTTCCCTTCCGCACCCTTGTCAAAATGTCGTCAATCCTGGGCATAGGGAAGGCCACTGGTTCTGACACTGCATTTAAGGCCCTGAAGTCACACACCAGCCTCGGCTTGTTCGTGTTTTTTATCCACAAAAACACTGGGCTGCCCCCACCGCCCTGGACTCTCTGATGAACCCTCTCTTCAGGTTCTTGTCAATGAACTCTCTTAACTCCTGCATCTCTCTGTCTGACATGGCGTACAGCTTGCCTACAGGGAGCTGTGCTCCAGGGAGTAAATTGATTTGACAGTCAAAGGGTCTATGCGGGGGTAGTTGGTCAGCTTCCCTTTCGCTGAAGACGTCACGGAGATCTGCATATTGTCGTGGTACCTTCACGTTCTCCGTTACTTCAGTCCCTGCTAGGGTGGCTTGGGCCCCTGCCAAACCCTTTCCCTCTTTGCAGTGTTCTAAGCAATGTGCTGAACCAAAAGAAACCACTCTCTGATGCCAGCCCACCAGCGGATCATGTAACGCTAGCCAGCTCATCCCCAATATAATGGGAGCTCCTCCCAAGGTGGCCACATTAAAAGCTATCAGTTCGGTGTGCCTTGCTACCTTCATTATCATTGGGACGGTCTGCAAGCTGACTTCTCCTCCCAACAGCTCCCTGCCATCGATCGGGGTCACCTGCAGGGGGTTGCTTAAAGGGATCGTCTGTATCTGGTGTTCAGCTGCAAACTCTTTGCTCATGAAATTGCAGGAGCTGCCTGAGTCCAACAGCGCCTTTATCTTTAGAGGGTGTCCGTTTGGCAGCTCTAGCGTCACTTCTATCACTAGGGCGGGTTTAGGAGGTTCTGGCGTGGGCACTCTCACTGCTCTTTGGCCTGGCTGCTGTGCCCCGACAGTGGCAGCCAGGCGTTGGCTTTTACTTGCTCCGGTATTTCTTCCTCTCTTCCATCCACAGCTCCTACCATCCCTTGCCATTCCTTCCTCTGGGGGCAGACTCTGGCAAAGTGACCTGGCTGTTGGCAGAGATAGCATTTCCGGGCGCCTTTTCCCTCCTTCTTCCCCCCTCACTGGGCTTTGAAACTGCGCGCGCGCTGTTCCGATTTCCATCGGCTCTGCCGGCGGGAAAGTTGGCTCTGGAATGTCTGGAATGCGGAACTCCTTCCAACGTTCCCCTTTCCCTTCCCGCCTCTCCAATGCTCTCGCCTCCTGGCGCGCTCCTATGGTCAGCGCTGATTTGGTCAGCTGGTCCATAGACTCCGCCCTGGGCGCCCGGGAAAGTTCGTCTTTCACAGCCGAAGAAAGCCCTTCTTCAAAGAGCATTTGAATGGGTTCCGCCGATAAGTCCCACCCCAATCTGTGAACAAGCATGGTGAACTCAGTCCAGTACTCACGGACAGATCGGCTCCCCTGTTTGCAAGCCATTAACTGTCTGCGCACCACTCCCTGTTCAATATCGCTGGAAAACATCAGATCCATGGCGCGAAAGAACTTCATCGTGTCCTTTAGGACGTCACTATTCGCTGCCATCAGGGGTCTAACCCAGTCTCTCGCCCCTTTTCAAGATGCTCAATCACGAAAGCCACTCGTGATTCCTCGTCAGGGAATTCATCAAACTGCAGATTGAGGGCATATTGCATTTCTGTCCGAAAGCCATGATAGTTTTTGGGCTCCCCCCCAAACTTCTGCACCAATCCTGGTACCTTTCTGGCGAGCTGGGTGGCTTCCCCTTTTTGTCTGCATCCTGAGCCCTCCTCTCCTCAAGCCTCGCCGTCTGCATCGCTAGCTGGACCTCCAACACCCGGTACCTTTCTTCCAGGCTTGGACCCGCTCCAGCTCCTGCTTCTCCGGTTCCGGCTGGGTTGCTCATGATGCCTTCTCCTGCACAAGCTGCTTTCAATGACTGTCGGAATGCTGTGATGGGATGATGAGCTGCTTGTGCGTAAAATCGTATCCCCTCAGAGTTTGTTCAAGTCCACAAACCTCTGTCTGTGACGGAGCCCCTCAGACATGGCTCCTCTAGTCACTAGCAGATTCCGACAGTGGTTGCTTTCGTAATCGCTTCCAACATAAAAGCTCCTTAACGGAAACACGTCTTCTGGACTCTCTGCGTGACAGTTTCCGGCGAGGAGTGGGTGTTCTTACAGGAGGTCCTGAAACCTCCCCACTGTTTTCGCTGGAAGTGTCTCTGAGCCATCCCTCCAGCTCACTTTCCCTCCGCTCAGCTCCTCTCCCCTGCTGGTTCCCTCTTCAGCTGCTGAGTCTCTCCCAACCTGTGTGAGCCCTTTCACCTCCCTGCTGGTTCCCTCTTCAGCTGCTGAGTCTCTCCCAACCTGTGTGAGCCCTTTCACCTCCCTTCCGTCCGATGGCAGTTCCCTGACAGGTGACTTACAGTGGGTCTTTGTGGAGAAAAAGTTTAACAGGGCTATAGAAAGCATGTCTTCAGAACCTGTATGCATAGGGGCTTGGATCTGAATTTTTTTAAAACACCGGGAAATAAATCAAAACTACTACAGTATATGACATATAAAACATCTGGCGAGCATGAGAGGCCTGTTGCATTGCACTCCTCAAATGTTCCAGTGAATTCTGTTACATGCCAGTGTGTGACTGATGAAAAATATACTGACCTTTCCCCAGACAGATACATGCACGGTCTTGACATGACTTATTATTTCTTCTTCTGTGTTAAACAATTTGCAGAATTTTTATTTGAGGTTGTTTAGTAACTGGAGGTTGCCCAGTAGCTGGGAATAGCCCAGAGTATTGCTTTGGACACTTGTGAGCAGAGGTTTAATGTATAAATAAATCTTATTAAGTTAAAATCTATGCTTATTTTTCTGAATAAAGAAGGAGCAAGATCGTTTGCTGATGAAAATGTAGTAAAGGGCAGTTGTGTTTCTCTTTCCCACTTTTTTGCGGCCTTTATCCAGTATTTCTGTGTAGGTTCACCTGAAGTCTATAATTAAGCCCTTAGAGCCCTGGTGCTTTCATAACCACAGAACTTTCTTACTCTCACAGAGCTGTCAGGGATAAGCTGTCATTATTGGTAAGGAGAACAGATGTGAGGTAGACACATAGTTGATTTGTCTGAAAATGACTTGGATAGAGATTTATATAGGCATTTATTAAACTTGACAAAGCTGGATTTTAATGAGCCCAATTTTGATGACATCCCCCTTATTAGAGCTAATTTAATCAATTAACATAAAATGAGCTGCTGCTTTCTAATTACTGAGTGAGAAGCTTATACACCGTCCTCTAATTTTTCCCTCTTTAAATTTAAAAATACTTTCCCAACTCTTTGACACCAGACTAATCTGATACAGATATAATGCTAAATACTTGCAAATCATGGTTTGCAAATCCAGAATCCAGTCTCGAGAACTATGCCTCTTACCATCTCTAGATCAAATTTGTTCTTGCCTTCCCTTGTTGGTATTAATGATGGTTTAGAGCAGGGTTTCCCATTGGGCCTCCAGCTGTATTAGACTACAATTCCCACTATCTCTGACCACTGGCCTTGGCAGTTGTAGTCCAAAAACAGCTGGAGACCCAAGTTTGGGAAACTCTGGTTTAGAGTATAGTGTGCTTGTCAAGGTTCCTTTTATCTGTGTTTGCCAACCACTTGAAACCAGGGTTACAAGTTCTCGTGTATGTGGAGGTCACAGTATCACTTTGCTTCCTTTGTTACTTTCATGAAAGACCAAAGCAGGCATCCTAAAGGATGCTTTATGTATAGGATAGCTGTGTATTATGCATGTAATTATTTAAAATATTTCATACCTCCAACTGAAAGTTTTTCAGGTCTGTTTACAGCTCAGGTTGTTCTGAAGTGGATGATTCCAAGCAAACTGTTTATATACATCTGATAATGGCTAAACCATATTTAATGAAACACTCTCAGTTATAAGGTTCTTACACTGAAAAATTGCATTTTGCATAGCTTGTTTTCTTTGGTTTTGTTATAAGTGCCATTTTTAGACATGATTTGACAACTGTTTTAAATGACCCCCATTTCAATTTATGTCCTCTATTTTTGCACCTTCGTACAGACAGCAGGCTTCAAAGAAGATAATGAAGTGGTCCTTGTCAGAACTGATCAGTCTGGTAGAGCATGGCCTGTTAACACACCAGGAGAACTGCTGGAACCAAGTGGCAGAAAAAGGAAGCAGAAGGTATGTGTAATCAAGATAGGACATAAATTTGGGCATGAGGATGTGAGGAAACTCCAAATACCATGTAAGAAAGCTACCAGACTATTTAAAGAATTTACTTCTATAAATTTGGGGCATTTGTATCCTGCCCAGTCAACAATGTCCTCTGGGCTGTTCACAACAATAAAATACGAGTACAGTCCAAAACTAGAATGGTCAATGGAAAAGCAGATCAACACAGAAAACTTGCATAAAAGCATGACGATGTTGCCATGAAATAGTCAAAAGTCAATAACTCCCCCATCTCCACATCCTTCTCTTGTGGGCACTGTGAAAGACATGAAGCCACAGACATGAAGTTGGTATCTGTTTTCCTCCCTTCTGGAGTGGCAATAATAAATCTTATGTAGTCCTATTTGTAATAAATGCTTATCAGTGCTTTCCCCACAAGTGTAAGAGCACCTGCCTTTGATGTACATCTTCCAATAATTTGAATAGCCGTTTCTGAAGACTGTTGTGTTGACAGTGTCTAATGAGAAATTCCATGAATTCCCTGTTGTATCAGTTTAGGGCTACTTTGCTGAAATTAGATATGCTTTGTAAAATTCAAGTGCTGAATTGCATTCGCTTACTTTTATAAAGTTGCTTTTAGACTGGATTTGTTTTAGCATAACCAGACTGTGGCACCAAATGAATATCCATGTACTTGTTATTCATTTTCAGGTTATTACTCACGTGGAGAAGGAAAGGGTCCGCTATTTTCAGGATGATGATAATCTGAGCCTGAATGATTTGGTCAGAAACGAAAAGATGAGGACAGCAGAGGATCAAAATAAGCTGTTCATGAGAATGGCATCAAAGGTAGGGCCCAGTGTGTCTGAATTTATATTGAAACCTAATGAGCGCTTCCAATATATTAAAAACCCTTTCAACTTTTTTAAAAAAAATAAAATTCTGTTTGGAATAACATACTCTAAGATGTATCAAGATCTTCATATGAGTGTTTCAAGTTTGAGGAAACAATGCGATTTGTTCCAGTACTTTATATTTGTTTTATGAATATAATTTTACTGTTTGTATGCTGTTCATTTTCTTAATGTTGGTGGCTTAGAAATTTTTGCAAATAATAAATAAATAAAGATAACTGGGGTTCTGGGGCAGGAGAAGAGAGAGACAAGGAAGCATTTGCAGCTGCTTCACAGGCCGCAGCATTTGGGCTGCCCTCCAACTTAGGTTTGAGCCCTGATTTTCCTGGACTGACCCCAGTGCACCATGTTCACTACCATACTGGCTTTCAGTGTACAGTGGTACCTCAGGTTACATACGCTTCAGGTTACATACGCTTCAGGTTACAGACTCTGCTAAGCCAGAAATAGTGCTTCAGGTTAAGAACTTTGCTTCAGGTTGAGAACAGAAATCGTGCTCCGGCGGCGCGGCGGCAGCGGGAGGCCCCATTAGCTAAAGTGGTGCTTCAGGTTAAGAACAGTTTCAGGTTAAGTACAGACCTCCGGAACGAATTAAGTACTTAACCTGAGGTACCACTGTATAGAGAATCATAATAAAAGGTAAAGGGACCCCTGACCATTAGGTCCAGTCGCGGATGACTCTGGGGTTGCGGCGCTCATCTCACTTTACTTGTCGAGGGACCCGGCTTACAGCTTCCGGGTCCTGTGGCCAGCATGACTAAGCTGCTTCTGGCAAACCAGAGCAGCGCATGGAAACGCCATTTACTTTTCCGCTGGAGCGGTACCTATTTATCTACTTGCACTTTGATGTGCTTTTGAACTGCTAGGTTGGCAGGAGCAGGGACCGAGCAACGGGAGCTCACCCCCTCGCGGGGACTCGAACTGCCGACCTTCTGATTGGCAAGTCCTACTTTGGTGCAAAACATCATTTAAAATCTCAAGTATATGAACTCTGTAGATAAACTTAAACTGAAAGGTAGCAATTTTAATTTTTTGCTGTAAAAGCACCATCTGAAACCATTTTTGTCATCTGTATTAATGAAGTGCACAGAATTGACACCCATTTAATAACTTTCTCTTTCATGCTTTCATTTGTGAGGAAAACGGGAGGAGGGGAAATGCAGTTGAAATGGATGTCATCTTATTGATATTGCTGAAAGTCTAAAAATGATATTCTGACTAGTGTGTGAGAAAGTGGCCCTTCAATACTGCAGAGGATTTTCATTCATCTTTTTGACTGAGATATTGGCTTTGGTGTGTCTGCATTGTTTTAAATCAACGTCTGTACCTCAGTTCTGTTGCAACCAGCAAAATAATGAAATGTGATTTCTAATGTGCAGTAAGGAAGCAAGGGTATCTTCTATTTTTCAGTTTTCCTTGATATGTCCTTTAAACAAACTTTTTGAACTTGAAAACCTGATGGTAAAATCACATTGAGATCAGTTTCAGTGCCTTTGCTGTCAACATGAAAGTCAACTAGATTTCACTTGTGTGTAAAGCTGTCCAACTAGATAGTTTTAAAGCAGCATTATGTTCAGTAGAAATTACTGATAGAAACAGATTTGTGAAGCAGGAAGGCACCTTGGAGTAAATAAAATAATCGATTCCAAGAAACGGAAAGAGTAAGAGTAGCAAAACAAGAAGTGTTAAATTTTAGGGGAAAGACATTTTTTTGACACCTTTGAAAATTAAGAACCAGGTACTGTTGGGAAGAGTTACTGAATAGGGATTCAGAAGGGGATGGAGTTGGATGAATTTAAAAATTGCTTGCAAGTAGCTCAGTGGTTGACTACATGCTTTGCAAGTAGAAGGTCCCCGGTGTCAGTTCCTGGCATCTCTAGCTAAAAAGGCCAGGAAGCACGTGATGGAAAAGATACCCCTCTGTTTGAGGTCACATGGAGAAATGCTGCCAATCAGAAAACATAAACATAAGGCAGATTCCTAGGTTCCAAATGTAAGGACTTACAAGTTTCACAAGCTGGACAGGGAAATAGAAATCTGCCTTGAGTGTGAGAGGGGAAGTACAGAGCCCTACCACCACCAGCTCCTGTCCCTTATTCTTCCAGCCACTGAATATATCTCTCACCTGCCCATACCACCTCTTGCCTCCGGAAAGCTGCTTTGCATTGTAGACCAGGGCAATCCAGACACAGTGGGAGACATTGTCCGGAGCAGGGGTAGGAAATTGGATCTATCCAGCAGGCAGGGGCCAGATGTCCCATGACCCCCCACAAGCCACTTAGGTTGCTGGGGCTGCCCACCTGTCAAGCATCTGACATCACCAAGATGCAGGATAACGCACTTGCTTTGCTGGCATGTTTTGATTTCCAGGACATGCCTCTCCATGGGGCTTGCTGTAAGCACCAGCCAGCCTTGTGCAAGAAAAGTAAAAATATTTTTTCAGGTGTTGATCTGCTTGTGTAAGAGAAGACATCTTAAGTTCTATGGAACTTGCCTAATCATAGTACCACGTCAACTATTGCACTAACTCTTGTGAAACAAGTAGTGGCTGTTTTCCACTATTGTTTATTGGGAGCCAGCCCTGTGTAGTTGATACACCATTGTGCAAGACAAGTATCATTGTTTTGTTTCAGTAGGAAGAAGCTGTTGGCAGACATTCTACTAATGTGCAGATTAGTTGGCAAACCTAGGCTTCAACAGTCATAGTAGGACTTAAACTAGTAATAAAGAAAATTTGCATAATGAATCCTCATCAATGCAATATTTAATTAACACCTGGATAAAAGCTCCCTTCGTTTTATTGTGTTAGAGCTGAGCCCTAAATACATTTACAGTATATATATATAAATATTTTTAATTCACAGTCCTTTTGACTGAAACCTATTGTTTTTCGTAACACCAGCAGGGTTCTGTTTTTTTTCCAGCTTCCTATCATGTATTTGAGTATAACATTCCTGAAATCTAAATGCTTCCATTTAAAATGGGTGATGTCAGTGTTACCATGGCAATTGAAAATCGCACGGATCCAATTTATACAATCTATACACCTTTTCCCTTTCTGGCAGATTTTCAGAGCAGCAGTAACGCTTCTTGCATTCATGTAGAAGGTGTATCTTGAATTGCGATTGCGTTAGTGTTATTATGGGAGAAACGAATGTTCAGTGGGTGAAGGCAAGGGAGAAGCGTATCATCTTACGAAAGACGGTGAATGGAAAACTAGTTGCACAACCGTAGTAATAAATAGAGCCCAAATACGCAAGCATGTGTTAACAGGACTTTATATAACAGAAGGTGGGATTTTTTTTAAATTTAATTTTTTTTTTGCTTTTCTCCACTATACTTTGAGATGGCATTCTTAGGCAAAGTATACGTTTTTATGTCTGTTTTTGTGTGTGGCCCTGCTGCCATTTTCCTAAAAGCCACCCCCATAACTGGAAACTGAAGAAAGAGAGAAAAGTTGTAGTCAGCTTCGTGCCTCAGCGTCCTAGCCAGCAGTGCACATTCTGGGGCAAGCCAAGCCTGTACTAAAGGGAAGGACTCCACTTGAACCGCGATGGAAACCGACTGTTGGCGCTGAAAACAGAGAAGGTGGCAGAGCAGCTGTTAAACCGAAGGGAGGGGGTAAAACTGGCAAGAGCTGAGGAGGCGCCATTCGGAATGAATCTCACCCCCGGGGATGAATTTTAAATGCGGGTGGCATAGAACTAGGCTTGTGAGTGCAGGAGCACAGCATAGCAATTCAGAGAGGCCAAAGCACCACACTTGAAGAGAGAGGGTGGTCTTCAAGTGTTTATATGCTACTGCCTCTGAGCCCAGGTGAGTGAACTGGACTGCTTGGTATTAGAGGCTGGCACTGGTAGAATAGAGATGATGGATACTTGGTGGAACAGAGAGAACCAATGGGACATACTGTAGTTATCTCTGGATATAAACTCTGTAGGAAAAACAGAGAAGGACGTGCCAGAGCTGGTGTCGTTCTGGATGTCCCAGAGAGCATTGAATCCAGCAAGCAAGGAAACCCAAAAGGGGCAGAATTCTGATAATCAAAAGATAGCTGAGAGATAGCAGGCCTGCTGCTTAAGACGAAGAGATTTCTGCTTCAGCGTTGTAGATGGGGATCACATCGTTCAAATAACATGCCTTTCTTAAAAGACCCCCTTTGGCATGTAACTGCGGTTGTAGGGTACGTACTAATACACTTAAGTGCTCTATGCGGCTGCCATCTTGTTTAATAAAAATGGCTTCAATTAATCATATATGTCAGACCAGGTAGTTTGGATGCCAGGAAAATCTGACTGGCATGTATGGTTACACTTCCATGGGAAGCTTATGTAAGTTCCTTGCCTGTGGTCATCTTCACCATCATGTTTTAATGGGGCCTCACAGTGTTATGGATCAGTTTTTCCAGTTTCATAAGAAGTTGCTTAAAAAGGACACATTGCTGGGGCATGATCATTTTGCTTTTGTTCACTTTCTCACTTGCCTTTTGATTTTAAACAAGATTAGATGAGTTCTCCTATAGTGGTGTACTGCAGGAGAGTGCAGAACTGGGGATGGTAACAATACCTTTTATTTTTGAATTTTATTTCAAAATTGAGAATAGTAGAGCATATATATTAATAAGCACTTGTTATAATGAATAGGAATGAGGAAGTGATACTGGATTGTGGGAAACTTTATGGCCACACTTCTGTAGTCAGGATGTCAAAAATTATGGGAGGAATTCAACACCACACTGTTAGAACCAGCTACCCTATCCCTCCTCATTTGCTGTTCAGAATGTTCTCTTGCAACCGCCACTCCAGCCAATTTAATGCAGAATTGAAGTACTCCAGTTGCGTATGGACCTTGCCACATGCTGTATATCATATTCCATACGGATGTTGCCTAAATAATCAAACAGCATGATAACATAATAAGAATACAGTGGTACCTTGGAAGTCGAACGGAGTCCATTCTGGAAGTCTGTTCGACTTCCAACGTTTGGGAACCAAGGTGCGGCTTCTGATTGGCTGCAGGAAGCTCCTGCAGCCAATCGGAAGCTGTGGAAGTCGCATCGGTCGTTCGTGTTCCAAAGAACATTCGCAAACCGGAACACTCACTTCCGGTTTTTGATCATTCAGGAGCCAAAGCGTTTGACTCCCAAGGCGTTTGAAAACCAAGATAAGGCTGTAATGTGCCTCTTCTTTATGCATTTTTTGTTCTTGTCAACTTTTTTCATATGTGTACCCTGCCCTTCCACCCAACAAGGCAGTGTTACCTGTGATCACCCACAACAAGCCTGAGAGATTGGGCTGAGAGTTGGTGATTTGCTCAAGGTCATCAAGGAAACTTCATAGCCAAGAAGGAATCCCTGATCAAAGTCCATCTTTGTCCACATTGACTAAATCTTCCTTTTGCTTCAGTTTTCAGACAAAACGGATAGAGAGTACTACACTCTGGATGATATGTTTGTTTCCAAAGCGGCAACGGGCGAGCGAAGCGGCGAGGAAGAGGGAAGGCAAAGGAAACAAGCAATCCGTGAGCATCAGCATCTTGCTGCACGCATGGAGAAGTGCCCTTACTGCTTTGGTAGCCCCGAACTTCCAAAACACCTGATTATTGCAATTGGTAACAAGGTAAGGAAGCAGCACAGCCTGTTCTGCGATGCAAATGGGAAGAAATAAAAGAGGGCTGTTTTCCATTCCATGGTTTTATGAGATTAAAAGTGAGATTGCTTCTTGTGACATGAGTTATTGTCTTTGAATGTTCCCGGCCCTTCCAATTAGGAGGAAAGAGCCACTTCCTCAAGGGTGCGACTAAAATGATACGACTCTTGTCTTGAATGATCAAGTTAATCTTCTTCAGTACTTCATATTTGCAGGTGACCTTGCTGCAATGATATGCAAGAGCTGAATATTTAGGTTGCATAAGGTGGGTAAATAATTTGGAGGCCAAATCATGGTAAGAGAAAAAGGGTCATAGAGGGGAAGTTGAAATTAGAAGCCAGAAAACATAATAAGGTCCACAAAGGCAAAGCAAAGTCATCCGGATTTCAGCAGCACTACAGACAGCAGTCACTGCCTTTTAAAATAAATTTTGGGTTAGTTGCAAAGAGCATATGGAAGTTTTTACTTGAGACCAACTTGCTGCAGCCCAGATGACATTGAACTACAGCTCCCATCATCATGACAATTGGCTGTGTTGACTGAGGCTGATGGGAGTTGTAGCCCAAAAATGTTAGGAGGACACTCTGTTCCTGTTTTAGACTTTGCCCCACCCACCTCAAAAAACTTGCTAGAAGTATGTGTTTACTTCAACATCGTCATAGTTCAACAAGAATCCTATTTCCTCAAGTTTATTGCCCTCCAAAAGTATTCTGACTTTCACCCATCTAGACTCTCTGGATGCCCAAACATTACGCTAAAATACATGCACAATTCAACAAAATGTAGATAAAAATAACCAGAAGCAGACCACAGGATGCATGCTTAGCTCTGACTTCAGTAATGACTGGGCTAAAACTTAAAACACAAGAAAATGAACAGTCTATATTCTGCTAATTCGGGCTCTTTAGCTTCCTCTTAGATATTCACATATCCATTATCCTTCACCATGTATCCCACAATATTCCCTCACTCATCTTCCTCTCCCCATCACTCCAGTTTATAAATAGGTTACATTTTGATGTCCATGTTTCGTAATGTTGCAAAACTGTAATCGTTTTTTTTAAGTCAGCCAAATGCTTCCTTAAGCAAATGGCCATATGATCTCTTTAGACCGAGTTTATTTCAGCAGGAACAGCCATCAGCCTTACCTCTAAATACAGAGGTTTTAGAGCCTTGATGACTTCAAAACCTAGGAGGGAACATATGAGAGGAGACGCATCTTGTACAGAAACCCCTTTATTTGTTAGGTGTACCGACTGTTGTTCTTGTGCCTGGTTTCTGACTCAGGGTTTTAAAGAGTAATGGGGAACTAATCTGTACCCAATGTTGGGATATATGTGGCTGACTAAGGGTGCATTCCCGGCCACTGCTCTGCAAGGCTTCCTGGGGTGGGAGGGCCACCATCACATCTGCAACCTTGCTGAGCAAGTTGGCTGGGTGGAAGTGGGCAGGCAGATTTCTGCACCAGCCTGGGGCCAGCATAGTGACTGGGACTGAATTGGGCTGACTCAGCCCCACCTGCTCCTGTTTGGGGGCTTTCTGGTGGCTTCTGTCAGCAGGGAACCTGCACATTCAGTGGGTTGAAGGGATAGCTCTGCCTGTGGAGTGATACTGGACTCACTCTGCAGGTGGAGGTCAGCAGGGCTACCCAATCCAACCCTGTTCCCCCCTGCCCCACAAAGGGAGTTTGGATTGTTCCATAGGTATTTTCATGGAAACAAACACGCAGAGACAGGCAAGCAAACAGGCAAGGAACTTTTGTATGCAGTGCATGGTCCCGAAGGGCAAGGTTTTGGAGTTGGTAGACTCAACGGAGGAACTGAAATGTGTAAAATATGATTAGTGTTCTGCATTGCTCTGTGCAGTGTATGTCAGAAAGAGATTCGTCTTCACAGGAATATCTCTGTTCAGCAGAGAGATCTGGGCATTCTCCCAGTGCCTTAAGATGAGGGTGATGAACCTCCAAGGGCCACATTGCATTGCCACAAAACCTCTGAGGGGTGCATGTCATGCTCAGAACACAACATAGGAAATTTCCCTGTGCTTATTAATTTTATGTTCTTGGAACTACCTACAGTAACTATATACTTTGCCCTGGTTCAGAGTATATACAGTGGTACCTCGGGTTAAGTACTTAATTCATTCCGGAGGTCCGTTCTTAACCTGAAACTGTTCTTAACCTGAAGCACCACTTTAGCTAATGGGGCCTCCTGCTGCTGCCTTGCCGCCAAAGCACGATTCCTGTTCTCATCCTGAAGCAAAGTTCTTAACCTGAGGTACTATTTCTGGGTCAGCAGAGTCTGTAACCTGAAGCGTCTGTAACCTGAAGCGTATGTAACCCAAGGTACCACTGTAGTTACATAATGGCCTCATGCTCCCCCCCCCCATTTCTCTACTTCTCTAATACAGTTGTGTGGAGGAGATACGAACCTTAAATATTTCAATTAACCTCAGTTATAAACTGGGTTAATCTTAACCAGGCATAGGCAAACTCTGGCCCTTCAGAGGTTTGGGATTACAGTTCCCATCATCCCTGACCACTGGTCCTGTTAGCTAGGCATGATGGGAATTGTAGTCCCAAACTTCTAGAGGGCCGGAGTTTGCCTATGCCTGATGAACTATGGGTTAGTTGAAGCAATCCTGCTTCATAAATTTTGCTTTGAAGTTGACTTTTTCCCCAAATCAACTATAGTTAAGCCTAAACACAGTTTGTCCTGGTTCAGATATAATACTTGGCTGCAGTTAGTCTAAAACAAAAGTGCACATTTCTGACCTGCTATGCCAGAGGACAAGGGAAGGGAGGATCACACAGAGACAAGGCTCATTGCACTCCTTCCTAAGATGTGGTTTATTGCTTTGTCCAAATGAGGAAAAAGACAAGTATAACCACTCATAGGAGAAGCATACACTGACTCAGGGTTGCATGAAATTGTGTTTGCGATTTTCTGTATGTGGTATAACATCTTAGGTGGCATCTCTTTGATAATATCTGACATAGCATTCACTTTCTTTAAATTCCCTGCATCATAGAATAGAAGTGTTTCTACAGTATGTTTTAGCATATAATTGCCATAACAAAAGATTTTTATTTTTTTTTGTACAGCAGAATAGACTAAGACCAAATACTGTCAGTGAGGATAAAGGCTTAAGCATTGAAGTGAGCTGTCTTAACAAATTGAGTTGCTTTGAATTTCTTGTATGAAATGCTGCTGGAGAATGATTATTTCGAGAGGCTTGCGTTGATTATGATGATTTTTCAGTAACAAACTTAGAGAGAATAAAAGGCTTGCTCTGGAGGGCTTGCGATCTGTAAATCAGTAAAGAGACCAGAGCAGCAGGGAGCATAAAAGAGAGTAATATGTGATTATTTCAGTCACGTATACTGAGGTTTATAAATAGCATTGTTGGATCCATAAGAGAATATTCCAGAATCTACCATGGGCAATACATTTATGAGGACCAACCAAAACGTCACCCAAAAGTGGCGTGCCCTTCAGTTCTCTGGAGTTCTTAACCATGGAAATTGTTAAACAAGGGTGGGGCTGGGGAGGCAAGGGAGGGAGAGTACAAAAATTAGGCTGAATTTGTAGCCATGAATTTTTAGGTTGTAGACTCTGTTCCAAAGTGGAAATTGCAGGAATAAGTCTCTACTAGGTGTTACAGGCATCAGGTTGCACACTGATTCTGCAATAAAGAAGAAATGGCTACTGTTTTTTAAGAGCACAAAATCTAACTTGTAACCCAGATCTGGCTTAGGTAGTGCAGGGTGTGGGACTAGGGGATTTTTGCCAGAGGCTTTTGGGGGGGGGGAAATGGGGTTTAAAGTAAAAATCTTTCCCATTCTGCATCTGTACTGGAATTATTTTCAGGTGTTTCACTTGTTGTATCTTACACACATTTGCCTCTCTGGGCTCCTTCAGGAGGGCGGGCGGAACATAAAATAAATAAATAGAAGCTTAAACCATCTTGTATTCCACCCCCTCTCTCTCTAGGTCTACCTGTCATTGCCAAACTACCAATCTCTTACTGAAGGCCATTGCTTGATAGTTCCTATGCAGCACCACATTGCAGCCACTCTTCTAGATGAAGACATCTGGGAAGAAATCCAGGTGGGCAAAGTCTTAGGCTTGATGTGACTTGTTGTGTGGATTCATATCTAAACACTGTCGATATGAGCCAGCCAAACTTGGCACTTGTAGTCCTCTTAATTTCAATGGGAAACATTTAAGCATCTGTTTGCTCCTTCATTGTAACTGGTGGGAATTGGTGTTTTCTTTTTGGTGGCATTGTCCCTTTTGCTGTGAGAAGGGCAGGCTGCCGCTTGGGGGTGGGTGGAGAGGGGACCGTTATATGCAGCGTGCTCCTTGCAGCCGAGATATGGTAGATGTATTCAGAGATGAGTTGCCTTCTCCATCATCTGTTGGAATAATACACAAGGGGCTTCTGAGTGCTTTATTTGAAGACTTTGAATAGTTGGTTTTTTTTAAAAAAACTGAAATCATTAAGAGAGTTATGGGAAGTTCATAGCCAACACTTAACTTTCTACAACTGAGACGTTTTCCTCCGTCTACAAGTCAGCATTCTGAATAAATGTTGTGAAGTATAAAAATAACACAAAGTGGGTGTATAAAGGTTAGCGACATTTAACATGTCAGTTTATCCGACCCAAATAACCTGATTTGAAAGTAGAGAAACTTCAATACAGTGGTACCTCGGGTTAAGTACTTAATTTGTTCTGGAGGTCCATACTTAACCTGAAACTGTTCTTAACCTGAAGCACCACTTTAGCTAATGGGGCCTCCTGCTGCCGCCACGCTGCCAGAGCCCGATTTCTGTTCTTATCCTGAAGCAAAGTTCTTAACCTGAAGCACTATTTCTGGGTTAGCGGAGTCTGTAACCCGAAGCGTATGTAACCTGAAGCATATGTAACCCGAGGTACCACTGTACTGTTTGTTTGAATGTGTGTAGTACTTTCACATCTTTGCCAAGCACCGGCCACATTAAATGTCTAGTAAATCTGCAAATTGGCATAAAAGAATATGGGGCCAGTTTATATTGAACAAGCTTGTGTACTTCGGACATAGAACAATCTCGAAGTGGGTCAAGTTGGGATGTGTCTGTGATGGTTTGGTCAGGTTAGACACCAAGCAAAAAAGAAAGAGGTTTGCATTTTCCAGAGTTCTCATGCTGGTTCGCATACCTGGTGCGAGTCTGTCTCACTGATCAGTCTAAAGTTGAGGTTAGTAAATTCAGACTACAACTTTGCCCTTGGTGCATCGAGAGTCTCTTTAATATACTACATGGAGATTTCTGGAGTCAAGCATACTTAAAACAACAGTAAGCTGAGCTCCTTGGTAACAATTTATTCTCAAACCAGACATTAATGTTATTAAACTGAAAGCACATGGACAGTTTACATTTGAGGATAATGTTTATTTGGGAGGATTAATTGAGTGAGCAAGAGGTCATTCAAGTTTCTAGGATTTGGTCTCATGTAGGAGGCAAATGAAATTCAACCAAGAGCTAAATATAAACTCTTGGAATATCAATATAATGGGAAAGTGTAATTAAATATGCCTGGGAAATTCTGCAAAAATGCTTAGAAGATACCTTTATTCCACAAAGAGCATGTCTCCAGAGTAGCTTGGCTAATTATGGACCCACTAAATAAATAAAAGTCTTAATAGAGCTTTTATAATCACTGAGAAGATTCAGAGCTCTTTTAAATTTGTTTTCTGTTAACAAAATCTCTTTCATGCTCCCTTTCCCTTGCAACATGTTGAGGCATTTGTCATATCACATCTGTTTCTGCTCTCTATCCTTAAGACTGGTAGTGCATGGCTTAATTATTCCAGTTCAGGCTAAAAACGTATAGGAATAAGCATGAAAAACAAGCAAACAAAAAATCATGCATTAAGTTTCAGTCACCCTCAATATTCCAGTAATACTCTGTAAATACCAAGTTAACAGTGTTGATAGAAAGCCTAGACTGGCAAGGACCTCTTAAAACAAGCATAGTAAGTTTTGTTTTGTTTCTGAATTGCGTGAACATTATCTACCATGCCCATTCTAAGAACTATAGGGAGCCATTATGTTGTCTAATAGATTTAAATTAGTCTGGTTACATCAGAAGTGTACGTGGGATTTTTTTTTTTTACCTTATATTATACAATTTGTGTATTTCTTACAGCCAGCCAGCCAAAAATACAAAATGCAGAATCGCACCCTCAATAAAAACCAGTCAAAATAAAACAAAACAAAACGATATGCTACGAACTGACAACCATAAGAAGTCTTAAAGATAGGTTTTCAAATTTTCACCATCTGTGAAGATGTTTGTTCTGCCAAAAATACTAAAGAGGCTCTCTAAAGACAAACCTGGAAACAGTCTCATAAGAGGATGATTTATATATTATTTGATCCCCCTGATAAAAAAACTTAAGGTAAAATAGCACATGAAGGTGATTGATTACAGGGGCAACACCTGTTTTTAAAAGGAACACTGGCAAATCTGCCATTCAAATGCTGATCAGTAAGATAGCTCTTCTTTGCTTAGGTATTGATTTTATAAAAAGCAAACAGAGTTTAGGGGCAGACAGATGCAGACCCTGAGGCCATGGGCCCTGTGAATCCCCCAGGCTAGCACATGTAGCTCTCATATTTCTTAAATGGCTTTAAAAGGTTGTTAGATAAATTGATGGGGAAGAAGTCTACCAATGGTTGGCAGCCATTGCATCCAGTATTAGAGGCAATATGAACGCCAAATGCTGGTGGTCATAAGCAGGAGAGTGATGGCTCATGTCCTCCTTGCCGGCTTTCCATGGTCATCTAGTTGGTGACTGCATGGACATAATACTGATCTAGTAGATGGGCCTTTGGTCTGGTCCAGCAGGGCTGTTCTTACATTCTTAAGTCTGTATATTTTGTTTTCTGTTGTCTTATAAATTGAAAAGTAACATCACAGTTTCCCCACCATTAACTCTTTCTTACATGAGTCTTTCTTGCTCTGTGCGTGTATGTATGAAATGATTCCCTTGAAACGCCAAGGCTTATTGACTCGCTTAACACCAAACTACTATGGCCAGATAGAGGTCCAGATTTGATGAAGTGAGCATGCGTAAGGGCCGACCAGGGTTGTTGAGCTTTTTTTAGGATTTAACCCCAGGACATAACATATACTGCTACAGGGGCTGGATTAAATTGACCGGCTTGATTTTGGACACGCCTGTACTATGGGATATAAAAACTCATGTTAATATCTTGACGTAAGCTCAGTTGATTGCTTAAAATGAGAGGCCGTTTTGCTTAGGATCGAGTGTATCTCCATAGGCCATGCTTGGCCCAAGCGTGCTGATCTCAAGGGAAATGGGAGGAATACAGGAAAATGGAAGATTGCAGCACCAATCCTGCTTGAGGACCTCTTACCTAGTTGTGAAAATGCACAGGGGTCTCTCAGCATCTTCCGGCTATCAAATTTTATCAAGATACGGCACTTCTATTTAAAAGAATATATGTAGCAAGTTGATTATGTATTGCACAGGGAAGGGGAGATGTTGTTTAGACCAACTAGAATTTGAAAAGCAAATTTAGGTTGTTTATCAAAAGCTTACAAGTTTAGAGACAACCACCTAGTAAGTTGCCTTATTGTTTTAATAAGACTGTTGGTCCATTTAGTTCAGTGCTGACTGGCAGTAGCTCTCCAGAGCTTCAGATGCCAGGTATTGAATCTAGAGCCCTGTGCACTCAAAGCAAGTGCTCTACCACTGATTTACTGCCTTCTTGAAGCTTTTTAAATTACCTTAGTAGCTGCAGTGGCGGCAGCGGCAAAAGAGCATTTCCGCATTTAATTTGCTTTGAAAATCTCCAAAATATCATTGGTAGAATGGGTGCTAGTGGAAGTGACAGGCAGTAATGTGTCAGCTGTTGAATTAATTCTTAGTTTCCACAACTAGAACAGGATAATGAACAGTTCTGCTTACTGATGCGTGATTCTTGAAAATGCTGGCCAGGGGGTTGTTTCAATTTAATTTGCATTTAAATGTCATGGCTTCTCGGACATCCTGGTGCCAATATTTTTGCTTGACAGCCGTTAGCCTGCCTTCACGGCCTTTGCTTGGCTGCTTCATAGCAATCTTGAGGCAGATGTGCTTTTTCGGGGAGAAATGTAAACTGTAAAGCAAAGTCAGAGATGGAAACTTCATGTGCCCTTCCTTCAGATATTCTCTAAATAAATTTTGCAGAGAACTTCCTTTGACCTCACAAGTGCTATGAACTTTGCCCCCACCCCAGCTATTGTTTTAAACATGCACCACTGCATGACAGAACCAAGTGCTATTTGGCAAGAGAGTTGGGAAATACCATTCTAGTTTGGGAAATGTTTCCATAACTTGACCCTGTGGCTCTGAAAGACCTAGTATCTCTAAAGTCTCATTTTTTAAATGATGCAAAAGCTCAACCCTGACAATAAATGTATATGCTATTCTACTGGAGTACCCAAGGGTCAGAAGCACAGGATTCCTAGCATGCCAGAAGATGACCACAAGCTAGTATTTCTATGCCATTGAGGACCCCATTCTCCCATGTAACATGGTGGTTTCTGGTACTGCATGAATGTGCTGGATAACTCATCCTCCGGTTGCCCATCCCCACTGAAGCAGGTGATATGAAAGATTTTTCTTCGAGACCCTGGAGGACTCTTACCAGTCAGAGTCACTTAGTATAAAGCACCATAATGTGTTCATTATAGTTTTTAGGGAGAGGGCTGTGCAACCATCTTCAATTGTCAAATGTGTGAATTAGGCAACAACTTTGATTTCTCCGGGAAAGAAGAGCATATTTCTTTTGATTTATGGATGTGTGCATTGGTGTGCATCATTTGGTCTTCTGATAAACGAATGCCATTGCTTTCACATGTTTTCCACGAATGTTTAGAACGACAAAACATCAAAAGCAAATATGCAGTTTTGTTTGGAAACGTAGCACAAGGGAGTTGATTTCCAGTGTGGCCCATGAAGATAATGAGGTTGTAAAATGAAATGTGAATTCTGTGATTTATGGCCCTGGCACATTTCAAATGCTCAGTCAGCTTAAGTTACGTCAGGCTTGTGGTTTCCAACTTGTTATAATTTCATACGAGCTCAATTTGAAATCAGTTCTTGGCACCTGCCTCCTCTTGCCAGATGCCGTCACACCATTTCAGGTTTGGGAACCAAAATCATCTCTCATTTATTGGAAATCTAGACTGTGATTTCTACCTTATCTGTTTGTTTTAAAACATGCCAGCTTCTAGGCACCACTCAAGATAGAAACTGATCTACTCCATGATCAGTTGTGACATTCTATCCTATAGAGGAAAATGAGTGAGTATACACACAGGTCAAGTCTGTTACAGTAACAGGTTGGGTAAACTTCTGCACAATGGAGATGAGAGACCCAAGATTGCTTTTCTTTAAGGAAATATTAGTATCTGGCTTAAAGGTCAATCATCCCTGATGAAAATGTCACTTTTTGATAAATTGTGTAATTGGAAGGAAGAGTGGAAGGATGGTGGCATTTGGAGTCTAAGCAAGTCAAGGTATTAACTTTTGAGGAAATGAAACTCTGAGGCCTCCCATGGTTTCTGCCTCCATTTATGATGCCCTCCAATTTTTTGAACTTCATGCACCTTTCATTTGACAGAAAACAACACCTACAGTTGCCATTATGCATGTAGTATAAATATTTAAAATTACTCATCATGTTCCAGTGTTGAGCTCATTTTATTTTGAATGCAATGTGACATTAACCTATGAAAGTTTGACTTCTCAGTAATGCCAGATACTTAACCGCAGCTGTTGCCTAACATTTCTGTGATTGAAAACTATACGTATTTTTACTCTTCTTGCTCTACTCCCTCTCTTTTTTTACAGATATTCAGGAAAGCTTTGGTGAAGATGTTTGAAGCTCAAGAGTTGGATTGTGTCTTCCTTGAGACAAACTTAAATTTAAAGAAGCGATACCACATGGTATATGAATGTATCCCCCTCCCAAAGGAAGTGGGTGATATGGCTCCCATCTACTTCAAGGTATCTACAAACTTTCCAGTTTCCTCAGTTTTGCGTTTTGATCATACCACTTTTGTTTTTTTTTAACTGAACTAAATTGGCAGTTTTGTTTTTTTAAACTGAACTAAAGTTGGCTGTGTGAAGCTCAAAAAAGCAAATAGATTCCCTGAAATACATCAGATTAACTTAACTCTCCTTCTTCAAGTGAAATTTATTACACTTCTTCAGGTTTCCCAAACTATTTGTTTCAGCAAAACTGGAAGTACAGAAAAAAGGTTTATGAAGAAAACAGGTATTGTTGTATCAAATTACTCCTGCTGTGCAGATTGGATAGCCCACTATGGCCCCCGAGTTGGCAGCATGAACAGGCCAGGGGTTTTTAAAAACCAGATTTTCCAACTGCACAAACTCGCTACCGAACACCCCACACTAAAAATAACGGAGCTGAGGGAGCCGAACGAACACAAAGCATGCTTTGCTCCTTGCTTATGCCCTGTCTCAGTGGCAGTTCCTCCGTGGGAGCCAGGAGCGAATTCATTCATGAATCTGCCTGAATTCAGTAACTGACAGGTGCAAAACCAGGCATACTTTTGAGGGTATTTATATGGATGTGATAAAGCATCTCCTGCCCAAAGATGAAGGAAAAGAAGTTCTGGTCAAAAAGACAAAGGTATTTTCATATGGTTTGGGCAGTTTGCTTTAAGTAACGGGGGCTGAGCACATTCTGCCTTTACACGTTTGTGAACTTCAGGTGAAGGGTAGTTTATAAATTAAATTAATAATAACCATCTGTGTACATGCTGTCTCTGACACCGTCTGCCATTTTAAGTGCTTAATAAACACAGGCACTAAATGTGTCTAATTCGCCGCTGCCCCAAAGGCAAGGATAGAAGTTGCCAATGTAAGTGAACTGTTTGTGCTGGATGTGTAGTTACTTTGTGTGTTTGTGTGTGTGTCTTATTTTGTTTTTTCCAAATGGCTGAGGAGCTGTGCTGTTAACCTGACAAGATTGTTTTCAACAGGGCCATTTTGGATGCAGCTTCTGCTCACAGCAGTATATGGATATAATGGGGCTGGGCCTCAGTGTAATAGGTTTTCCCCTCAACAGTTAAAGTGAGCAGTCAACATGTGATCTCCTTTGCTCTTCCGCTTGCAGCAGAACAAGGCAGGCAGAGAAGAGGGAAGGACCATGTCCGAGTAGTAGAGCAGGTGTTTTGCATCCAGAAGATCCCATGTTCAATCTTGGCATCTCCTGGGAATTGATCCTGCCTGGAATCCTGGAAAGCTGATATCAGTCAGTGTAGACAGTTTTGAGCTGGATATCGCAATAAGCTCACTCAATACAAGGCAGCTTCCATTATTTCACTGCATTTAGAGGAGTATAGGGCAGCACTCTTACCATACAAGCTCTGCTGAGTGTCTGAACATGGTTTAGACTTGGAACTATTTAGATAGCTTTTTGTGGCAGTAGCAACTTAAAATATATGTATGCTAGATTTTAATTAACATTGGCAACAAAAGCATGACCTTTACCTTTGGTTTTTCTTATGTACAAAAAAGAGCCAATATAACTTAATTAATTCCTGTGGCCTTTTTAATTTGGCAAACTGAAAATTCTCATTTCAAGGTAATTGTATAAGGCCCACGTTAGACTGCAGTTGTGAAGCTATAAAAAGTGAAAGGCACTGAATAAAATTAGTATAAAATCAGTCTTCATTATGCATTAATGCATGTAAATTGAATTCTACAAATTGGAGAAATGTCACGAAGTTAGTTTCTGGCATTATAAAATTAATATTCGTTCTTGAAATTACACAGTATTCTAACTGCTTTTTATTTATTTATTACAAATCAAGTTCTACTTTATGGCATATGGTGTCATTCTGAAAGTGTTTCATATGTTGTTGCAATATTTTTTCAGAAAGCCATAATGGAGTCTGATGAAGAATGGTCCATGAATAAAAAGCTGATTGATCTATCTTCAAAAGATGTTCGCAAGTCGGTATGTATTGAAGCTTGTCCCTTATAACACGTGGGCAGTTGTTGTTTTTTGTTCTCATTTTCAAAAAAAAAATGGGCCAAGTTTTAAAAGACCCAGAACAGTAAAAGGAGAAAAGACATAAAAGTACAGTTTATGTAAGACATGAGGTTTTAGTTCACGAGTCAAATACCGTTGCGGTGGTGTTAATACAAAGATCTTCTGCTGGAGTTCTGAAAGTTAAAATAGATAAATTGACGCCAGTAACGCAAACCTTTTAAATATTACTCCTGGTTTTTCAGGGCACTAACTATCATGGCTGAGGGTTTCGAATGAATGTTTCGACTCAGGTATCAGAATGTCTAGGGCTGCAATCCTAAACACACTTGCAAGGGTATAAGCCCCGCTGACTCAGCAGGAATTACTTTGTAGTAAGCATGTATAGGATCACACTGCATAGCCTGCCCTTATGTAATGATGGCTTATGGAAATGGTTGTCTTTGTTTGGCGTCAATGCAGTCTCCTTTCCAACCAACAAGATGGTTTATATCCTTCTCAAGGGCTGGGGCAAGAGGCAAAGCTCTGAAATCTATAGACTTCTTTTCACAAAGACGGCTGCTGAATATAGTTTGTCGTGCAGAAAGGCTGCTGGAAGTTGTAGTTCAGGCATAGGCAAACTCCGGCCCTCCAGATGTTTGGGACTACAATTCCCATCATCCTTAGCTAACAGGACCAGTGGTCAGGGATGATGGGAATCGTACTGTTTATCTTGCTGTTGCTCCCGGTTTTCTGCCTATTTCCTGGTCCTTATTCAGGGCATCTGATGGTTCATTGCCTCCCAAAATTAGTCTCCACGTGTCCTTTTCAGTGACAGTGTGGACCGTATTCACATTTCAGAGTAAGTGGAAAGGTCATAATCACTTGATGCTTCCCCAGAGGGAATTCTAGTGTATAGAGTTTTATTTACTGCTACTCTTTTGTTTACATTTATCCTTTTTTTAATTGGACCTTTTCTCAGCAGAAGAAAACTGTGTGCGCTACGACGGCATATTTAAAATCCATAAAAAAGCATGAGGAATTGTTAGTAAATTATTATTATTCCTGTTTAGGGCAGTTTTTAATGTTTGATGTTTTATTTTATCTTTAATATTTTGTTGGAAGCTGCCCAGAGTGGCTGGGGAAACCCAGCCAGATGGGCGGGGTATAAATAATAAAGTACAGTGGAACCTCTACCTGCGACCATAATCCATTCTGGAGGTGGAAACAGGTTGCTGGGAGAGGTGCCGTTGTGCACAGGCGCAGGCGGTGATTGCTCGCTTCTGTGCATGTGCGAACGGCGATCGCCACTCCTTTGCATGTGTGAACAGCTGCAAACCCATCAGTTAATCCTGGGTTTGCCGCGGATGTTGGGCGAAATGGACGCAAGCGGAGGTGGACGTAAGAAGAGGTTTGACTGTATTATTATTAGTAGTAAAGGGACATTGTGTTTGTGTCCAGTTTGCACGTCGTGGTAAGCCAAACTATGGCTTATTGGGACAGCAAGACAAACTTGCTGTCTCCTGGGGAGGATCATGCAGCTGTTTTGCTTTTTCTTACTCCTTTTTACTCCAACGCCCTGTGGCTTTGACCTAAGCCAAAGTGTGCCTTGGTGTGTTGTCCGAACGCGAGCTGTAGCCAAGGTTTGTAGTTAGTGAGGAGGGAACATAACCATGAGTTCATGACCCTGACATCTTATTGACATGTTTCTGTCCTTCATAGTTCAGTTCCTTGCAGTTCAGGGTTTAAGAATTGTGTGTGTATGTGTTGATTTTTGCTTCATCAGCCTCCAAGATATGTCTAAATGAGCTGGTTGTCAGTTTTTTAAGTATCAAAAGACAGCCCCATGATCTGTCTTTCTTTGCATGAAATAATGAATGGCCCCTCTGTCTTTTTAGGTTCCGAAAGGTTTGCCTTATTTCTCCGTAGACTTCGGCCTACAAGGGGGCTTTGCTCACGTCGTTGAAGATCATCGCAAGTTCCCCCTTTATTTTGGAAAGGTATTTATTATGTCACCTGTTCAAAGAGGCTGGTGTGGGAGACCCTCCTGCACGCTCCATTCTGAGAAGCTCACTGCGTACATTAGCAAAGTTGAATATACATGGCAGTTTTATTACTGTGTGCTTTAGAACATCCCAGGGACATGAAGAACGTTTGTTATCTCAGGGTTTGAGTTGTGTAATTAGCCATTCTATATGATGTTGAGATCTTACCATTCAAAGCGAGAGTTGTAATAAATGTTTGCCTGGAGGTAAAGGACTAATTTTTTTTAGCAGGATCAATATTGTGAGTGGAGAGAGAGAGAGAGAGAGAGAGAGAGAGAGAGACTCAATAATGGATTTAGGGAATAACTTAATCTTCTTTCCCCCCACAAACAGAATCTCTAATGCTGTGGGTAGATTTGCAGGGGATGTGGCTGTCAGTTCAAATCTCCTGTTCCCACTCCACCCCCGTAGTCCTTAAAGGAAGTAGTTTGCATAGAGCACATGTGGGTGAGTCACTTGTTAAAATGCAGAGCTGGAATGACCCCCCCATCAATCCAATTGTACTTTGCAGTCCTTGTTTTGAACAGGTGTGAATTTCCAAGGTTAATTAAGAGCAGTAATATTCTTCTCTGTCTGTCCTGCTTTAAAAGGAAATAATTGGTGGCATGCTGGATTTGGAGCCCAGGCTGTGGAGAAAGGGACTGCGAGAAAACTTTGAGGACCAGAGGAAGAAGGTGTTGCATTTTGCTCAGAAGTGGAAACCGTACGATTTCACCAAAAGCAAAGAGTGAAGCTTTGACGATGCAGTACCTGCCAATAGACCGTCAAGATCCATAAAACCAATCCATTTTATAGAAAGGCATGTGTTAAGGATGACAGGATGTTTTCTACATTCCTAGTGAACACTTTTTTTGGGGGGGGGAATATATTTTAAAAGAACGCAGTTCATACATTTAATTTGACTTATTTACAAGGCAAATTGATTTCAACACAATGTCATTTATTTATATTTAATGCCTCATATTTTCTGCTGTGTGCTCTTTTTCTTAAAGCCCTTTTCGTAATACCTTGTTTAAATCATGGCCTCTGGGAGGTGCTGTCAGATGCACACTGTGCGCTTAAAAAGAAAATTGATTTATTGACATTTAAACGTCAAAGAGAGAAAATATCTCTAAAACTGGCTAAACAGCATTAAAGACTACTTAGGCAAATACCTTTCTCAACAGCCTTGTGAAAATGGAAATAATAATAATAATAATAATAAATTTTATTTATATCCCGCCCTCCCCAGCCGAAGCCGGGCTCAGGGCGGCTAACAACAATAAAACAGTACAAAAGTACAGCATAAACAACAGTCTAAAATCATTCGTTATAAAATTAATTCAAGCCACTGGCAACCATTGGGCCAGAGCTCCGCGAAGATTTCTGCAGGAAGGGAAATGCCAGTATTCTCCCAAAGAGAGAGTGACTAGGTAGAGAGAGAATTGAGCTTGGCAGGAATCTTGAGACAAGATGATTCACTATCCTGTTGAAGTCCAGCAACTAACAGTTTTTCAGTGAAGCAACAAAATAAAGGTTTGGAACAAATGTAAACTGGAAAGGGTAAAGCATGACTTAGGTCATTTCTGCAGGAAGGGAATTTCTGCCTCGCAACTGGATTAATATTTCAAATGGCACAGTGGCATGGAGGAATCCCAAGAAAGCTACATAGATGGTCCAGAAATCTGTGTTTGATAGTATTCAGATAGTGGAAATTGAATAGGGGGCGTGGGTTGCGCTGTGGTCTAAACCACTGTGCCTCTTGGGGTTGCCGATTAGAAGGTCAGCAGTTCGAATTTGCGCAATGGGATGAGCTCCCACTTCTCTGTCCCAGCTTCTGCCAACCTAACAGTTCGAAAGCACACCAGTGCAAGTAGATAAATAGGTACCGCTGTGACAGGAAGGTAAACAGTGTAGGATACTTTTGTCACATGGGCACACTGTATATTAGCTCTGCTCTCATGGTGGAAATGCATTTGCAGGTTATGTCAAAACAAGGATCTGAACCTGTTTTGTTTATGGTTTTGTCTATAACACATTCCCTTCCCTGTGCAGTAGAATAGCTTGTTCAGATTTGGGTGGTTAAAGGAAAGTACTTGTAAAGTTTACAGGAATTTAAGCTGGGTTGGGGACACTCCTTGGGGAAGTCACAACACTGCCAAAAACTGAATTACACTTGTGCTTAGAATACCTTGGTTATTCTTCTGCAAACCATGGTGGACTATAGCTATAGTTCACATGTGCACTGCACACAAGTTACTACTTCAAGATTCTTGGGATCCCAGAAAACTGGATCAGCTACTTTGAAAGTGCCCAGTCTCTAAATTCGTGCCATGGACTGGTTGGATGCAGAGGAATGGTGGGAGGAACCAGCTGGGAAACCAGCAAGGAAGAGGTTGGCTGCACACAGGCAAAGTCTCTGCTTGGAAAAAGCCCTGGAGAGAGGGAACTTAGACGGCTGTGGGGAGGTGGGGACTTTCAGTCTTGGCAACTGATTCATGGGGCCAGACCTACCAGGGATGAACTGCTGTGCTCATTGGGCCTGACACTGCATCAAGTCTGTGAAGATGGTAATTTTGCTAATAAAGAGTTAACTCAAACTTTGAATGGTGTGATTTACTTCTGGCTTGCTCTTTGACAATGATGTGATCCATGTGATGATTTCTTTTTTCATGGAGAATAGTGCATGGAGCCAAGTACTGTATTCTAAATTGATGACTTGACGTTAGCCACCATGATGCCTTTGAGATGTTGTGAGCTACAACATCCATCATCCCTGACCATGGTGGCTGAGGCTGATGGGAATTCTAGTCCACCTGGAGGGCACCATGTGGACCATCCCTGTATTGTATGGAAGTCCCCGTTACTTTGGAAGCTACAGCAGCAGGAGACCCAGCAGACAACATACCTATTCAGGAATCTGAACCTATGAAGAGTAGGCCTCTCCTGTCTTAAGCAGAGATAACCAATGCCTGCAGGTCTAACAGATTAATTACTAGACATTCCTTCACAGTCTGCCAGGGGAAAGTGAGGTTCAAAGGACAAGAAAGGAGATTTCAGCCTTTGGAGAAACTTCCTGATAGTGCAAGCTGCTCAACAGTGGAATATACTGGGGTGGGTTTGCCATAATAGATAAGGAGAAAGAAAAAGAAGGCACCTTTTATCATATGTGGTGGACGTGTCCTAAGGTTAAGGACTTCTGGGAAAAGATTTATAATGAATTGAAAAAAATGTTGAAAAATACATTTGTTAAGAAACCAGAAGCCTTTTTACTTGGAATAATAGGATTGGAATTGCCCAAAAAAGATGTTAGATTATTTTTGTATGCCACTACAGCGACAAGACTGCTATTAGCAAAAAATTGGAAATACCAACGGTAGAAGAATGGCAGATGAAGATGGAGTTTTTGGAGCTGGCCGAACTGACTGGGAGAATCCGCGATCAGAAAGAAGAGGAGCTCCAAGAAGACCGGAAGAAATTTAAAGACTATTTAGCTAAATATTGTAATATAAGATAATTAGAAGGTACTTGAAAGTATCTGATAGGCCTAGGATTAGAATAAGAATGTTGTATAGTAATATGGATTTAAGTCAAAAAGAAAAGAGATGAAGATAGTTGAAGGAGTTAACTGTATTAGAAAGAGGATTTTGGAGAACTCTTACAAAGGTGTTTTAATGAAATTCATTATTTGGGGAGAATCGAGGAAGTCAGACTACAATGAAAGTTAACTTGGATTCTAGAAGTAATGATCCCCCCCCCTTTTAGTATTGTAAGATGTTTTGTTTTGTGTTTTTTACATGTTATATTTGTTATAAATGTGGAAAATCAGTAAAAAAATTTGAAAGAGGAAAATATAATAGATAAGGAGAAGTTGTGCGACGACCTGTCAGAGATGTCATAGTGCAGGATTTCTTGCATCAACAGGAATCCTGTTCCTGTTGAGGTTCCTTCCCATTCTAAGCCTAAACTTTCATAGCACTCCATCATGCACACCATAAATGCTCTCTTCTTGGCTGTATCTGCATCAAACGATCATCTGGGCTCAAATACAGTTCAACACCCACTTGCATTAAGTTTGCCAACTATCTGACTTCTGTCTTCCTGATGGCTTACTGGGTGGCTCCAGAGGTTAAAGGAGAAAGGTATCTCCTTTTGTTTGCTTTGTTAGACAATGCAAAATATGTTTCATTTATATGGTGAGAATGTTAAAGTATGCACTTGACTAGGAGAGCCTTGGCTGCTGTTAAGGGGCAAGAGTCCATCCAAAGCAAATATAAACTTTCCAAGTCATGCTATACTGGGAGTCGCTTGGCCCGGTCATTTAAAAACCCTGGAATTTCCAGCTGAAATGAAAAGCTGAAACTAGAGCATTGCCCCCGAGGGAAAGAATCTGGGATTTTTTCTTTCTCTTTTAAGTGACCAAGATAAGTATCAGAAACTGGTCAGACAAAAAGAGGCAGCTCCTTGAATATTTGCAGTGTTAGTTGTCCTAAGCAAGGGAAAAGAACTGCAGCCGTTATCCCCATGATAGTCTTTGTGGCTCCTTCTGCAGTACTGAAGGAGGCAAGCAGTATTGTTAGTTCGCTTCCCTTCACAATCGGGCTTGTAAGAGGCTCCTGCAAATAGCATGCTTGGTGCCTTGGGAGATGGCGTGGAATTTATTTCAAGGTTTTCAAAGAACACATTAAGCTGACTTGCCTGAAGCAGACCTATGCTTGTATACTCTAGCAGTAGTTCTCTGGCAAAGATACAGCACATACAGATTCTTGTAGCATTTCTCTCTTCAGACCCAGACGGCAGCACGTTGAATTTCTGCATTGGGACTTCAGTGTCTGTAGTGGCAACCTAGTAGAGAATGCATTACCAAGGAGTAATGGGCAATTCTGGAAAACTGCCTGGGGGTTACAACTTGCGCAGGATGTGGCAGCCAAGGTACTAGCAGGTGCTCCTTCTAGTCACTTGCAAATAATGCCAACTTTAAAAGTTGCATTTGCTGCCTGTGATACTTCAGGCCCAACTCAAGGTACTTCTATAACAGCACAGAGTTTGTGCCACAGACGGCTTGGGTCTCAAATATCTGAAAGAATGTTGCCCACCCCACATACCAAGCTGCAGAGACAACTCTCTTGGTGGCCACTTGTGGAGCGAGATTTGCAATGCAGGCGTCTGAAGAAGGGCTTTCTATGTGGTGGCCCCAGAGCTTTGGAATAGTCTCCCAAAGTGCATCATCCTCAACATTGTTTTCATCCTGGTTAAAGGTTAAAGATGTGCCGTTTTGCCCAAGCAAAAGAAGAATGGGGAAGAATGAAGTGCATGATTATATTTTATTTTCGCTTTGCCTCTCTGTTTTGCTGTAGATTTTCATTAACCGTCCTTTTAGTGTTTATTGTGCTATCCAGGGGTGGGTGGTGGGTGGGGTGGGGTCAAGGAGGTATTACAGATGCCTCAAATAAATAAACACATTACAGTCCTGGTTCAATTAATTGGTGAGTGAATTACAACCAGTCCTGACCTACATGGCCGATGTGCAAATTGAAGGCCTTTGTCCGCAGACAGTTTTTCTGGGTCATATGGCCAGCATGACTAAGCCACTTCTAGTGAAACCACAGCAGTGCATAGAAACGCCGTTTACCTTCCCGCTGGAGCGGTACCTATTTACCTACTTCCCCTTTGACGTGCTTTTGAACTGCTAGGTTGGCAGGAGCAGGGACCGAACAATAGGAGCTCACCCCGTCATGGGGATTCAAACCGCCGACCTTCCGATTGGCAAGCCCAAGGCTCAGTGGTTTACACCACAGCGCCACCTGCGTCCCTAGCAGTAAATACACCTACAATTTGAAAACCCACTCTTATGTAAAACTAAACAGTAAAAATACAAGCTGCATTCTTCTTTCGGAATATTGGAATCCTCCTGTTTTTTCCAGGAAGTATGGGAGATTTACAAGAATAATATAATGAGATGTTGGCTATACTTTTTATTTTGTTTCTTCAAGAAGCTTTCTGTTTTCTCAACTGTTCTTTCAAGAGCTTTCTGAGCTTTTCTTCGTATCTTTTATTTCTCAAGGGAGCCATGTTTTGTACAGTACAGAAGCAACAGATTGTTTAACTTGTCATCTGACACCTGTATGAATAAATATATCTTGACCCTGGATACAACTGGATGCTGAGTTGTGTGTGAAAAGCAAATGTTCTCCCTTCCCATTCAAAAAAGGAAAAGAAAAGCTAAAAGTAGATCTTTATACTTAGGGTGGTTATGAGTGACCGAGTGAGTGTGTTTAAACCCTTGCAACATAAGTCACCAGTATTTTTGTAGGTACTGAAGTGATGAGCATGCCTTGCTCACGTTTACTCAAATCACTTTTCTCTATCAATGGTGGGGAATCTGTGGCCTGCCAAATGCTGTGGACTACAACTCCCATCAGCATCAGCTAGCATGGTCCAGTGGGAAGAGGTGATAGGAATTGTAGTCCAAAACATTGGAGGGTGCAAAGTTGGGAAAGACTGGTCTGGAGAGTTCTGGTGTTTGAACCTGAATTATCTTCCTGCTGCTCCATGCCTCCTTTGTTCTGAGAAGGATGTGGTGTTTTCCCTTTTTAAGAAATGTAAGCAAGGGATTATTTACTGAGCCAAGTACTTGAGGACTTCCTGGTCAAATAATGTCACAGGGCAGGGATTGCAAAAAGCTTACATTGTTCTTGCATTTTCACATTCTGCTTCAAACTTCATTTTCCTCCTGCAATTCTGAATTCCCTCTTCCTTCAGTTGAACATTAACACTTATAAACTCTATGCCTGAGATTTCCCTCCCTCTTCTCAGTCCTACTTTTGTCTGAACTTTGATAATGGCAATGCATGAAAAAGCTGTGGCAGAAGCTTTCCAAATCTTTGTTAACTCTCAATCAAGCAGCTGTTCCTACCTGGTCATATGGCTCATTTCTACTTCTTAACCCGAGGTGGTCAGAACATCAGTGAGGCAAGAGGGGTGTTTTCCTCCCCCTCTCATAATGCCAAAGGAAAAAAAGAAGAAACGCCATGGTGCATCTGCAGCAGCACAACCAGACGCCTTCATCTGCCCCAGCTGCAACAAAATATGTCTCACTTGTATTGGTCTCTACAGCCACAGCAGGCACTGTGACTTCAGTTTGACTTCACCCCTGCAGTTTAACTTCACACCTGAAGGCACACTCTTCCATTGTCTCCCAGCCCTCCTAACCCAATTCCTCTTGAACAGAAGGGTGGAAGATTTGGGACAGACACAATAAAATACTTATTCACATTGCGCACAGATAAATCATGGTGCTTGCTATTCAAAGACATGGTAACCTGAGCAGCTTTAAAACGAGGCTTATCAATGGCTACTAGTATTCCTTCGAATATCACATACTGGGGGACAGCAGCAGGAGAGGACTGTTGCCTTTATATCCTGCTTGAAGGCTTCCCATAGGCACCTGGTTGGTCACTATAGAAAACGGGATGATGGGCTAGATAAACCAGGTGTGGAGAACCTCCAGCCCTCCAGCTATTGTTGAACCACACCTCCCTGTGGGATGTAAGAATCAGGTGCAGTCAAACACAACATTGCTAGAGAAGATATGAAAGTTGTCTCAGTCCTCCAGCCGGAACTTCCCGCTTTCCAGGATTGAGACGAAACTTCCTATGTGTAACTTGAGATGGGCATGGCCTCTCCTGAAGTAGAAAGAACCAGAACCACAGCCTGGCGACCATCTTGTCTCTTTTGTCTCTATCAATGCCATCTTAATAACAGCACATAAAAATGCACCCTTGGCTCCAGGCCAAGAGAAGAAAAGGGGGGGCTTTCTCCCATAAGGAGATAGTCACCACATTTAAACTATGTTCTAACCTTTTAAGTCTGCCTTCTGGGAACCTTTATGTGAACAGACGATTACTTGTGAGTAAACGTTTTATACTTTACAGAAGACTGAGTAGCGTCTTATTTTAGAAGGGATTAAACGGGGGAAATACCAGGAAATATTTACAGAGACTCTAACGAGTCTGAGCAAGCTATCTGCTGTGCGTGTGTTTAAAAAAAAGGGGGAATGATAACTCTGCTGATTTTGTTGAACTTGTAACGACAAGTTGGGATAGGATATCTTAGACAATATATCCTCCCCTGCATCCCTAAACATTCCCACACTCCCATCATTCCTAGTCATTGGCCATGCTTGCTGGGGTTGATGGGAGTTGTAGTTCAGCAACAGATTGAGGGCCAAAGGTTCCCCACACCTGAGATAAACCTTTGGTCTGAACCAGCAGGATTTATCCTCTAATTTTAATTGTTACCCCAAGTCAAGTCAGCCAGGGAGTAAGGCCTCCCCTAGAGAAGGGCTGGGGACCCATTTTCAGGTTGGACTACATTCAGGGGGCCAGTAGTGACATACCAGTAGTGACAGAGATCAGGGGCAAAAGTGGGTGGAACAACTGGCGTGAATTTTACATTAATGTAATAGGTGAGTCTACGGCTGGATCTACACAAAAAAAAAACACGTTTCAGGAAAACGCTTTGTAAAGCTCATAATGCAAAATCGCATTGCCGAAGGATTGAACACTACAGCACTATCTGGTGTCATAGTGTTATAACACATTTATAGTGCTTTTTTTTCTAATGTAGCTGAGTCGTGCGTATGCTCATACATCCTTCTCAATCCTCCATCCAGGCAAACAAGAAGCAAGATCAGTTTTCAAAGGCACATTGCAGGCAAGTGAAAATACACATGGAGCAGAAAAGGCAGGGCCAGTGAGGAATGGGGGCCTGCAGGGAGGGTGTGGGGAGAGCCCTGAGGGTCAGATAGAGATGGCTGGGGCCCCCACATTTAGACCCCTGAGGTTCCCCATCTCTGCACCAGAGATTTGGCCATGTCCAAGCATGATAAACAAAATGAAAGAAATCATGATTGTGCACACAGATATTGGGATGCATCTTTGCAGCGCCAGAATGCTCCACAGAAGGACATACAGCGCCACAATCTGTATAATTACACCGTGTATTTTTTTAGAAACATGGCAAGAGGCTGGTCCATTAACCTCTTTTCAGAAAATGGCAGCAACGAGAACTTAGTCATGAGAATACAATTCTTGGTTATATATCTCAGCTGCCGATCATGAAGGAAAATGTGTTATGGCTTGAATAAGTGCTAAATTCCATTTTGGCTGATAATTCTAAAATCTTGATTTGATTTTTCTAGCTGCTGGAAAATGTTCACAGCAAAACTTAAATCAGAGGAGTTTCTTATTGAGTCTTTGCAAGTTCTTTTAATTTGGACAGGCTTTATAGATTCGGGGTTGGTTTTTTTTCTGCCAATGGACTGAAAATGTTAGCACTCATTGTGTCATACTTATTTTAACTGTGGTTTTATGTCTTTTTTATTTTTTTTAATCAGTTTCTTAATCTGCTATTATCCACTCAGTCTTCAGGCTGGATTGTTTTATGAATCTAAATGTTCAAATACCCATGTTAAAGTATAGGAGACAAAAAACAATGGAAATTTTCTCCATTTCAACAGAGTGCCCAAATATGACGACCTTCCTCTTCTTCTTCTTCCTGTTTAGACTCTCCATGACCCCATGAACCAGAGCATGCCTTGGAAATTCTCACTTTCTTCTCAAAGCTTCTCCTTTTTTATGTCCACGGAGTTTTCTTGGCAAAATACTAGAGTGGTCTGCCAGTTCCTTCTCCAGGTGGATCACATTTAGTCTAAACTCTCAGCTATGACCTTTCCATCTTGGGTGGCCCTGCACGGCATAGCTAAGAGCTTCTTGGAGTTATTCAAGCCCCTTCGCCACGACAAGGCAGTGATCCATGAAGGGGCCAAATATGACTTAGGAAGGTCCTTAACTGGCTTGTTTTATGGATACGCTGTTGGTACCACTGGGACTTCTTTAGTCTTGCTGGGAAGTTGCTAGACTAGAAATAGAAGAACCACAAACAGGTCGTTGGACTGGCTACTTCAAAAGTCCCCCCTGTCTGTTGGGAAAGCAAACGGGAGCTCCATCCTACTGGTTACTTTTGTCTTGAGTGCAAAAGCTTCGCCAAGGAAATAATCTGACTGAGAAGTAATTTTCAGAGGAGGCGCTGGACGGTGCAGAGTCTAACTTCATCTTGGTCATGCTGCCAAAATAATTGCTTGTCCTTGATGCCCGTCACATCAGGAATACCTGATGTAAAGTGTCCCACACATCCTAGAATATCTCACTTTTCCTTAGGATGTCCCTATCTTCATCGGAGAAATATTGGAGGGCATGGAGTTATGCAACCCCCCAGCCAAGGAGATAAGTAACTATACAACCTCTAGAAGACATCTGAAGGCAGCCATGTATAGGGAAGTTTGTTGATGTTTTATTTTATGGTTTTATATATGTTGGAAGCCACTCAGAGTGGCTGGGGCAACCAAGTCAGATTAGTGGAGTATAAACAATAAAATTGTTGTTGTTGAATAGGACACCCCCATTTTCATCAGAGAAATGTTGGAGAGTATGTACTCATGGATAGTTAATAGGACGGTGAATATTTCTACATTGTGAGATTACTAAGTCTCAGCACCTTCGTGATCTTATCAGCGAAGGCTCTATAGCAGTGGGGGCTAACCTACAACTTGTAGGCCATATTTGACCCCTAAGAGTTCACCACCCCCACCAGAAGTTGAGTGCTGAAGACTGGAACCATCCCAAACTCATTTTAAACTCCCACCTGCCACCTCAGGAATTACCTTGTAAATATTCTGGGAAACTGATTTCTATACAGAATAGGCTCTAACAGAAAGAATGCTGTGATAATGGCAGCAATTTAGGTAGAGGATCAGATGTAGAAGCAATGAGATGACACACAAGTAATTTTAAGGCCTATTACCTCATTACAAATGACAGAACCGTATTTAGGCAATTCTGTTCAAAGCAGACAAGCAACATTTAGAAAAGTTAGCACGTCAGGCATCCAGACAGGAGTTGTTTTGTGACAGGCTTTCATGAAAAGTTGCGCGTGAGGCAATAGTAGTTGTGATTAGGGGTATGGCTCATGCATGAATTCAGTCTGATTTCAGTTTTCTGAAGGCCGCTGGGCCTTTAACACACTGGGCAGTGACTCTGAAACTACCCTGTGCTTTTCTATGCTATGCTATGCATTTTTGTATTTCTA